GGCAAAATAAAAGACTTAAGACTTTTAACGGATTTATGAGTTTATCTATTCTTGCTACAAGTTCAGTAATGTGATAGTCAAAAGTGAGATTTTTGTCCAAAATCAACCCCAAGTGCTTGTGATTGTTTACTCTTGGTAACTTGTCATTACCAAGGGAAAGATCTGGGGTCAAAATTTCGCGCTTTCTTGGATTAAAAAAAGTCATATCTTTACTTTTACTAGCTTTGAAGTTTAATTTTCATGTATTTGACCATAAGAGAATTTTATTTAGATCCTCTTGTAATTCATTATTCTTAGCAGCTGCTGTTTCAGCTGTGAAGGATTGGTAAAGTGGCGTGTCGTCTGCATATATAAAACATTTGGTATTTAAGTTATCAGGTAGATCATTGATATAAATTAGGAACAGGAGGGGGCCTAATATGGAGCCTTGAGGTACTCCTGCGTTTATATGGTTCATCACAGATAGTTCAGACTCATGGCCATCCAAAACAACTTTTACTTGTCTATTTGATAGGTAAGATTTCATTAATTCTTTGATGTTATGACCAAAACCATACATTTTCAGTTTTTTTAATAGTAGCCCATGGGGCATTGAATCAAAGGCGGCCGAAATGTCAAGATAAATCCCCCTTACATTGGCCCCATTTTCAATTTCATTAGTTATGACATCAATTATACTTAAAAGCTGTGCCTGGGTGCTGTGACCTGGCAAAAAGCCACTTTGGAGGTTATAAAATAAATTGTTCACAATGAGATGGTCAAAAAGTCTTTTGAAGATTACGCGTTCTGCAACTTTAGATATACAGCTCAGGAGAGTGATAGGTCTATAATTTTTTACATCTGTTTTGTCTTTACTTTTGTGAATTGCTACAACGTGGCCTATCTTCCAAGAATGGGGGTATTTATTAAGAATGAACATTTTGTTTAATAATTTTGATAATATGGTTGAAAGTGATGGTGCTGCCATTTTAAGCATTCTATTGCTTAACATGTCAGGGCCAGTAGCTTTATTTGTATCTAACCCAAGTAAAATGCTATATACCTCTCTATCATTAGTAGAGAGTAGGTAGGTGGATATTTTATCATATGACTTGCGGCAAACCTACCATTTCCTATTTGTTTGACAGGGAAATTTCGATTCCAAAAAACATCAAATTGTCATCAATTTTCGAAAAATTAGAAAATTTTGGTAAATTTGAAGGTAATAGAAATATAGTCAAGTTCAACAAACTTCTGCATTATTAGTTTTTTCTTTGCAGTTTATGAAAATAAAAATTCAAACATAGAGAGGCTTTAACACGTAAGCCAATGGGGGGAAAGGGTTGCCAAACTCATGTAGGAAAGTGTAGCATTCACGAATTCATCTGCCGCCAGCTGCTAGGATCTTAAAAGCGAGGCAAATATGTGGCAAGACAAATTTGATTAAAACGCCAAATAACACTATCGTATGGCTTGATATTCAAAAACTGAAGAAAATCTCTGAATTCATATAACTCATGTTTGGTTTGATGTTGTTGAGTTTGTCATCCTGACATCCAAAACGTACATGTCAATTCACTGTAAAATGAATCAAATGTCTAGCGTTTAATTTTCTTTTTATGACACATTTATTTCGCTTGTTTTATATGCTTCTTGATTATTGTATATTCGTTGTTAGTTTCGATTAGAGGAAATTAACCGAACATATTCAGGTAACTTAGAATGTGTCACCTTCGCTCCATCAATATACAGATAATTGCACTCAAATTATTTCCTAGGACCGGAATGATATACAGCAGCCATTACCCTGCCCGGAATCAACTATCAAATATGCTCAGATGACAGAACATAGTAAATATAGAGATTTCGCAACTCACTTATAGTATGTTTATTTCCTTATAACTTATGAAGGTTTGATCACACCCTCATTTATCGCGCAGCCTCATACGTTCATAAGCTCATACGTGAAAGCGCAGCTTATGCTATGCGTAGAGAAATAGATACATATACTTTTCTCTATATTTCTTAGAAAAAAATCAGACATTTCTTTTGTTCTTGGTATCATAAATATTCGGAATGAAATGAAACATCTATCCGAACCTCATTGGAACAAAATGACATAAACACAACGTGTTTAGATCTCTCAACATTGTAATTGTACAAAGGAAAGTTTGGTTGATTTAAAAAAGTATTTTGTTAATGAAATAAAAGGTTTATCTTAATTTTTATCTATTTTGGGGGTTTTTGTTTTAATTTTTTGAATACTTGTTGTTACATCAACCAAACTTTCCTTTGTATAACAATAATATTGAGAGGTCTAGGAAAATGTTGTTTATGCTATTTTGGTCCAACAAGCTTCGGAAAGATATTTTATTTCATTCTCAAGAATTGGTAAAAAGGAACAAAAAACAATTGCACTAAACAACACAAAATGTTAATAAAACAGTTATATAAAACTTATATATACTTATTTGACACCCTGTATATATATATTATTGTCACATTAAATTGTTGTCTATCAGTCAACATTACATAAATTACCGTGTTTTTGTGATTTTGTAACATGAGGACTATGGGGAATCAACCCGAACAAGAAGTCACATTTTCAAAAAAATCAAATATTCAAAGTTGATAGACAATTTTCGAAACTAGATGCACTTTTACATGCAGTTTTCAAATATGACATCACTTTGACTGAATTCTGAATATTTAATGACGTAAATCAAGATTACTTCTGCTCGCATCTAGTCTATTCAGTTCACCATATCGATACCAATCCTTTGGCGTTTCGCAAAAATATGTACTTTTAATAAATACGTATAGATACGACGTCAGATACTGTACATCACGGCGTAACAGTGTAATTGTTCATTTTACCGACAAAATGCAACGATTTACGCGATAAATATGCGCAATGCTCCTCCAAGTAATTGCAAACGTTTTAATATTCGTGGAATCTTCTTAAAAACTTCAAGTTTTGTTTAGATTAATGTGCGCTTCAATACAATTCTATATTCAAAAAGGTTGTGTCACGATATACAGAATTAGAATCACCAGAAAGTAGACATTTCAAACCCTACCCGTTTTGTTCTTTGTCGCGCTTTTCGGCCCTGCGCTCTCGTTGTCGCACCGTCTTTCTAGACTCTTTCACAATGCCCCTTGTCATATTCAACTGATAAACACAGACGGGAAGATATTAAGGATTGTTAAATGCATTATTTGTAATTTATTTTAACTCGAATATTTAGTTTTATTTATTTAAAGCAATGAATAATAAAGGAGAACATATAATACGCTAACGGCGTAACGTCTTATTTTGTAAAGGCTTCACTTGGGGTTGCGGTGATAAAACGATGTCTATCTCAATATATACTGGTTCAATTAAATGAAATTAATTGTATGTAGTAAGGGGTATATCTAAAAGAACATGCTGAAACATTGGAAAGTTTTGAATGTTTATCCCTTAATTAGAAATATTTGAACTCAAAAAATGAAACGTAATTTTGTGAATTTTTCACATGGCTTCACTTCATATTTCTTTCAATTTATACTTCTTACAGACTGAATTTTAATCGAAATGATATAGTTTTTTGATAAAAATATAGAAATTATATGCCTTTCAGGAATCAAAAAAGAATAATTCACCTTTCAAACGATTTAATGTTTAATTGATCAAAATATATATCTTGTTGTTACGAAATTCTGCCTGTCGACACTTTTTTTGCATAAATATAAGCGTTAAGTTAGCATTGTTATATTATGACGTCATCACACATAATCTGTTTGTCTTTTCCAAAATGGTGAATTTAAATATTGTGAAAATTTGAGAAAGATCCGTTGGGAAATGAAAAAGTTATCTTCATTTTTCGTTTAAAATTAAAATCACTTTTCTTCAAAATGTTACAGTCGACACCCGGTTTTAGCATAGAAAGTCGCATAATACGGCTTGCGTGATTCTCATTTAAAAAGTCCCAAATCAGTTATTTGGAATTCTGATAGGCAAAATATTTCATGGACATACGTGTTCAACTGATGACGAAAAATTGTAGAAAAATATGATTTTGCTGACGAGATATTGCGGTTTTAAAAGTAAGTACGCATTAAAAATGCAGTAAAATGCCGCGATGTACAGTATCTGACGTCGTATCATAGAAATGTATATTTCATCGATCAACTCTAATGTTCTTTTTACCACTAATAATTGTTCACCCAAATCCTTGTTTATAAGGTGGATTAGATAGTGACATAACTTAATTAATGCCAAGTATTACTATGATTCCCTACCAATAACTATGTCTATGTCTGTAAGTATTTACTCATTTTAAAAACAATTTGCAATGTGCGAAGGCTCCTTATGAATCGATAGAGCTGCGCGACAAATGATGAAGTGCTTCACACATTTTCTACGTTTTAAACACAAGGGACTTATAAAACGCGCTATGTATTTAAGTGTGTCATGAAATCTCTTTATTTTAATACGCATTTTATTTTTGAAATCTATTTTCAACCTTCAACAATGTTTTGTCCAACATCCACTGATTTATATCCAGATCGTTGCCGATTCTGGACATTTTATGAATAAATATTACTAAAACATATACAGTATTAATGCCAATAATATATTTTAGTAATGTCAATAAATTGAACGTCAATGAGTTCTTATCTACGATCAATACAAAACTACATATGTACACAAGTATACACAAAGTTATCATTAAAATAAAAACTTATTGTATCACAAAATACTGGACGTCAAAATGACTACATCTCACCCATAAGGATGTTGAGTTGACGAAGACGTTTCTCCATGTTTCCCTATATAATAGCATTGCAAATGAAAACGGGCTTTAGGATTTGATATAGGATTTTTACTTTAGTATGAAGTGTGACTCTTGATGCCACACCCACGATAATTTTCATCCCACATATGTTATTTAGTCTCTGCATGTACCATATACCCTGCGTGCAGAGTCTAGTTAAAGCTCTCTTTTAAGAAGTGAAGTCAAACGAATGCAAAGGGTATGTATCATAGTTTTTTAGAATATTATTGTTGTTTGAGCATGTTCGTTCAACGTGCGACAACAACACTTTTATCATTGTTGTTTCACGACACTGAAGTATTTCAAGGCTTTGTGGTAGTCTCTAATGTGTTTGATGGGACCGACATTGCAGTGCCACTTTCTTCAGGGGCAATTGAAGATTTCTTGCAACATAGCCGTAAGAAGGCGCGTCTGTATTGTCCTTGACCCATGCCGTAAATTATTGGATTTAAAGCTGCGTTGCTGAACGCAAATGTTATGCTAAACGTCCATAACTCCATCGGAGTTTCAATCTGAAAATAGGCGAGAGTTATCTGCACCAAAAGTGTTATCCATGATATAACAAAGTATAGAGCAACAAAAGATAGAAACAACGTTATCCTCTTTTCTTTGCTGAACTTTGTTTTCTTCCCCGATGTGACAACTGCATCAATGGCAGCTATCTTTGCTGATTGAATTTGTGCCACACGCATTATTTTAAAATTCATTCCCGCTGTGATGGTACAGATGACCATGATTCCTATAAACGAAGGGATTCCTATTTCTGGAGGCGTAGAACTCTGGTAGCCAAAACACCACATAATATCCGGCGATCTCCCATTCACCCAGGAAAGAGGTGTCGGAAGTGCCAACAAAAAAGAGGCCACATACATCACTCCAATAACAATCAAAACAACATTTCTTGTGACGTGCTTCTGATATGAAAATGGGTATACTATAGCCCAGAAACGTTCACACGTGATAGCAAGAACGCTGAATAACGACGCCCAGAGTATGAACATGATAACAGAATATGTGAGTATGCATTGGATCCAGTTTCCCTCTGTCCATTCGGGAACCACAATGGCTATGATATCCAACGGTAATGACACAAGTCCAGTTAACATATCTGCCACTGCGATGTTCGCCACGAGGTAGTTCGTATTGTTTCTCAGCCGCCGTGTTGCAAGTATAACAAAGACTAGAATTGCGTTGCAGATCACTGAAAGGACTGATATGACGGCCTCGGCAACTATAAGGTAATCAGTCATCGTTGTTATTTTGAAAATGCCTTCTTAAACAGAAAAAGAGCAAGATCTGACACAACTGCCGGATTGTTCATAAATTTCTGAGGTCCTGTAATATTTTTATAGCACGGAAGCGACAACCCAAGGGTGTCTATTCACGATTTTCTTTGGACACGAAATTGTTTGAAGGGGCCGGATGTGTTGTGCTGTCTTATATAGTCGACGGTTTTATTTTCGATATCTAGACTCCAGATCCTCGTGTGCCATCAAATCAATTAAAATGTCATTGCTCCAATGGATTCCTTTCAGATGTTCAATGAATTGAACCAAATACAAATCATCTCATTGATCCTTTCTCCCAAAAAATGTTCATGTAAATTCATTGTTGGGTAGATAAATAAGATCATCTCCATTTCTGTCTCAAGTTGACCCAATTTAGATCGATCTTTTATGTCACGGTGCACTATTACTAGATATGATTTCAAATACATTGCTTAAATCAAATAGATGATACCTTTACTAGTAAATACACCACTAACTAAACATCGTTTGATCATCTCCACAGTAGTCTTTTAATAACGATTCCTAAATCAATGTATATATCAACCCATCACGTCTTACTATTTGTAAACTGTCATAAACTTTTATTTTCTCTATTTATATGCTCTTGTTCTACGTCTCTCGGGTAACAGCTGTCCATTTAATAAACGTTATGACTAATACTTGACTGAACGTTGTTGAACCATTCCCTTGCTTACACCGTGCCTTATAGGCACCCATCAATGTTCTTATGCCCTCATGCAAATTATCTATTAATATTCTTCTAAGAAAGACAAAGCAAATTCGTTTCTATTTGTTATCATTTGAGAAATAATTAAATCATGATTTTTCTCTCCGTTGGGATCTCATTAGTTTGTCCCTCTCTATCAACAGGGATTATATCATCAGATGTCGTGTCTGCAGCTTCTTCTTTGAGGTCACAATGCGTAATGATATTTGACGACGCACTGCTGTAAATGCACGTAGAAGGTAGTGCCCCTACACTAGGAATGAAATTATGGGGCCAATCCTGACTGAAAGTATTGTGTAGGTATCTGGTCGGCAAATTCATTGCAGATTTTGTATTGCTCATCTTTGTGGAAGATAACACCGAATCTTGAAATATATAGTAGGCGTTTGATTAATGTTACTACGTACCGAGCACTGATATATGATAAAAGGGAAAATCATAATTGCGTCCAGTTATTGTTATTTTATCGAATATTCGAGTATTCAGTTCAAGAAAACCAATATTCTATACTTATATTAACCAGGCCAACTTTTAAAACGATTTAGGATAAATGTGAAGTAGCAGTCTGAACAACCTAAGCTTTTCAGAAAAAGGGGATAGAGCATTTTGAAATATAACGGTTGTCATTTTGTCTATATATGCTATTTTTATCAGATTTGGAATCATTGTAGGGCAATATTCGTCCTCTTTTTTATGAAATTATTTATCGATTGCTCGATCTCTCCACTCCATGAATTAAATATATACTGTAACTCTTGAGGATTTCATTTGATATTAGAATTGCGTGGAATCCAGACGCTATGTAAATACCTGTCTTGAATACGATAAAGCAAAATAACAGAGTTGTATACTTCAGATAAAACATATTAGCAGGAAATAATGCTTCTAAACATTAACATTAAAATTGACTCCAATCGTACCTCTTGAGATTGCACCCTTGCACCCCTGTAAGTATTGCTTCTGTAACTTCCTCCACTTAGCGCGTCTATTCTGGAACCAAACCTAGAGACAAAAGCAGGTGCACGAATTACAACACATAAGTATCCCCCGAGGCTTCATGACATTTCTGAGAAAGCTAATAGGTACACCTCAGCGGTGAATTATGTAACGTAGCATGTCATATTTCGAATCTTCGATTGCAGTGACAAACACCGATCTAAATAATTTTTTGTGAATTATAAGTTTGTTATAAACCCAAATAAATTCCTTATTTCGATCCATCACTGCAAAAAAACAAAAGATTTCTCAGAAATGATAGGATGTGTAATATCCAATTGCTTCTATAATACATATGAAATGTGAAATAATATTATGGAAAATGAAAAAGTTTAATGGTGGATCTTCTCTTAAAATTAGTCGCGGGGTTTAACATGGCACGCAAATATGATGTGCTCATTTTGATTAGTATTCCGATCTTAGTTGTAGAAATTAATTTTCACAAAATGACTGCGTTGGTTTTGTGCAAATCACATACTCATATTACTTATATTAGCCTACTATTCCTAGAATCGATAAGAATAGATAATCTATGTCCTTTGTAGTATCATATTAATACAATACAAGAATATAAAAGTGTACATGTCCCCACCAATGGGCAATTCTATATAATTTTTTTCATCCTGAATGCCAAACACTAATCAGTTGAAGAAAACTTTTTAGAAAAAATCAAAATGGCCAAAAATCCCAAAAGGCAGTCATTTTGAAATTTTCATACAAAGAATCATTCCTGAAAATTTGAAATCCATCCGTCAAACAGTTGGCCAGGAAACCTGGAAATGCGTAGACAAGACTTTACAGACAACATTTTAGGACAGAAAATCCAAAATGGTCATCTAACATTTACCAAGAATGTTGGAAAATTAATCAGTTCTGGATTTTGAGATAAAGAATCATCCCTGAAAATTTGAACTTGATCCGGAAAACCATTTGCTTCAAAACATGTAGACCAACAAGACTTTATACAGACAAGATTTTTGGACGGAAAATCCAAAATGGCCACCTTAGCATTTAACCAGAATGACCAAAACCTAGTCAGTTCCAGAATCTCTCAAACTAAGAATCATCCCTCAAAATTTAGGAGAGAAAATCCAAAAGAGCCACCTTGACATTTACCCAAATGCCCAAAACCTTATCAGTTCGAAATTATTTTTAAAGCTAAATAAATTAGTACCGTGGGTACTGGGCTCACATGGTGACAGAAAAAACGGATATACTTTTTTGTTGATTTTTTGTAAGAAAAATATTTCAAGCCACTTGCCACTATTTTGGACTGACTGAGAGACAGATGGACAAATCGCTGTTAAGTAAAATGGCTGAAAAAAAAACGAAAAACATTTTTTGCCAATTATTTGTAACAAAATTATTTCATACAACTACTCTTTACAGTGACATGGCTTTTTGCAATGCAGACATCTGAAATTATTTGTAAAGCTAGGAAATGGGCCAAAATTGAATTTCGCGAGACAAAAATGGCGACCATTTTGAAATCAGGCAAGCTTTTGAACCAGGAGTCATAGAGGAGTTTTTCTATTGATGTTGAACAAAAATAGCTTGAAACTGGAATCCTATCGACAGAGGTTTGAAGCAAATGGTCCAAAAGAGGATTTCGCGAGACAGATGGACAAATCAATGTTAACTAAAATGGCTGAAAATAAAACAAGGCACAGGAAGTGAACGAGATCACACCATCAAATAGGCAGACACTATATGCACCAGGAAAACTGTTCTCCTATTATGTTTACAAATTTCAAGAACAAGAAAACAAGATGGCCGCCCAAAAGTTAATCAGCTCTAGTACTTGATATCCTCTATCATTTGTGTAAATTTGAAGGAAATCCAATGAGCGGTTTTCCTGAAATGGTGATGACAAGATTTTTCGAAAAACCTTCAAAATGGCCGCCAGAAAACAAGATGGCCACCCAAAAGTTAATCAGCTCTAGTACTTCATATGCTCTATCATCTCTGCGAATTTGGAGAAAATCTGATGAGCAGTTTTCCTTAAACGGCGATGACAAAAAGCGGGACGATCACGATCACGATCACGATCACGACCACGATCACGACCACGATCACGACCACGATCACGACCACGATCACGACCACGACCAGTATGACGACGATGGTGTGATAAAAAACGGATATAATATTTAGCCGATTTATTGTAACAAAATTATTTCATACAACTACTCTTTACAGTGACATGGCTTTTTACAATGCAGGACAGCTGAAATTATTTGTATAGCTAGGAAATGGGCAAAAAGTGAATTTCGCGAAACAAGAATGGCGACCATTTTGAAAATAGGCGAGCTTTTGAACCAAGAGTCATGGGAGAGTTTTTTGTATTGATGTTGAACAAAATTAACTTAAAACGGGAATCCTATCGACAGAGGGTTTAAGGTAAATGGTCTAAGGTGGATTTTGCGAGACAAAAATGGCGGCCATTTTGAAAATAGGCGAGCTTTTGAACCAGGAGTCATAGGGGAGTTTTCTGTATTGATGTTGAACAGAAATAACTTAAAGCAGGAATCCTATCGACAGAGGTTTTAAAACGTGCCACTGTTATTGACGGAAAATGGATTTCACGAGTCAGATAGACAAATCAATGCTAACTAAAATGGCTGAAAATAAAAAGATGGATATAATTTTTCGCTGATTTTTTGTAACAAAATTATTTCATATTATCTACCCTTTACATTGACATGGATTTTTACAATGTAGGACACCTGAAATTATTTGTAAAGCTAGGAAATGGGTCAAAAGTGAATTTCGCGAGACAAAGGTGACGGCCATTTTGAAATAGGCGAGCTTTTGAACCAGGAGTCATAGGGGAGTTTTCTGTATTGATGTTGAACAGAAATAACTTAAAACAGGAATCCTATCGACAGAGGTTTTAAAATGTGCCACTATTGTTGACGAACGGACAGACAGACGGACGGACGGACAGACGGACAAGTGAGTGATTGCAAAAGCTCACCATGTGAGCTAAAAATAGTTTAATTATGAGAGCTCAAAAACACCTTATTAATATGATACAAAGTATTATTGCTCGGTCACTTTTCTTTAGACATCCAAAATGGCTGACATGACTGAGCCAACATGTCCAAAATCTAATTAGACGTAGAATGAAGTGAGTTGAAGAAGATGTTAAAGTTACTTTTAAGGACGTGGTGGACAAATTAAAGCAATTTTTAATTTTTGTAAAATGTAGTTTAAATGAAAGATCTTTCAATTTCCTAAAAAATAAGACCAAAAAACTTTTTCGTTACAGACCTTACAAAAGTATCTCCAAAACAACTTATTTCGGGCATTTTATGGGCAGAAATGTGCTCCCCATATTATTTCACTGGGGATTTTTACTGTTAACAGCTTTCAAAATATTTAAATTTCCCCAACTTTTAACAAGTTTTAGAGAATATCGAGTAGATTCAGATAAAAGAATAAAAAATGGGGTCGCCGTCTTTTTATGCTAGAATCATCAGATGTTACAGTTTTAAAAGTAACTGAGACGCCGTTTTTCTTAAAGTTTGCAGACAAGGATTTTAACATTTGAATTCAAAATGACCGACAGGAAGTGGGTATCGAGTGGAATTTTTTACTACTGGATCTGTATATATATAAGTTATCCCTGAAAATTAGAAGGTGATACCTGTAGCGGTTTTTGAGAAAACTGTCGGACGGACGGACGGACGGACGGACGGATGCGCCTAGGCCGACAATATGGCCCCACACTATGTGGCGGGGACATAATAAAACGAACTCAAAAGCGTTTTAATGTACAATTTATATCGGGTGGGCATAAAATGGGCCGCACTAATCAAGTGTTGTCTGGTTGTATTGTCAAAGAACTTCTGCCAGATAGACGGGCACAGGTTTGGCCGAATCAATATGTTTTTTTCTTTGGCGTACAAGAAATTGTTCGCAACATGTATCAATGAAAAGGGTTGAAGAAGGACAAAAATTGCGAAAGAATTCCTGGATAAAAGTTCCGTAAACTATTTGATCAGAAAGTTGAAAGGACAGGTTCTGTAGAAAGAACGTACGTACAGTGGACAACCAAAAACTGTTTGCTCCCAAAGAACAAATAAGCGAATACGGACTTTAAAAAGGATAGAATAGAAAACATGCTGAAGAAATGTTTATGATAAATTTTCGCTGGAAAATTTACAGAAAATTGGCTTCATGATTTTCCATTTGAGATCGCGTGCAAACCGGAACATGCGTTTTTGACTCATTTTATCGATTTTGGTCCCATGAATAGAAATCTTAAGGGATTTGTGACATGAGAGGTATCAAAGTATTTATGCCCACCATGCCCATATAATTGAAATACCGGGGTTATATACAAAAATATTGAACGATATTTATCGCTAAGCAATGTTGAGAGATTGATGTACGCTAGTCCGTCTTTTACAATCAATGACCTCTAATTATATCATATACATTGTAGTTTCTAATTAGCTGACGTCAATACTTATCTTCACTTATACTATATCCCACACCTTCAGATGATGTCAATACCATGAGAGTACACTCACCTGTACCCTAGCTTCTGTCAAATCAATGCGCAGAGCGAGTTCCTCGCGACAAAACACATCAGGATAATGACTTTTCTGGAAAGATTTCTCTAGCTCCCCAAGTTGGTAGCTGGTGAATGTCGTTCTGTACCTTCGCTGCTTCCGTTTGAATTGGGCATCTGTGGGTATAATTATCATAAGAGTGAGAATAAATTATAGATGCAGAATTTTGTATACAATACAATGTTTGTAATGCAGCAAATCAAAGAATCGTTAAGCCCCCTTTCAGTTGTTTTTAGTCACAATTTAAGCCGTACCCAATGCTCATATTTTTAACCAGAATGTATGTGTTGCTACCCTAGGGTAGTGTGTTGCCTATTTATATGATCAAAATTGTGCTTTGGCATCGTAGAAAAATTGATATCATAGAAAAATGCATCTTTGAATTCCAAGGTGGCTATAACACTGAAATTGGAGTAACTGAAATAAAACCTTGTGAATCAAAACACAATCAGCCTGAATGTGGACGATCATCCAAGTCAGATCACCGCCAGCTAGTCGTAAATGAATAAAGATATCAAATATATGCAACTTCCAAGGTGTTATAACACATGAAGTTGGAACAACTAAAACCTTGTGAATCAAGACTCCATTTATTACACACTACTGGTACTTCATGGGTGATACAGTCACCTTATGTATTTTAAAATGTGAGATACATGTAGGATAACCACCATTAGAGCAATCCTGTACTAAAGCCCCACATATCCGGGCACACATCCCCGCATTTACTCCAACCCGCATACCAGGAAGGCTCTTGCGCATATAGTTTATGCCTAGGTCACATTTGCTCCGATCCATCGGCCGGCGCCCGGCCGATTGAGTGTTTTGCTTAATATTGTATTCAATTTTGAACAAAATACTCAATCGGCCGGGCGCCGTCGGGGAAATCGGAGCAAATGTGACCAAGGCATTACCGTTTTTTTGTTTAACAAAGTAGCTATCTAATTACCAAACGTACACGTTTGAAATCTATCTAGTTGTTCAACAAATCAACCTTATGATGCTGAAAAGAACATTACATTAAAGATGATTTTAAAATCGTTTTAATGAAGTAATGTAGATCAATTCATTGGAAATCATTTCCCTGATATCAGTCATGCATAAAATGCAATTATGAAGATTTATTTATATAAAACTGTTTTTCCTTTTATGGCCCACCCTGTAGATGTAGGCGCTGGTCGAACAAGTTGTTTTCGAATGCCAAAGACATCACGTGACTGATGCATTTGTATTTCTCTGGAAGGTAAATTAATGACTCCCATTTCGATATTATTTTATATTATATTGAATTGTAATAACAGCTCTAGTTACTCAGGAGGGAGGCTTCTAAGATACGATTATTGACTACTTTAAATTACTAACGATCCCGGGCTAACGATCTATGTTGTTAATATATTTTCGATAATAAATATATGTACGGAAGTTTTTCACATACCAGGGGAGAAATCTGCAAAGCTAACAGATGGATTACATTGGAACAGAGGTTTCGATTTCTCACGTTCATTTCCTCGCACATGTAGGTTCATAGGTTCCACACTTGGTAAAGCTACTGCATCTCCTTTAGACGTACCTATATGAATAAAAGAATAAAATAGTACTAAGGGCATTGAACTTCGGAGTGAAAGTGCATTCAAAAGATCAATTGAAAATATGATCATTTGGAAAGTCATCTCACAAATAAGCTTTAAGTTTTAAAGTCTCGTATGTGTACATGGTTCCTTTTTTAACAACGTTAGTAAGTTTAACAATAGGGAGTTTAAGCTTGCATATAAAATCGAAACGGGTTAATACGAACCGAATAAACAGGGAAATGTACTCGAAGTGGCGATTGTGTTTTCTGTCAGTCAGTATTACCCCCCTTACCCAGCTCTATAGCGCAGTATAAGGTGACCTGATTTTGCAAATGAGAAGACCCCGTTAGTTTCTCGTTAGAGCCGTTAGCGCAATCAAAACGGACGCGGACAATCTTCGTTTTAACTGTTGTTTCCAAACGGTTCGTGACCGAAATTCACTCAACTATAGAAAATATGTTACGTTATAGGATGGATTGTTTTTATTTACCAATCATCAACATGTGCTGATATATTCAGCTCTGGACTTTATGTCCAGAGAGGGGTAAGACACATCGTCAGAAAAAAGTTCATGTTTTCACACCCCTATTTGTTTATTGGCTAATTCAAATCGGATGCGGTAAAAACCGAACGGTAAAAAACGAACCAATTTGCGAACGTTCCGGGTTTTACGTTCGCCCTTGGTTTGTCCGGCCGGTGATATGCTCAATGGCGCTATTTACCACAAGTTGGTAAACATGTCATTATGGATCTGTTTTAAAAAACATTTGATGATTACTTTTAATAAAGATCCCCCGTAAAGTTTAAACCACTTTAGTAAGGTAAGCTTATGAAAATGTGAAACGTCTTTAATTCAAGAACTGACGTTTTTGGGGATTTCTTTACTTACAATTGGTAAAAATAGAAAATAAAAAAAACTTAACTCTTAAATGGTGGGGTTTAAATATTTCAAAATAATAAAAACTAACAACTTGTTTCAAATTAATTATGGATGGAGCCTTTAAGGTCTGAAAAATACATGCATCCTAAATATTCCTACCTGCGTCCACGTGGACAGTGGGAGATGATGAAGCAGATGGCGGAGTTGCTTGTTGGCAGGCTGGTGTATTGTTACTTCTGTATGTGGGGCAACCGAGTCCTCCAAATGAATAGGACTGAAATGTTGGTCGTAAACCATGCATATTGGACAAGCCAAACGACCCTCTTCTTAGCAATACAGACTCGTCCATACAGTCATTCCTCTCCATTGTCTAGTTAAGTCGAAGATTTTCTAACGTTGATTATTAATAATTAATTTATTCTGTTGTTGAGTTTTAAAACATTTAAGAAATTGTTTATCCCATTTAAGATATAAATTGACTTTTTCTCCAATTACAATTGCCTTGAAAAAATTGATAACGTTAAATTATCACAGATTCCTTCATGGAATTTAGTAAACTAATATATTATCATTAAAACATTGCTTTTATATGGGAGATCTTTTAGGATTTCTAACAAGAACAACATTTTTAATCTGTTTCTAGATTTCATTTCATGGCTTCACGAAGGATTATGATCCTCTTAATAAACCATGTGTCAATTATCTAATTGCGGTAATACACTTAGGTTTACGTTGTTTAATTGATAATTTCCCTATGATATTTGTTTTGCTGGATAGTTGAATTCAATCTTAAATGTTTACAGGATTCCCAATCCCATTAGACCTTAATAATATCAAACAATAAGCTATAAGTTCGTATTGAAATCAGACTCATTATCGGAATTATAGTGATACTTTGTTATCTTATTTCCGCGTATTCAATACATACAAGTGATGTGAGGATTAGCATGGTGTTTTTAGCTTCAAATATTCATAATATTTCCCATTTAAAGTCTGTCAACATGAGCATTGCATTGAAAAGCGGGTATGCGTTAGTTGGGCTTGATGCCTCTTTATTAGCGTTCCATCTTTATTCATCCTGTGAACCAATCGCAACTATCGCATATTATGTATCTTCCATACGCAACTTAAGCGTAATGATTAGAACGTGTTTTTGAAATATAGAATAGATGTCATTGGTTAGCTGTATTAAGTCCCGTAAGGGTACAGAAGTGTAGGGGAACATGGGGCAAAACGGCCCTGTGGGGCAAAGTGGCCCATCGAAATATCTTTTGAACTACAAAAAGATGGTTCTTCAAAAGTCACATAATCGAATTTTGAAATTTCCGCCACCTTCTCGACCGCCCATTTTTAACCAAGCAGCGTCTCGCTTTACGTAAGAGATAATTCTAATTTTCACTCTCTTTTTTGCAAATTACCCCTCCCACGAGAATCTCTAAAAAATCCGGCAACGATAGAATATCTCTTAGATTTAACATTTTACATAGAGTATGCATATTTATTCTTTATTTGTAAAAATTTCGAGCTTCAAATATTAGGCAAATTAAAATGACGTCTTTTTGAAAATTCATATGTCTTTGGGGCAAAACGGCCCACACATGTTATAACATACAAAAATCCTTTTGTACAAGAACAACTGGTTTTCAAATATAACGATTTTAACATTTGGTTTGTACCTTATTTCCCTCCGACACATATCGAATGACTAGAATTATTGTAGCCGTTAAGAATACTTTATCTGTCAAAGGTTTGAACGTCTGAGATAAGATGTGTGTGGACGAGTCTTGCAATTGATTAATTTTGCTTTTAAAACCCATGTAACAGAGGGTGGGCCGTTTTGCCCCGCCCATGGGCCGTTTTGCCCCTCTCCCGACATTATTTTTGACCATTGAAAAATCACAGAAGATAGTCCTAAGCAAGTATAAAACATTCGAAAAATGTAAACCACAACCCATTAATAAAGTGGAACATCAAAGTGCGTGATGATTGACAGATAAGAAAATACCTCGTATGGAACAACTCAAAATTAAATTTTTAGGGCCGCTTTGCCCCAGGTTCCCTTACGTGTACGTCCGAGTACTTGGCAGACAAATAAAATCTTTGGCATTCTCTACTCGTCACTCTCCGTCATCGCGTAGTTTTCCTCAACAGTTCATGTTTTGGTTATTCAGGTTATTTGGTAGAGTTGGCAGTGCACTTATCCCATCTATTCCTATTCACGGCTACTATCCAGGCCAAGTATATATCGAGCAAGTTCCCGCTGACATCGCGAGCAAAGAGCTCATCTTAGAAGTGGAGCCTTGATAGATATGATGAAATTGAAATATAAAATTTTAGAAGTGAAACTCAGTAGAACTTTTCAATTGCAGGGCAACGATGTTCTTCAATTATAAAATTTTATATTTCAATTTTACATATCTCTTAAGGCCCCGCTTCTATCATGAGCTCATTGCTCGCGATGTCAGCGGGAACTTGCTCGCAATATATACGGGGCCTGGATAGTCACCGTGCTATTGTGTTCTTTGTCGTACACTGGAATAAAAACGAGAATATATTCATAATACCATGTTACGTAATTCAAATATGAATGAAATAGTTTCAGGTATATTTAAACTAGAAAACAGCAACGTCATTGAGTATAGCAATTCCCACCGAACAAAACATATTTTTGATTAATAGTGGCCATCTTGAAAATTTCTTCTTGAGCAGAGCTTGTTTGTCCCTTGGCATCAACATATAAAATGTAAACCATATCCGTTAATTAGCATTTGAGTTATCAAAGATTACATTCCTTTTTACGAAAATCAGCCGCCATTTTGAAAATCTTTCTCGAACAGAGTCCCTAGGCATCAGCATATAAAATTTGAACAAAACCCATTCACTACTATTTGAATTATCAAAGATTAGATTTTTTACGAAAAGGGGAGGCAATTTTAAAATTCAGCTGCCGTTTTGAAAACTCTTTGTCAAATAGAGGAACTGTGTCTCTACCATCAGGTATCTGAGTTATCAAAGATAACATTTTTTACGAAAAATGGCCGCCATTTAGATATTTAGTAGCCATTTCCCTCTTCGGGGTCACCCCTTTGTCCTGAGGCATCAGCATATAAAATTTGAACCAAATCCGTCAACTAGTATTTGAGTTATCAAAGATTAAGATTTTTATGAAAAATTGCGGGCATTTTGAAATTCAGCCGCCATCTTAAAAATTATTTCTTGAACAAATCTACTTTGTCCCTAGGCATCATCATATAAAATTTGGACCAAATTCGTTCACTGGTAATTGAGTTATTATGGCCGCCATTTTTATATTTAGCAGCCATTTTGAAAACCTCTTCTTCAGGGTAGCTCCTTTGTCTCTAGGCATCAGCATATACAATTTGAACCAAATCTGTCAACTAGTATTTGGGTTATCAAAGATTACATTTTTACGAAAAATGGCGGCCATTTTGAATTTAGCGACCATATTGAAAATACCTTTTCGAGCAGAGATTCTAGCCCCATAAGGCATAGCCTATAAAATTTGAATCAAATCCGTCAACCGATATTTGAGTTATCGCCCGGACAAACAGGCGGACGGACGGACGAACGGACGGACGTACGGCTTTCCTATATCCCCCTCGATCTTCGTTCGATGGGATAATGAATTAAGATAGTAGGTTAATCCGGTAGCCGACAGCCGAATGTTGCATTCACGAATGCAAGCTTAGATATCAGATTTAAAAAAGAAATCAGACTAGAACCCACATATACAGTAGTCTAGTGACGCATGCGCTTTGTATAACGAATACGCTCGGGAGTTAAATTGCACCAAGTTATAATAAGATATTCTCGAATAATCAGTAACTTTATTAATGCCCCGGTTGTATTTTATGTGTCAAGCTAGAAGAGGTTCTCTATTGATTTAGGAGTTAATGAGTTATTCAAATATACCCGAAGGACTTAAAAAACGTTCCTGAATCTTGCAAAATAATGGCATTTTCGCGAAATATAAAACGTGCCACGCGTGACTGTTGATGGTCGTTCAACTTCTCCTCATGTTATCTATAGTTTAGGTTACTATAACAAAAATCTAAGCATCGTAGCTCCAATATAAGTTTTCATTTGTTATTCCATTTGTTTGTTTTCCTAAGAGAATGTCGACAGTTCATATTGTAAGCGAGGTTTCTTTGACTTGTTACTTTTGCGCTAAATTGTTTCCATCGATTAGTGCCCGTAACAATAGTTGCGTGACAGAAAGAGTTGGATTCTAAATATGAAATATGTTATATGATTTAACTATAGGACTTATATGGATTTGATGCAATAGTTTGCCAAGACCGTAAAGAGTTCAAAATGTCGAAATATATTCGAAATATATTCTATATATATATATATCTATGTTCGGCAAGGAGTCTTTTTATTGTTGAGATTTCACTCCAAGCTCAGTAACAGGGAATGTTTTAAACGCAAAAAGCACAGTTCATAGAGATTTGCGGAATTAATTTATCCAGTGAGAAAATCCAATCAGTGACACGTTAAGGATTCTTTTCTGAATCTTTATTAGTTTAGCTTCGAGATATAATCTCTTAAAACCGGCTCATTTTACCTCAACTGCAGCATAGCGCTCAATACACCACAGTAGGCTTACGGGTAATGTAAAGTACTCGAATAAAATAGCTTGAACACATCCCAGTAAACGTTATCTATTTCAGATATCGAGAATCGAAGCAAGCTGTGAATCTAAAAAATAACCAAATATAAAGAGAAACGATGCATATGGGATCAATGCGATAATCAGCAGTTCGGTATATAACACACCCCACCTTCAACACAACTACACATGGTTTTCATAATTCTGTGATGGATTTGAGTAGTGCGAAAAAAGAGGTATTGAAACTGTGGTCATGTTAGGAAACCCAAGCTCATATTATTCATAACATTAGTCAAATCTAGATCTAGGGTGAGGAATTTTCTTCCTGTGTCGGGGGTTTCAGTAAAAAGGTAAATGTAATTTGCGTATTCATTATAACGATACGTTTTAGTAGACGGTGAACGCATAATGTAATATGTATCCGTTATAACCATACGTTTTACCGAGACAGTGAACGTTGTTGCAAATTGAAATGTAATGTAATACGTATTCGTTACATTACGTTTTACGAGACGGTGCACGTATTTGCCGTTAACAGGGTGTGCTGAATCGGGGCTGAATCCGGTTAAAACCACTCCGTTAATAGATGGGAATCAGTAAATCATTCAACAGAGGCGCGATCCAATCAATTACGACGCTTCGAAGCAATAAATGAGCGACTATCAATTTTCCTAAATTGAATTTTGCCAACAAACTGCCGCTTTAAGAATATCAATTCCCAAGTGGGGACTGTATGATAATTTAAGGCTTCTATTACACAGACAATAGTCACAATACACCAAGGATAAAGACAGGAGCTGCGTAATCTGGTAATGCTCTATAAAATCCATATTACACACAGTCGGGGAGGCATTACACAATATGTTCCGGTTGGTATTGGTATTGGCCATGGTGACCTATCTTGGAACTCGGGTAAAACGCCAGTGCCGGAATTGTTTTAATTTGACAAACTGACAATGCCATCCGAAGAACAATGAAACTGCATCTAGTACTAGTCATACAAATATAGACTGTTGGTGGATTATCAGTTACAATAATGCTGCAAGGCTTAACGCTAGATTATCTCGCGGATGTGGAATATTCTGTCGTAAGAGGCCTTTATTGGTTTAGATCTATATAGTTCTACTATGCGATGCACGCAACTTAGATGTAGAGCTACACGAGGAAAAATATTCTTATCGATTTGTTGAAGATAATTCAGTGTGGTAATTCGAAATCAAAGGGGAGAAGATTTGAGGATTAGCCATTAGAAACCTTCGTAATGATAAATCAAAAAGTGTATATCTTAACTCATCACCACTTGGGATATTTACTTGGGATGTTACTGGATTTCATTCCTGTTCTATAAATACTGCGTAGTATGTATTACATTGGCTAACAGTCTGTTGTGTGTTAATACTGGTCAGTATTGATGGAAAAAGAATTGGATTTTTTAGACTTACGTAATGCTTCAACAAATGTTATAGGAATATTGACAATTGATTAATCATATTAGTGAACGGATCACTATACCAAACTGCATCGATGATCCTCACAATTTCTACCATGGAAATCCGCTTCAACAAGCCAGTCATCGGCAAGATATGCGCCATCATCGCTTTCTGCATACTTGTCTCTTGGGTGCTCAGTGACGCCAATGTTTACACCTCCAGTCGTCTACCACACGAGGAGCGCAAGGCTTTGTTTTTCAAGACCTTACTTAACCTAAGCGAAGCAGAAGAGGCGGATCTTCTCGATGAACATCAATATTTTGCTTATGAACCGGAATGTGAAACTGATATTAGAAAGTTAGATATTAACATGCCAATGGTAGCACGGGGTAGTACAAGAGCTGTGGGTGCGAAACTTACGTCTCTGATTACTGTTTTACCAAATGACCTAGTAAAGGTTGCGAACAAGAAGTTCAGAAAGACGGAAGTGATATACACAGCTTTGGTTACAGAGGAAACACTGTTGTTCGCAAAAAGTTGGTTGTGCAATACAAAATATTTAGGAATACATCCATCGGTTTTATTGTTCTCTCCAATGCTAAGCGTGATTGAAATCTTGAAAAAAGAATGGCCTGGTGTAAACGCTTTGTTTATTCCCATTTCTCAAGCAGATGAGCTGAAAGAAAAGCATGGATTTTTCCACACTAAATTAAAAGGTTTATCGATGATGGTTGTAAAACTTTATGTAATCTCTACACTTATTCAAAATAATTTCCACACCGTTCTATTCGAGACGGATTCTTATTGGAAAAAGAATCCTTTATCTCATCTTAGAGGATACTCAAAATCTGACGTCATATTTTCTAGTGCGTCCCACCTCAGTGATCATTTGTCACGTGGTCTCCTATACTTTAAACCGATTGGTCAAGTACATTCAGCTTTATCCAATACAACGAAATACGTCCACGCAGCCATGCGTAGACTTGTATCGAGTAATACAACGGACGAGTGCACAGTTTACACATTCCAGGCGTTTCTTCAATGGAATATCATTGACTCTGGGAAAGTGAAGTACAAACTGCTACCATATTCCATCGTGGCAGACGGTATGTGGTACGTCTATCACTCTAAAGAGTCGAATCGGAGATATGTTAAACAATCACCCCACGACCCAATTATCATTTTAAATAATGGTGTGCGAAAGACTCGTCTGAAAATATTTCGTGCTGAAAAGCACAAGCATTGGTTCTTGAGAGATGATACAATTTCTTGCAAATGGCAACGTTGAGACCGCTTTTCATGAGACCGACTACATTAAATTCTTATTTAAGATGAGACTGAGTGTTTATTAAAATAACGTGATATCAAGAAGATCCAGAGTGAAAAACGACAATTTATAAAATACTGGCCAAATAGTCTAATGTAGGTCCATGAATGTAGCAATAATCTCATTTCAAAGGGCAACATAGTGGGCCAAGGGCCATCTTAACTTGTACTGATACCTGAGAACAGATCTTGCAGGGTGATGACTGAGAATAATTGGTGCCTGTAACATTCTTCCAAACACACTAGTAAAAGATGAGTAAATTCTGTTTGTTTAAATGTCAGTACAAATCTTATTCAATTTATACAAAAGTAATTGTCACAGTAACTTGATACTATCATGTCGAGAGACAGTTTATTCTGAATAGTTTATCTTTGTAAACTAAATATCTAAACCCACGTCCCTATGCATGTATATGCGATTGATTGTATATTTACAGTATATATGTCATTGATTGTATATTTACAGTATATAATATGCAATTGATTGTATTACGACATAGCTTACAGAATCTGATTATGAAAATAGAAATTTCATCAGGATGCAATTACTCAGTTACATTTTCAATTATGATTTTGAATGTAAATCAGTGTCATGGACTCTTGGTTTGTAAAATAAATAAGCAGATTTCGATATCGTCAATTTCTGCAAGATATATGTAGCAGTTCACTATATTTTGTATGGTCGTTGTTCTATGTAGCTTGGTCGGTCGATCTTCCACTAAAAACAAACACGGCATAGTATTAATGAAAATATTCCCTTTGTGAGAACAAGTACCACTGCTTGTTTGTAATGTTGATTGTGTTCATATTTTATCATTACACATTGTACAGTACTTCCAAATAATTTCACACGATTTAGGGGCCCATCAATATTAAACCTGTCTAAACTAAACAGATATTTTGCATAAGCCCGGTATTTCGTTGAAATATTTTATCCTACTTATCATGATTGGGATAAACATCATATTCAACAGACATGTGGATGCTGACGAGGGTCTAATTTATTGTACGGGAGATTACCATAAAGTGGGGAACGTGAGTTGGTATTGATTTCCGCAATGTCAATAACGAAGGTTGCAGCAGTGCTTACAAAACCAAACAATAACGATATTATCCAATTTTGCTGGGGATCTGAGTAATGAAATAGATAAGAAATTCTATAAATTGTAGAAATTAATCAAATTGGGAAATTGACTTACGTTTGGTTTATCAAAGACAGGGACGCCTCCAATTCTTGCCATCAATTCTGAAAATATCAAACATGTCAACATTTCATACACGAAAGCTTAGTAATGGTCATTCAGTAATTAACACCGTGCCATGTCTTAGATTGCACAAAAGCCACCCTTTATGAATTTTCCCGCTTTCTCTGGTTTACGAGTATTCACGTAAGACAATTGAAAAAGTCACGTCTACCTGTTTGTGATACCAGAATTTATCATCTCATATAGTCGTCGACCTCTTTTCCCCTTGGGAGAGATCCATTGACACTACATGATTAGGAGTAATCGTGGTAATTTCTAATTAGTATAAAGTACTTGAAATCTCAAATAAATCTTGATTCTAGTGTGAGATGGCATTGTATTGGAATGATATATTATGGTGCTGTTTGTATTTTGGTAGCTAGTTTCGTGTTTTTATGGTTGTTATTTATCGTTTTCCGTTCGGTCTCATAAATGTATTCATGAATAACATGTTGAATAAAATGTTGAATAACATGGTTGACTTCAGTGCAAGATTATTGCTTAACAATCAGTTCCTTTCTTTTGAGATACAGGAGTATACGATACAGTTACTAATGTACCTTCATCAGTGACGTAGGCCTTATTCTCCAAAGCATTCTTGACATTTTCTTCTTCACGTCTCTTCCTTATTTCATCTACCAGCTCATCATTGGTGAATATCTCTATCGGTTCCTTGTTGCTCACCACTATCGTGGATGTACTCGGCATCTCTGTTTCGGTTTGCTACATGACAGAAGTAGGAAGTTTGATGCATTATTAGTTTGCATATTCGTTTCATTTCATCAGTTTATCATGTTAAGTTTAGAGGCAACTGACACCCATATGGATTATGTTTATATGGTTTATGATATCATATAATTGTACTTATCGAGATGACAAGATAAGATAAGGTGTTTTAAAAGATAGAAAGAAGAAAATAAACGGAAATAAGAAAGAAATATTCAGAGTTCTCATGTTTTATGCGATTAAACATAAAATATGCAACAACGTCATTGATGTAAATAAGGAACAGGATGAGACCAAGAATCGTAACCAGTGGAACCTCAGAGGTTACTACATTTGTGCTTGAAATCTTGCCGTTATATTCAGTTTCCTGAGTTCCATTTGAACGATAAATAATAGTTTTTGAAGAAGTTTCTCATGATTTGCAGTATCGAAAGCTTTAGACAAGTCGAAGAATATGACAATTTGAAAACGAAATTCGATTAGATGTACTAATGTTTCTAAAAAGCTAGTGATAGCTATATGTGTATATATGTTTTGAAGCAAAATTGCTTTCATAGTATATAATAATTATCTTGGAATTTTAGTGTTGAAAAGTAGTCGATGCATGATAAATACTTATACAACCATCTTTTCATTAATGATTTATTAATTTCAATAATATGTATTTGAATACCATTTGAGTTGATAAGGTAAGTATGAAATAGTTTCTTCATGTGTTTAGCTTAATCAACGATGAAACCTACCTTGTCTGACAGAATCTTAGTAGGTACAACAGCGGGCAAGGGCGGACAATATGGTTCTTCTTCATAAGGACGGAAGTGTACGCTGCGGATATCTTTCTCTTTCCTTGAACAATATAATATTCAAAATGTATCTCATTATCACAAGGAACGTTGTTCTGTGAGACATAATAACCCGTTCATAACCCATCCGCCCGTTCGTTTGTTCGTCCGTTCGTCTGTCAGAGCGATAACTCAAATACAAGTTGACGAATTTGGTTCACGAGTTAAGGGCTGACAGTAGGACCTTGAGAAGGGATTCTCAATACGTTCGTCTCTATTTGAAATGAACACCACATTTCATAAAAATGTAATCGTGATAATTAAAAGACCAGTTGACAGATTTGATCTAAAATATTATATACTGATGCTTAAGAACCGTTAGTTCAAGAAAACATTTTCAAGATTGCCTCTGAATTTGAAATGGCCGACATTTTTGTGAAAATGTTATCATAATATCTGCTCCGCTTTGGGAAATTATTTATATTTTCATTATTCTGTTCAACACCTCATCAGACCAAAAATTGGGGATACCTCGCATTATTTATATAAATGAAAAACGTTATAATGTTATAATGTTACATCTAAATGTCTCACCTTTCGAGAATCATCATTCTCCTGTCACCGTCCAGGTCAGAGAAGAGACGACTGACAGTGCGGCACATCCAGATGATGTAGCAAAGGAGCATCAGGAAGAGGATCCAAAGAACACACAGGCTGGCTATACCGATACCACCGAGAAGCTTGTTCATCAGTTCATCTGTGATAAAGATTGGCGTGTATGTTAACAAACAATTAAGAATATGAATAAATCCGATCAGTAAAATGTTTTGTTTCAAAGCTAGTGAGACATATTAAGAAAGTTCAGCAATAGTAGAGGCATTAAGAGCGCAAGGCTACATTCACAATTTCCATCATTATTCTGTATTTTTGATTATAGTCTACTTGTGATTTAGATTAGGAATCGGGTCAACTCTATGTTCAGGTGTAATGATTTATTTGCCTTTATTTATTTTCATCTGAGACACTATGATTCAGTAAATGAAAATGTACCCCTCTCGCAATAAGTCCCAGTGTAGCCCAAGCTGCATCTGCAGACGAATTTAGTGTTGTTCCCTGCACATGTACCACCATTGAAACAAGGGTTGCTCGAACATGGGCCTAAAATTAGAAAGACGTTTCAAATCATACAGCAGTCTAACATACTGTTTGTGAATTAAACAATATCATCATAATTATTACAATCTTTACGGACTTTTTTTAATCAGTACAGCAAATAAATATTGAAATTAAAATAAATGAACAGTATAAATAGATATTATCAAAATTATAAAATGTGGATATCGACATTATTTTTCTGGGGACTTTTTTATCCTTGAATAACTGAATAAAGTATCGAGCATTTTAAAAGGTACGCCAATAAACGGGACAACAATAATACGAAATTCAATGTAATTTTGGGAAAGTTGGTTTTATCTCTGATTCGACCATTTAAAATTAGATATTACCTGATGATTGTGCTGTTGCCAGAGGGAGACATACAAGGAAGAGCAAGTCTGAAAACATGAGTAACAATTATATATAAGATTTCATTTTCATTTCAAACGGTGCCTCGCAAAGATACACAGTTTCAATTGCGATCACGGAGTCATCTTTGGCTTCCAAAGAAGCTCAATGAGTTTGTTAGACTTAATAACTGAAACCGTTTCATCAAAATGGCATGGAGACGAGAATATTTCATAATTCCTGGTTTTAAATATACAATCACAAATTGAAATTTTAAGACTGTACTTACAGAAATATACGCAGTATGCCATCATTATCCAAGTCCCTCTTCCTCACACACGCGCTATCCAAATTGTTAATCACTAGTGTATTTAGTGACGATGGTATAAAATGTAAAAATTGTAGTGTTGTACACCCAAAATACTTACATTTTGGGAAGGGAATTGGACTTTTGAACTCAAATTTGCGTTTGTCGACTCCCTAATACTTGTTATCAATGGTATCAAATATATCCAATACTATCAATATGCACTTCACATTTTCCGACTTTTCAAGCACCGGAATTAAAGACACTTAAGCTCACTAAATGATCAAAAGCTCCCTCAATTTGCCTCATTTACGATGTCCCAAAATGTATAAACGGGTACCTTTTTACAAATTATATGCATAGTTTAGAATATAAATCCTCATATTATTCCTAGTCATCTTGTACTAAGCGTCTCAGAACTATGCTGCATTTCTAAGGGCCCAGGTGAAGCTAAATGATTCCCATTAGATGTCATGAAATTTTAAAATGCCTCATAATATGGAGTCAAGGTTGTAATGAAGTTGTAATGAAATTGACTTTGAAAATATATTTGTAATACAATCGAAGAAAAATAACATTGTAATGATTCCTATTCTATTGGATGTAATTTAAAATGCCTCATAATCGGGAGCAAGAATTTGAAATTATAAGGAATTTGAAATACTTGTGTAAAATTCGAAAAAATAACATTGTAATGGTTCCCATTGGATGTAATGGAATTTCAAAATCTAGATTTAAGATTCAATAAAAAAAACTAATGAAATATACTTCTAAATGGCATATAAAACTGACAGTATACTAGTATTAGTAGTACTTCAAAGTAAAAAGTACTCTTATAATCGTCTAGCCCTTGTGTAAGGTAAAAAAGCTTTTATTACGGTCTATTTCATAACAATAAAAATCCAAATTTTGCAAATGGCTACCCTTAAATCGTGACACTGTTGGCTAAATGTTACCATAAGATTTTAATTCTAATGATCACTATCGATTATTTATAACTTTTATTGCATTGGCTACTTTGACTCAAGAGGAACTTTTGGTCCCGACGAGAGTCAACAAACAGATTAACATTACAAATCACCAATCCAATTGTTGTTTCAGTCACCAGCAATCACTGAGGTTTTTTCCAAACTGGACAATAAACCGATTGTTGTTTCAGTTACCCATCACTGAGGTTTTTTCAAATTGAACAATAAACCGATTGTTATTTCAGTCACCCATCACTGAGGTTTTTCCAAATTGAACAATAAACCGATTGTTGTGTCAGTCAACAATCACTGAGGTTTTTTCCAAACTGGACAATAAACCGATTGTTGTTTCAGTCACCCATCACTTGAGTTTTTCCAAATTGAACAATAAACCGATTGTTATTTCAGTCACCCATCACTGAGGTTTTTCCAAATTGAACAATAAACCGATTGTTGTGTCAGTCAACAATCACTGAGGTTTTTTCCAAATTGGACAATTAACCGATTGTTGTTTCAGTTACCCATCACTGAGGTTTTTTTCAAATTGAACAATAAACCGATTGTTGTGTCAGTCAACAATCACTGAGGTTTTTTCCAAATTGGACAATAAACCGATTGTTGTTTCAGACACCCATCACTGAAGTTTTTCCAAATTGGACAATAAACCGATTGTTGTGTCAGTCAACAATCACTGAGTTTTTTTCCAAATTGGACAATTAACCGATTGTTATTTAAGTTACTAATCACTGAGGTTTTTTCCAAATTGGACAATTAACCGATTATTGTTTCAGTTACCCATCACTGAGGTTTTTTCCAAACTGGACAATAAACCGATTGTTATTTAAGTCAACAATCACTGAGTTTTTTCCAAATTCGACAATAAACGAATTGTTATTTCAGTCACCCATCACTGAAGTTTTTTCCAAATTGAACAATAAACCGATTGTTGTTTCAGTCACCCATCACTGAAGTTTTTCCAAATTGAACAATAAACCGATTGTTGTTTCAGTCACCCATCACTGAAGTTTTTCCAAATTGAACAATAAACCGATTTTTGTTTCAGTCACCCATCACTGAGGTTTTTCCAAATTGAACAATAAACCGATTGTTGCTTCAGTCACCCATTACTGAGGTTTTTCCAAATTGGACAATAAACCGATTGTTATTTCAGTCACCCATCACTGAGGTTTTTCCAAATTGAACAATAAACCGATTGTTATTTCAGTCACCCATCACTGAGGTTTTTCCAAATTGAACAATAAACCGATTGTTATTTCAGTCACCCATCACTGAGGTTTTTCCAAATTGAACAATAAACCGATTGTTGTTTCAGTCACCCATCACTGAAGTTTTTCCAAATTGAACAATAAACCGATTGTTGTTTCAGTCACCCATCACTGGAGTTTTTCCAAATTGAACAATAAACCGATTGTTGTTTCAGTCAACAATCACTGAGGTTTTTCCAAATTGAACAATAAACCGATTGTTATTTCAGTCACCCATCACTGAAGTTTTTCCAAATTGAACAATAAACCGATTGTTATTTCAGTCACCCATCACTGAGGTTTTTCCAAATTGAACAATAAACCGATTGTTGTTTCAGTCACCCATCACTGAAGTTTTTCTAAATTGAACAATAAACCGATTGTTGTTTCAGTCACCCATCACTGGAGTTTTTCCAAATTGAACAATAAACTGATTGTTGTTTCAGTCACCCATCACTGAGGTTTTTCCAAATTGAACAATAAACCGATTGTTGTTTCAGTCACCCATCACTGAAGTTTTTCCAAATTGAACAATAAACCGATTGTTGTTTCAGTCACCAATCACTGAGGTTTTTCCAAATTGGACAATAAACTGGATCCATAACTTTACGTCTGATGTAGACATGGACCAAAGGACTTGGCTTGGTATGCGTATGTGATGAAGAACAGGCCAGTGCGCCGAAAAAGGTAACCCAGACAAATCTTAATAACCCAATCAAGTCCAGGATTGGTTTTAAGTCATATTTAACACAATTGGACCTTGTTCAATGTACTTTTCTCAAAAGTATAATTGGTCTATGCCCAATGGTCATGATTTTATGGGCACTTTACAAAACATGCTCCAAATGCCTAAACTTACCGAAGGCACCCATTATGAACCCCCACAATATAAACTTTGGGCCGGGGCAATTTCAAAGATAATGTGTATAGTAACAACCCTAGAAGCATCAGAGAATTGAAACAAGAGATTAAAAGGGGGATTAGAGTCACAAGATATTTGTAAGCGGGTAGTCAGACAACTTCACTCGATGCGTTCAAACTTGCCTCCAAAAGACAAGAACAGCATTTTGAGCATGTTTTGTAAAATGGCCATCAAATTATGACCATTTGGAATAGAATGATATCTAGCAGAAGGAAATGACATTGACATTGCGCCAAATACTTAACGTCCATACCGTATGACTGAGTATTTAAGATTTATTTGGGTTGGCGTTTTTGGCTCACCTATGCACAACCTGAGACTCGATCTGGTCATTTTCCATCTACACCGATGCCATCTATCACAACAAAGCTAAGCTTAAAGTATATACATTCGATAAATCTAGTGAATTACATAAAATGTGTCACTGACAATCTGAAATATTCAAATCCTTTTTTGGGCACAATATGAATATTTTTCAGTTTTCAGAAACAACAGAAGCCGATGCCAAAACGTGTGATACGGATGGCGATGATGATAGTTTAATACGGATTCTGTTTCACACGGCGTAAGGCCTATACTAGAGCTACTAGGAAACACAAGCGCAGTATCGCTTGTAGGTAGCACGTCGAAAGAACACCGAACACAATAATCCACATCTTGACATCGCCTAATTCAGATAATTGACTAGCAATTTACTTTACAAGCTATCAATATTATAATATTATAATTCTCCACCGATATAAAAAAAATGTGCGGAAAGATTATGTATATTAAAACATCAAATTGAAGTGAAGTGTAGTATTCAGATAATAAATGGTGGAAATCTTGCACGAAATGAAATGGGTACACAGAACCGAGCAAATCATGAGGTCATCTGTGTATTCCTCTTAAATGATTATCAAAGTGGCATCCTTAAAAAGACAAAACGTTCCTAAAACGTCGTGGTAGGCCCTATTTACTATGTATTCATTTTCTTCATACCTATGTAAACGTGAACCAATAAAACTGATTGTATATGACACCCTCCTTTAATATGAAAATAGTACCGTTCATTTTATATCTCACGGTTGCCTTTGCAATGGCATTCATGAAAATTAATTTAAATTCAACTATTTTGAACCTTGTCATGTTGATAGCAGATGAATACCTTAACCTTAAACTTGAAAGAATGTTTCGTTTTGTGAAACTGGATAAGTTTTTATCAAGTTAATCATCGTAATCATTTGTAAATATTGAATTTTGTTTATTAGCCAAAATCGTTTCAAGTAGATTTGATCGATTGTGACCGATTGAAATATCAGCAATGCGAATCTTAGAATAACTTTAATATCGGCCAGTGCATTTAGAAAGTGGTATTTAGAAATCTGAATCGCGGTATCTCACAATAGGAATTTACTTTGTTTAACTAATTTGATGGAAATAAAATGAATCATAGATTGTCAAATCCCCAGGCGATTTAAACTAAAACAGACACGTCGCAGTTCAGCATCCACATGTTCACATATGGACCTCGTGTGCCAATAAACAAAATATCATCAGGAATAATATGCGTCATATTACATGTTCTAATATCGTGTTACAGCTCCGTTGGCATAATTACATCTTAATTGTAAACTGTTGTTTACTTTTAATTTCATTACTGTTTTAAAGTTATATCTATGAGTAATACTAGATATATAGCTTACCCGGTGGGATTAACTAGCTTCTTTTACTTAGCATAATATGGAATAGGAGCCATTTAGTAGTACAACAGCATCTCTGAGTACGGAGTCTACCATAACGTTTGTTACCATACAGTACAACCGATGGGTAAAAATCACACATGGAAATAAATACATAAATCAAGATATTAAATAAAGCAAGCCTTGGGAAGTCAAGTATTACTTGTTTAAATGAATAATGTCGGATCAAGGCTGTATAACATTATTTAGGTACATATGTCTTTTAGCTTGCCTTTCTCAGCTTACCTAATTTATTTAGCTGGAATGGTTTATATGGTTTAACTAATGATATTGAGCAGTACTAAAAACTCTAAAAGTAAAAAAGTAAACCTTTGTTATTTTGTAAATGTTTAACTTGAGATGTATCATTAGGTCTTATTTGACGTCGTAAATACTTTATGTTGACATATTTATCAAAGTGTTATGACCTTCTAAGAACAGCAGGCTTGTTAGTTTGCTGATGTCATGGCGTAATACCAGATGACGAAAAACGATACTATGATCAGAGACTTTAGGATGTGAGTAACAGCAGTAAATTCCTGGGATAAGTACAACTTGAAGATGTACTAACATTTCGTGTATACTGACATTCAAACAATATAAGATCAGATGACTGTTGGGGAATAAGTATCCGGGAGACAAACGTTGGAACTGAATCATGTATTTGACATGAAAATCAGTAATAGAAGTAGAAGTAAATCATATATGGAGCATTGGACTTATTAAAAAAGAATCGGTGTATTAAACGAGGAGTTGAAACATAGTTACCAAACCGAGATAAATAGCATTGGACAACGTTATTAAAAAAAAGAATCGATGTCTAAAAAGGAGTTGAAACATAGTTACCAAACCGAGATAAAGAGCATTGGACAAAGTTATTAAAAAAAGATTCGGTGTATTAAAAAGGAGTTGAAACATAGTTACCAAACCGAGATAAATAGCATTGGACAACGTTATTAAAAAAGAAATATTAAAAAGGAATTGAAACATAGTTACCAAATCGAGATAAAGAGCATTGGACAACGTTATTAAAAAAGAATCGATGTATTATTAAAGAGTTGAAGCATAGTTACCAAACCGAAATAGACTAACTTTCATTGGTTCAGTTCAGTTAACTGAGCATTCATGGTCATTGGATAGTAAATAGACTGCAATTTCATAATCGTAAGTATATACTTGATCATCATTGTGTCCCTACGATCGACTGGCGTAGTATTAGTGGGTTGGGATTTAATGAATCGTGTCAGCTGTCAGGGACCACATCATACGATCGACTTGTTGTATCGAAAAGGAGGGTAAAATATCGTTAAAACTTAAATTGAGAAAAGTTATATAATTCCTATATATTTGATCAATTTGATCCCGATGATGATAAGATCGAGCGGGGTAGCTATCGGTTTATTGTTTATTGAAATACTAAATTAGAAATCCTATACATTACATAAAATGCTCAATATTTTAAAGATACATTCAACGTGAAATGATCTGTTTGTCTTTTGTTAGGGCAATCATTACCAAGCTTAGTACTCTCTAATTACTTTATTGTTGGGGCGGATTTCACAAATATAGATAATTGTCACTATGCAATTAGTGAGGATTAACGTCGAAAGTATGCGTTCCACCATTAGTTACACATACGAATTCCGGAACAAAAAGTATTAAACAATTATTAACATATAATAAACCAATGATAATGGATGACGAGCACACACCACCGGCGTCGCTCCGCTTTTAATACGCTGAAAGGCTGAACAATTATATCCGTTTTCTCAAAGCCCGAGCCACACCAGACTGCCATTATTTTTGGGGTTTGATGTTCAAGAAAATGACAAAATTGCGTGACACACTGGGTCCATTTGACGAAATTTAAAGAATAGTTGACCCACTTTCTGACAAAAGGACGATTCTCGGTTTGGAGAACGAAGTTCATCAATCTAAATGAGCATTATCCCTGCTTCGGACAAATTTGATTTTTTTACATAATATAGATTTGAATGTCCTCTTTTGAATAGTCATAATTTGATTTGGGTAATATTTCTAGATTTTTCGCAAAAATATATTAGCGCAGTACACTGATGAACTTCTTTCCCCAAAATCGAGACTTGTATTTTATTGAATCGGTCTAATTGAGCGTTATCCCTGCTTCAGACCAATTTGTTATTTTTACATCTTGTAGATTTAAATGTCCTCTTTTGAAAATTCATAGTTTAATTTGGGTAATATTTCTATATTTTTCATGAAAAAAATTATAAGCCCAGGAGACTGTTCTCCAAACCGAGAATCGTCCTTTATAACATCTCTCCAGAAAGAGTCTTGATCTTTTTTTGAACAAGCTTTCTAGCAACCATTTATTTCAATATTCCATCAACGATTTTCATGTGTGAGAGGGGCCATATGACCACTTATTATCCGTTCGTGAAATGTTGCCAACATCAGTCTGCCGACCACAAGACATAGCAACGCAATTACAGATTTGTAGTACAGTATTACCAAAATGGTAAATAACTCAGTTGTCTGATTGAAACGTTCAAAGTATACATATCAATATAAATGTATGCATAGCTGGATGGAACATGATAAACCTTCAAAACAAACAAGGACAACCACTCTAGGACATTCTAAATATTTATGATTAACAAGCATCGTGTATGTATAACTTTTTTATTATCTACATAGATCTTTCATCGTTCTTCTACATACAACGTGAGGACAACTCTTTGAATGTCCTCGAACAAATCTTCAAAACACGATGGAGCTGAATATTTTGCCAAGCACCATAGAGTGAGGGTAGTTCCAACAAACCTTTTCGAACAACGTGTCTAAAAATGACCAATCAATTGTGAGAGAAATCGCATTAATATGAACTTCCAACTGCAATACTATACCTCCTTTGATAATCGCACTTATCTATTTTATACTTAGGGAGCACTTTAAAGTATCGGTAAATGGTAAATAACTAAACAATATTTTTTGGGCTTTATGGCTTTGAGTCCCACACCCTAGTCTAAAACAGAGACGTATAAATCTCGTAAAGTGAGAGATGATCTTCAAATACAGCATCGTTTGGGTTGAACATAAAGTAGCGGTCACACTTGCCGTGTGGGCTCACCGTTCGCCACCGTGTGGCTAATTAAAAATTTCATGTTTTAATAAATTAATTAATTTTGTATTTGATGCGATAGGGATCATCTTGCTGTATTTTTTTTTGTTTTGCCCACTGTGTGTCTATGCCGTGCCCTGCCGTCTGGCCCAAAAGTTTTTACACGGTGGCGAACGGTGCCTAAGTGTGACCGCTCCATAACATTTCTATAGATAAACAGGACCGTTTATTTTATTTGGTATTTTACATGCACTGAACTACAATGTATATGTAAACCAAGAGAGGTCCCTTTTTGATGTTCTACCTTACCTTGATATGTTTTATCAAAGACACCCCGAGACCCAAGTATGACTCACAACCTCATTTCCCCGTAAATCGTTCGATTGAACAAATTATGGAGCTCTGACGAGTTCATTTCAACATCGTAAGGACATGATAGAGGGTCGAGTTGGGCAAAGGCTGAGGATCTAACTAATTCTCAATACCTAGTTTAGTATACGGAAATGTCATTGGGACTTTTAATACTTAACTGTCAAGTATTTGTTATTCTTTGAATTGACTTTTGTCAAGCAACGAGAAGAGAGATGTTCAACATGCAATATTACAAATGGGACAAATCTAAATCTATTGTTATTTGATGAGTAATCAAATGTTTTACATTCTGGTGTCCCTAATGACTGATAACGTATATTTCACTTCCTCGTCCCATTTGGAGCGATAACACATTGTTATATTGTGTGAGCAAGTGGATGCATGCTCGAGTGACGTGTGATGCTCGAAAGATCACTAATCATAACTTTCGATTTGCCTTGTAAGCTTCAAATCTTCTTCGCTGATGATACGATTATATCATACATAAGTAAAATTCTTTATTTCCTCGAGAAACTACATGTAATTTCTTCTTATTTAGTCCGTAGAAGTTATTGTCTGTAGGGTTTACCTTATTATACCAGTGAATTACCAGTCGTCTTGCAATATACGTATATTAGCTTCAGAACACTGATAAGATAGCATACAAGGCCAAGTTGCATAACACACAACATCAATTCTAAATAATATCAGCTAAATTTGTATGTCAGAGATAAAAGGATGCTTAGTTTATCTGTTTCGTGGTAACAGAAAATTGCAAATATTTTAATTAGAACAGGATAGGTTTCAGTATGAGCATGAGCACTTTTGTTTTCTCATTTCAGGCCAAGTTCCTTGAAGGATCGCCCGACAGACATAAGAAAATACAACGTATAAAGCGACAAAACAAAGAAACGAACTGTTTCACGACAAGAACAGGGAAATTGCTGTATCCGAAATAATGAGACGAATCGACTTAACAGGATAATATCGTCTAGATATACATCATATGCTGTCGGTTTTCACAATTAAATTAGACAAAACAAGGGATTTCTTAAACTATTGTGAAGACGGGAATATTAAAGCCCATAAGTGACTTTGAACATACACGAAGTGTATACACACAATGGCTGGTGAGACAGTATCGCCACCTATTGGAGTAGATTGTCGAAGAGTGTGTGTGACTGACTCTCCACACGAAGGAACTAAACTATGGACTCAGTGCGCTTGTTGGGAAGGGTACCATAACCCAGGTCCCGCAACAACAGGTTAGTCTGGAACTTACATATAATTAAACGAAAATTAGCAAATATCATGTCTTCTTACACGTAGGCACAAATGTGTGTGCCAAAATCATACAAGTAGCAAGTGTGAGAAAAGTAGGTCTGTTATCAATTAGGAGGGCCCTTGTGGATGATTAACCAAATTCAGACGGAAGGGGGGTATAATCCATTCCAATCATATTTTAATTTCTAAAAGCAACAACAATAACAACTGCTTATAGTCTTGATAATTCGTTACGTAAAAGAATAGATTTTTCTTTCTGATTTAGAGAAAAATGTCAAGACGTAGTTTTAATCTTACAAATATTTGGCATACTTTTGAACGCACAAAAGTAACTATACCATTTTAGAGTATGTTTTACTTTGGTTGAAGGGGACAGACCACCTTCCCTATATGCGTTATGACAAAAGGGTCGTTCGTAACACAATATTATCAAAATTATTCTGCCCAAAATATAGCACATGAAATAGGCCATGCGTTTTCTCAATTGCAGCACCAAACACATCTATATCACCGATGGACGTTAATGGCAGCCATACAAAGCCAAGCAGTGAGAACATAATTCACATATTAGTGCCATCTATTGTCATGGCAGTCATCATTACTGTAGCGATAGGTGCTGCTATTATACTCTACAGAAAGAGACGAAAATCGTCTGCAAATAAGATGAAATCAAAGGCAGCTTACATGAAGGTTGAAAACAGCTACGATTATAATGGTCACAGTGGAATGAATGGGTCAAGGTAGGAAAATTAGTGTATAGGTGAGATCTGCTCCAAATATTCGTTCTTAAAAACGAATTTGTAACACTTTCAAAACGGTCTAGCGAGTGTGCTAGTTAACGAACATATGTAAGACTTACAACGAAGTCTCGAGGAATCGTCACGTGACAAAAATCTGAAATCTCCCTGAATAGTCACGTTGACCATTGACTCGTGTTACATCTCTACAGTAAACCATTTTTTGTATTTTTCCAGGAACAACAATGATAAAAGAGGGGATATCTATAAACAGCCATCCAGGCAAACAGGTAAGGGCATACAGTTGATGTCCAACGACTCCGATTCAAGAAAAACTGCATGCTTGTTAATGGCTTTAAGGACGTCAATAGATGGCGAGGAATTCAAATTGCTTCAAAGATTTCCCAAGATTGTCATTAAAAATATCCAATACCTTATGATATTCAATTTTAGAAGATGTTTTAGTTTTAATACAGTAATACTTCCACACGAACAAATGGGACTGGTATAAAGAACAACCCACGAGAGAAAATTGATGAACTGCGATCTTTACGAGTCCTGGCTCCCAGTAACAATAATGTTTTGAGTTTCACTTATGGTTACTATCTAATGATCACTGTTTAGTATTGTAATCCTGCTACATGACCGTACGTACCTATAGTGGAACTAGGTGCACGCTGCAATCTGAAGTGGATGCCATCCTTTAATTCTCTAGTGTCTTCATTAAGATTTTCGTCTATACCGAAACTAAGTTCACCTAGCCATTCTTTTTTCATTTCAGAAACAGCTGAACAACAAGACTACAAAGCTAGAGTATCATTCCTAAATAACAAGGAAGAAACACAGTCTCATAGCCCGGGTGGAACCAAACGAACACTCTTAGGGAAATTCCCCACATCCGGCTCCAAGGGACTTCAAGATAAGATCCTTGAAATGACGGAGATCGTAGATATCGAGAGCGACCAGGAAGGATCGCCAATTAAATCTAAACGATCGAGAAGCACCGAGAGACGGAGCGGGAATACATCCAAGACATCTAGGAACTCATATGCACATTTACCAACGGATAGTAAATATCACAGTGGAAGCTTTGGATAAATAATTCATCGTAATTACAAAATCCAATTAAAGTATCAAAGTTAGTTACTGCTTAAATCGGAAAATTATTTATTGAAGAGATGCCAATTATATACAACATGCAAAACTGAATGCCACAAGAATTATCCCTGCAGAAAATGAAGTGACAAGCACAGACTGACATAGTCTTTCTTAATCTTAAATATATGCATGAATATGATGCGGATCATAGGATAATACTAATATAACAAGGCATCGTCATCCGTCCAGTAGTTCAAAAAAGGAATGGATAGCAGAATTGCTTGTATTCATTGAAAGATGGCAGGGTAATCCATCTTGTCTATCAATGCCATCTTTGTTAGAAAAATGTTTATTAAAGAAACACAATTCTTAACCTGACCAGATTCTGTCGGTCTATCTTGAAGTGGCAATAAATACTAGGTATGAATAAAGAGTAAGTTTCAGACAATTCTACATTGTCGTTTGCTCTCATCATTCCATGTCATGCCCATTTTCTACAGTCCAAAAGTTCTGATTTTATTCAAGATAATCTATTCTTGAGGTTACCTGTTTCTGTAATTGATCTTTCTCAAAATAAGGAGTGCAAAGGAAACGCTGACACACAAGTTTGCTTCCGAAATTTCCCAGTCTTTAGTCTTTGCTGCCACTTTAACTTCCAGCCATTGGTTTTCTACAGCCTTGTGTCAGAAACTAAATGTATCTGCTCTGATGTGTAATGATCTCTAATAATTATAGACTACTATATGGATGCTAAAACTACAAATGACTTGAAATCTAGTTGAAACAGAAAGTCACTATAAATTGTCGAATAATCTTATTCAGTTCCCTTTTCAAAGAAATTAGTCGAAAATTCATGCGTAGATATAACAATCATATTATGATTCATTAAGCACAAAACAGAAAATGGATATCATAGTTTACTTTTATCCTCCCCAAGGGCGTTACAATACCCAGTATAGTTCCTCACTTCCGTTACGTGTTAACGGAACTTTTAAAAACAGTTATAACATCTGCAGTTATAAATATGCATTTGCTGGAATTACACCAGAAAAACCGCTAAAAGCGCTTTAGTGGAAAGCGCTTTACAAAATCGCCATCCTGATTACACCAACAATGGCCTTCAGGACTGTCAATAGATGGCATAAAATCCACTAGGTTTAACAGCATGTAAAAATATCTCAAAAAATCTCCCAAGATAAATGTTATTGAAAATGTCCAAAACTTTATGATTTTGAATCTTCAAACATGTTTGTAAGTAATAATGAAGGAAAATTTAATATTTATTTGATAAATGTAGTAAATTTGAAGTTTTAAAACAGCAATACTTACACACAAACCAATTGGCCAGATGTGAACAACAACCTAGTAGTTAACTGTCATCTATACGAGTCCTTGCTCCCATTCCAAAGCGCCTTGTATCTTTTTCGGGTGTAATTCCAGCAATTCTGCTCTACGAACAATCAAGAAATTAACACCGTAAACGGAGGAGTCAACCAGACAGTTGGCAAGAAGATGGAAGAACATGTCTCCTAATGCAAAAATACAAAAGGGTGCTCCCATCACACACTGTCTCTTTAATCGTTCAGCCTCCGTAACTACATGTACTGTACATGTATAATGAGTAATTGTTTAAATCATTCTGGCGTCTCACTAACTCATTCGTTTACAAACGCTTATTTTCTGATGCTGATCATATTATGTTTCTGCAACACATTGTCTTAAACATTCTTGCCTACAACTCATGAAATCATGGAAAGGTTTTATTACCGAACCGGATCCGTTTTCAAACCAGTTTGAATAGTTTCACAACACCATGGCGTTTGAATCGAAGAGTAACATGTTATTCATATAGATATAGTATTTGCAAAACTTATGCATTGACATATTAGCGCAACATTTGTTATCACAGGGGTTAACCCAATCTCACGACATAATTGTTACCTATCTGATTGATACACCGTTCTCAAACTTTAATAGATTCACTTCAGAACAGGGAGGGCATTGTGCGCGTAGCAAATGATACAAAAACCGAACGTACATCAATAGAGCGCGGGTGTTCTACACAATGGGCCACCATAAAAGACTAATTAGCGAATTTGAAACTTGATAACACGGGGTACCATCGAATAATTTTGGCAACGTACCGGAGAACGACATTTTACTAAGAAATGACAATAATTTAGCACAATATATTTTTTAACTAGAGTTCTATTTTTATTTTGACAAAAGTAAGTATTCCATGCAATAACTATTTCATCCATGAGTTTGTAGGAATTCTGTTGGAACCCAGTTCTGATCAAGTACGAAGTTATTGAAATCGGCGCAGACGGACTTTACTCCGAAAGATGGTTTTTCGATTATAACTTTTCACAACATTTAAGTATAGACTTTTGAAAAAAGTACAGAATAGTCCTTATACTTTTGAATAATTCTGTTATTTCTGATTCACACGACTCTGATTTGTTTAATTAAAAAAAAGTTTTAAAAATATTACTTAGGAACGTAACCGGAGCTGGGAACGTAACCGGAGCAGATCAGTTGAATTATTTAATCAAAAAAATTAAAATATATGATTTAAAGCACATATACTAATTCAAAAACATTCGGGATTGTTCGAATGCGTATTTATTAATATATATGCTTTAAATCATATATTTTTTTAAATTATATAATTCAACTGATCTGCTCCGGTTACGTTCCCAGCTCCGGTTACGTTCCTAAGTAATATTTTTAAAACTTTTTTTTTAATTAAACAAATCAGAGTCGTGTGAATCAGAAATAACAGAATTATTCAATAGTATAAGGACTATTCTGTACTTTTTTCAAAAGTCTATACTTAAATGTTGTAAAAAGTTATAATCGAAAAACCATCTTTCGGAGTAAAGTCCGACTGCGCCGATTTCAATAACTTCGTACTTGATCTGAACTGGGTTCCAACAGAATTCCTACAAACTCATGAATGAAATAGCCATTGCATGGAATACTTACTTTTGTCAAAATCAAAGTAGAACTCTAGTTAAAAAATATATTGTGCTAAATTATTGCCATTTCTTAGTAAAATGTCGTTCTCCGGTACGTTGCCAAAATTATTCGATGGTACCCCGTGGATAAATACTCATAAAATCAATTGTAAAGTTTAGCAATTATGAGTTCGGTAGGTTCAAGATTGAGTGAATCCAAATAAATAATGTATCTACGCAGTTGAAATTAATGTGAAATGTTTTTCGATTTACCATTGATTTAGTCTTGCTTTAGATTGTGAATCAGACCTCCCCCTTATCTACTTCACCAACCACACGACTCACAGGGGCTCGTAGCTGGACTTACAATTGATTTTCCCGATCGATTTCAAAACCTACAGAAACCTATAGCCACGGAGCAAATGTTACCAAGTAATTCCACACAGAGAAGCCCACTTCGCGAATCCAATGTAACGAGCTACCCCTACTATCACACCAAACTAGTTCTCACTACGTTCTCGCAAACGGGCTTAAACTGTGCATGGACGGATTTGACGTACTAAGAACCCACTAAGAACCGTTTGGGATCTGTTTACAAACTTCATGAAACTACTAGAACGAGTAGGTCCTCCAGCACTTAGAGCATGCTCAAAATTTTCCAGGTGATCGTCAAAACGTTGCCGAATCGGTTTTAAACTGTGTGCGAACTGAATGAACGTAGCTACAACGTTCTACGGTCTGTTTACGAACTTCATGGACTTTCCCGGACGGGGTATGTGATTTAGAATTTTGAATCGATTCAAAATTCGATGGCGACCATGCCGTTCTATAATCAGGTCATGATGACCTTCTAGACTAAGGGACGGTTTATACTTCGTTGCACACCGACGAACACTGAACGAACTGCGAATGAGATGGACGTATTGAAGACTGTTTATGAACGAAGTAGCTAATTATTTTAGACATATATCCCGACCGCAGCCAGATTGAGGCCGTTTTACGACATTTCCGTAGGACTGGCAAGAACGGGTAAGAACTAGTTTGGTGTGATAGGGGGGTACAGTAGAACTTCCATTTTAAAATTTTCAATTTGCATGAAAGTTAAAAATCATTGAGCTAACCAAACTTGCTTTATTCACTTCTTAAGCCCCGCTAAGGTGGCAGTACTATAGGAATTGTATTTATTTTTAAAATGTACAGTTGTGACAAAAGAAGGGTACATTCTTTTTGTATTGTTTTTTTTAAAAACTGATGTACCACAGATTGAATAGTACAGTTTAAGCTAAGTGAATTCGATCGTGGCCCTTGCTCATTAGTTCACCTCCAAGTACTCATCGTTTATACATTACATAAATGTAACACAAATTGCAACACCACGCGAGAATCAATCAAATTATCAAACAAACTACCACTGCCATCTTTCTGTATATACAATGCAGGGTTTTTGGTTTAAACAATAAAGATGGTAGTTATTGTTTGACTAGAATGTCCGGTCCGTAAAACGAGTATATTCAAAATCACCAATGTTGAGAGTTATAAACTACAATTCTAAATTAAAGTTTGTCATTTCTCATAGCCGCTGTTCATCGATTAAGTCATTTTACTATTGCTCACATTCATATTATCCTTGACTAGTTCTATACATGATCTTAATCCGGTGAAGGCTTTTCAAACTAATTTAACTTTAATATGAATAGTTATGTTTTAGACATGCTTCTCATGGCAGGTTAAGCTAAACAACATACTCTGACCAGTGTCAACTTTCAATCAGTTCTAACATTCGCTAGATGTTAATGGTTTGAATATTTAAGGACCAAGTACCTATTGTGTCATGATTCATAGTGCTAAGTTGCTAACTATAAATGCTCGTTAAAGCAATCGAATAGGAGATGATGTTACCGTACGAGCTTGTGGAAAAACGAGAATCCATGTATCTCTCTTAAAAAGTATCCACTTGGAACACTAGCATATAATTCTAATCCGTATGACATCTCTTTTATTTGTATATGCTTTCATAAGTTTTAAGGCATCATTTTACATCAAATTAAACATAATTTAGGTGCCTGCATACTTGCCTTTGAAACAAGAATGTGCGCTTTACAGGTTTAAACATTAAGGTGAATTTGTTAATAAAGAAAACAGTATATATATGTCATCATGTGAAATCATATCGAGGTGGCCCTATATGAAAAAACATTTAGACTTGTGCCTTGGAATTCGTACAGGCGCGAATAGAGGTTCGGGCGCACCTATTCAGAGATCACACCTTTTTAATAACATGAGATAATATCTTCGGGATTTCTTATAAGCTCTGGATATATCTAGCTTGCTTGAAGTTAGCAGCAACTGACCAAGGTCAATTCAGACCTAATTATTTAGCTGAATTTCTTCACAGCGGAATACAACGAAGCAATACAGGTAAGAACGACGCCGAAACAGATTGTGACAGTTTGAATTTAGACGGCATGATTGGCGGCATGTTAGGAATGTTGTTATATCATTTGGTTGTAGTCGTATGGCATAATGCTATTCATAAAACCGAGATTTTTCGGAATAAAGGTGTTTTCATTTTATTAGTTAATTGTCGACTTTGTATATCGCAGATAAACAACATTACAATTCTGAATGCATAGGAGCGGAACGAACTTCAAAGAGCGAACAATGAGTAAACATAAATAAACACTTGTATTTACTATTAATAATCTTTGGAATAGTTTCATTTACATTTCTTGTGACCAACCATTTATTTTCCATGTGTTTGTAAAAGTACGGTACACACTTCTACACATAGGTTCAAATTAAATTTCGTGGCATGACCGATCAAAAACGACGTCGACATTCATCAGTTAGTAGACAAACACGTTCTACTCCGTCAACTCTTTGATAGATTGAGTAAAATTGTTTCCAATAGTTCACCACAACGTCCACCCCCGTCTGTCACGTCAAAAAGGCCTTTGAATGCCAAGGGAAGTCATTACAACCGACGTTTAATTTACAATCCCCGAAACATTGGTGTTGAATCTTTAGGCCAATGGAGAGAGCTACGTACTCAGAAGCCCGGAATGTCGCGGTTGATGCGCTATATAGTGTTTGGCTTAGGGGAAAGGGAGGAACAAATTTGCAATGATTCCTTTGAAATGAATTGGTCGGTATGTCAGCAGTAAATGTCACGTGCCATTGTCTTGCAATACAATAAATAACGAGTTATTTACTTTAAGGGATATTTTTAAACAATCTAGGAACTATTTGTTGATATTAATGTGGGCATAGTGCAACGTCAGTGTCCAAGCCTACACTTAGGAAGTTAACTGGTTTGTCAGAATGTTTATACTTTGCCCACCTTAAGGAATGCATCAGCATAAACTTCACCCATCATCACATTTTTTGTGTGTCAATTTAATCAATTATGAAAAATTCTTCAAAAAACATCGTTCACATTTTGCGAGTTATATGTCCCCAAAAAGATGTAGAAGAGCAACCTTAATTAACCTCAGAATATGTCCCCTTAATTTATATTCTTACAACACGTGTAATGAGACATGATTCGAGACTTGAATTCATAGCAAAGAAACAAAAAACACCTATCGTATGTCATATTTTACTTAACAGGTGAAATCTTTATATAAACAAGAATTTCATATTAAGATTCCGCATGGTGTCACAGCGACCGCTGACGACAGGTGATGGACGACGAGTTTCAATTTAGGACTCATTTCCCTCGGCGTTCGTTTGCGTTTCGGATGAACCTCCTTTACTTGCAAACGGGAAACGTTGATTGGCCAAATTCAACACGTGACTTGTAAAAGAAATCTGGTTCATATACTCGTGTGCTTTCTGCATTCCAACATGATAAATCAGCAAAATTGCGGTAAATATGAATTATATGGGGGTTGAATAAGAGGCGAAAGTTTGTCAGACGATATTCTTCAATACAGATGGTGACACCTTCTTACAGAAAGGGATTTTTGGAACACTTTGACTATTGACACAAGAGTACGAGTACAAGTTTTCAAGAATACGATATTAGGTATCTAGGACAGGATAAATACATGTGTGATCATCTAATTACTATTGAGTCGATCAAAAAGGCAAAAAGACGCAGGTATGTGTTTAACCTATTTGATTTGAAAGATGTGTATTTTGGATTGATGAATGAAAGTCTGTGATCGGCTACGGGTGTATACCTGAACAAAGTAAATCTGTTGTGGACTTTTATTTCAACATTTACCATTCTGATTGTCTTGCTGACATTTGTCCGATTGTCTTGATCTTGATAACTTGTATCAATTCATATTGTTTTCTCGAATTTTGCCAATCAATAAACGCATAATAAACCAATTTAACCGATAAGATCAACATAAAAACTAAAATGATGTATATGTTTGCACTTGTAGTACAGTACTATTTATAACAATTGTAAAGGTCGACCTACTGAACAATTATAGCTTTTATTCAATATGTTGAATTCCAATTTAAAAAGTTGTAGAATGACGTTGGATGTATAGTATATATAGCCTCTCGTCGACCTTTGAATAGGCATGGCACATCTATGCTGGGAGGTCTTTGGCAGAAAAAGCATAACCTGTTTTGAAGTGGACGTGATTGTCAAAGACCTCTTTCATTCAATAACCTGTAACAACTTTACTTACATACGATTAATTTATGTGTGAGATTATATAAATAACAATTTAGAGGCTAAAAATTAATGTTTTTTTCATTGAACTCTTGCTTTGACAGCTGAAAAGAAATGAGATGTTTAATTCTGATGGTCACTCAAAATCCTGGCTACGACACTTATTGCAAAGGCATCCTTTTGCACTAATACCGTCCCCAGTAATAAGTATCTGCAGGGGTGGAAGACAGGATGTGATGATAGAAAAATCATTAGCAGTCTACATGCCGTTCTACCACTCCGTTGTAATTTGGATGAAAAGGGGTGGTTCCTATTCCAAATCTAATTAAATATATACAATGGCTTAGCTTCCTTGTATTGCATCGACTACTTTCAATATATTGTACTTAACGTACGCAACCACGTTTACCGTATCTGGGGATCAGAGGTCTTTTTCACCCAAAAGAAAGAAAACATTCAACTCATCCAATTTCAAAGTACAAAGTCAACATGGAACTAAATTACTACTTGAACTAACTGGAAGTGTTTAACATGTTCTGATATTATAATAAAATATTGATGCGAACATTTCTAAGCACTTTGAGACCAACTGAATTAATTATCATCTGGAACGAATGGATGGAATATAGTACTTCATTAACAGTTCCACATCATACCTAGCAAGAGGATAATCTTAAACAAGTCTTTCTGTTTTCTGTAGAGAAAACATTAAGGACTTGTATAAGCGTTTCATCACCGGTATCTGTATTTTACGTCTCTCGGGGCCTCGTGTTAGAGCAAGCATCAACAATATTACATTTAACTGACGCATGTATACGTATAAGGGCTATGTACTGGGGGTGCCTCCTTACTGGGTTGTTTCATTTTTATTAGATAATAGAAAATCCTCGACATCGATTTTGTTTTCGAATCTTACATTGGTAGCACCTTCTTTATCACTCAAATTAGTGTTATTTTTGTGTCTATTATCAATTTTTTACGGAATTTCACTCTTTTCAGATTTATTTTTAATTTTTCGTCTGAAGAAGTCCCAAAATACATCGGGAAACTGCACGAAAAAAAAACAATTATATTGAAAATATTACATCATTTGGTCTGGAGCGGGACATATACAGGCGTCAAATAAGTCTGTTCCCCCTTAACTCTTTTATTTTTAAATTCATCAGACTTCCCCAGATATCATTTTAAAGGTTATGGAAAATGCTGATCACCCTTTAAAAAATAAATAATGACCTCTTCCTATTCCTACAATATTTCTTGTAAGGCAGCACGTACTTGACTATTGATAACATCAAAACATGTAAAATTACGAGGATAGTGAATGAACGTTGAAAACCTGATACTGCAATTATGAAGGACAGGATCGAAAAATTAATCAAAGATCAACCAAAAGTTCATCTTCTCTTTGGAGAAATCCAGAAAAAATCTGATCAAAGTTAGCAAAGAATTAGACATTGGCAAGGACCCTTAAATTGGAAGGGACAATACATCTGGAGTCATTCAATGTAGAAAAATGCCGCTTTTCCTCGGGGTATTTCAGAACTGGTGATTATTAGTTAATTATACCCTTTTGAGTTGATAATTAGAGCTATGTCCGAAAGTTCAAATCCCCATATGCTCGATGAGAATCCATTTACGGTTTTCTCGCCACCCTTTTCAGGAGTTTAACTTCACGTCTTTGTCTCAGGGTAATTGTCTCACCCATACACATACTACTGTACGCCTCTTGTCAATATCACATGACACAGGATGCTGAGAGCGATTCAATATTTTTTCGATCTTCACAAGTGCGTCTTTATACAATTGAAAGCAAACATTTCAAGAAAATACCTCAAGAACTCTTCGATGCCATTATAGTGCAAAATCGTATGTGGTCTCAACGTTAACTCCATCACAGATTGTCTCAAAACATTTCTCTTATTTTACTTGATGACCTAGAAGGATCGCAAAACAACTATTCATCCTTTTTATCTTTCAGTGGACATATTGTTCGAAGCATTGGCCAGGGTAATTAATAGTTGACCATATATTTTGTATTTTAAGTTTCATAGATTGATGTTATGTTATTATGAATCGATTTTGTATCATATACTTATCCGACATGAATGCGTATGTAATACATGTTAACATAAAATATGTTCACAAATATACTTTTAAAGGTCTCTATTCTAGTATCCTAAGCGTCCAAGAGTAAACAACGTCTTTGAATATCTTCTACTTAGCCAATGACATATTTGCCAACCCAACTATTTGCAACCAATTCAAGATCAAATATATGGGTACACGCCCTATTTTCTTCTAATGTTGATATATCTCAATCTTCTTCTCATAAAAACTACACATGTACGAGAAAGGACCACCGGGTATTGCAAAAAAATATTTCCCAAAATTGCAGAGAATGCTTTTGTTCGTATTTTACTATTAGTCAATACAAAAAAACAGAAGAGTCTGTTGCTATACAAATGCTTCTATATTTTATCCAATATGAATGTATGTGTTAAGTAAATATCTGTTATAACGGATGAATTGACAATTGTAAAGATATGTTAACGTCTTCATGAAAAACATCGCCTCGGTATTTTAGTTTTTATCATACATGCATTAATGCTCGATTTATTAAAAGAGAAAATTCCAGTACACACATTTATAAATGATCAAAAGAAAGATAGAAAATAAAACGTATGTCAGCATACTGTTCTTAACTTAGATGGGACAATTATAAATTACGAGCCACGGTTTAATTATAAAGTTCAATTGCCGAAGGAGTATGTAATTACACTCAACATTGGTAGAGATATTATATAAACTTATGATGTAGGGTACATGATAGTAAAGTAGAAATCTATAATAGTTGTCATTTGATTGTGTATCGAGATAGTAGGGTAAATATCAATGTTTGGTATCAATTTATGTATTTCAGAAATGATGGACTGGACCATGTCTTCAAGAGGCTTTACCATTTGGTTATTTATAGCATGTTTGCAATGGAGCCTCAGTCATGCCCAGATATCTGGTAAGTACGTTCTGATTAAAATGTTAGATATTTGATATTGTTGTGGGGATCATGAATAGGAGTCAAATAAATGTGGTATTACCATCTCACACATACATATTTTCAAAAATATCAATTTGTTTAATGAATTTGATGGAGTTTAGAGAAAAATATCAATATTAAAGTTTACCTATTTCCCCAAAGATATGGACTTATTGAATCCAAATACGGGTATATTGAGCAAAAAGTGATTAAGTGATTGGTATCTTTATCAAACCAGGCATTTTCAGTGGTGTATTCTTGACTAACATGAATTGTGATAACTTAGGAATTCGAATTCGAAGTAATTCATTGTAAATAAACTTGAGATCTGAGGAAATTTTACTACTCGTATTACGTGACTTTAAATCAGAGTGTAACTAAGGTACATTGTTACTATAAAACCCGGGTTATGAAGTGGAATTAATTCTGTGACAAGTAAACATTAAATATCGAATTATTCAAGGCTCTATTTTAGAACTCCTTCTATTTATCTACTTTGAATATATTTTATCTTGACATCTAAACGAATACAAGGTTAAGCTATGATCAACAGAAGCATAATTGTTTCCCATTCAGCAATTTTTCAATTTATTCACCGTGTTTTATAAATACTAACCATATTGTTTATTGTTTAGAATTTTATCGAAAGATAAGAATCAATGTATTCAATCAATGTAAAGTTTAAACCATATACCCAAGAAAAACATTGTGTATACCATTAAAAGTTAATAAGAGTTTGAATGAGCTCAAATGTACGGACATTAATTATAAGTTTGAGAGTCATGACCTTAGTATTGGATGTAGGAGTCTAAGCGGTGTATCTAATGAGTAATGACTGTGGCTTCGTTTCACCATCGTCCCTCTGCCACATGTTATAACTTTGGTAATAATAAATAGAAAGTATTACATCTCAAAAACTAAAGCAGTTGAAACATATTGATAAAAGAATATTTCAAATGTACGTGTGTATTCCAAACACACGATTTTGAAACCTGTGATTACAAATTTTAAAAAATCAAATTGCTGTTGAAATGATGCTTACTAATGATTATAGTGCCTATAAATGTGCATGTGAGAAATATAAATAATGTTTGTATTCAAAGTAATATTTAGATGAATACACAAACAAATATTTGAAAACGTAGACTAGTGAGGTTCACTTGCTGGCATGGGTAACACCAATACCTAATGGTAATGGTATGTTTTTGCAGGTTTTATTTCAATGACTATTAAAATACACCCATATAATAAATCACTATACCTTTAGTAACAATCCTACGAGCCATTTACTTTTACAAAGGCAGCTTATATAGTTCCAACAATGTTAGTCCATTGTCGGATCCAAAGCATATACTATCCATTTTGGAGTAGAAAATCTTTAAGGTTCAGCTGGAAAGTAACATTTGGGAAAAAATTGCTATACCTGCACATGTTATTTTCTGGTACAAAATTAAGTATGAAGGCATGTGTGTATTTCCTTGCTTTTTTCAGGAAAGTATCATTACACTGTCTACTTTTAGTAAACCTGGAAACAGGTCAATGGTAGCCCCTGTGTTGTCTGGAAACTTTGAATGAAAATTTGGAAAAATAGAAAGTGTGAAATATCAGAATTTCCTGGAGTTCCCATTGAACTCCTACTAGATATTCTTAAAGAAGACAATGTAATGATACTTTCCTGAAAACAGCAAGGCAATTGACACATGTCTTCATACTTTATTTTGTACCAGAAAATAACTGCTGGTATAGCAAATTTTTACCAAAATGTTACTTTCCAGCTGTACCTTAAAGAGAGACTCTTATAAATCAGAATGAAGTTAGTCTGATTAGAGACAATGTGGCGTTACGTAGTTTCCCCAGAAAATAAGAACAAGGAATTATAACGCGTGTCCTATTTGGTTTCTAAAACTATTTTTAGTGTCTTCATTCAATTGTGACTTCGACAGTGGAACGTTTTGTGGGTCTGGAGTTGCAACCTGGGAGATCTACAGAGGAAACACTGGGGGCTCAGACACAGGACCAGACTCGGACCACACATCCCAAGACGAACGAGGTAAGCCTACTCCCAATAAAACATCCTCCAGAGAATTCGTCTCTGTATATACGTACCACGTATTCACTATATACCATCTTAACTGATGAATGTCTCTGGCATTTCAGTTATGCATTTTATGATACACAAAGTCCTAAAGTATAGGGATATTAACAATCAGGGAGCAATAAATTAATGTGCAATGATTACTTTATGTCCAAAAAGCATACAGTGTCTTCAAAGCTAGCCAGGAGCAAATAGTTCATACAGGTGACATCAGCAGAGTCTTAGGCGATGGTGTGAGGAATTCTAAATATCTTATAGAAATAAATCATGAGGAAATTGCACGAGAAATTATGATGATGTTAAAGTGTGCGTGTGTCATCCAGTTATCGTTACGGGTGCCTGGACATTTCTTCTGATCTTTTCTCTTTTTCTCCCTGGTCAGTTTGATAAGACATGTACATACTTGGTGTGATTTGAATCAGCAACTTATGAATCATTAGTACGTGTAGAATACCATATCATTATAAGCATTTATATTGACCTTATTCCCTAGATTGTGACTGATAGAATACAGAGTGGACCGAATCATCATCCAAACTTAGTACTAAGCTAATGTCTAGAATGACTTTTTTCCTAAAGTTAAAAAATGAAAGATACTCAAAGATGAGTTATAAAACCAAGTGGCGATAGTGTGCATGATACGCAAAACAGAACAACATAACTTGTCATCAGAGTTACAGCTGAATGTGTGAGATAAGAAAACATAATGTGTATGATAAGAAGAACATTCTATCATCATACCAGGTTATATTATTTTGTTGATATAGGTCGATATGCATCAATCGACGCCTCTAGCATGTCCACATCCCAAATTGCCACGCTCACCACTCCTAAAATCTCTCGTGGCGCTGCCTACAGGGTGGATTTCTACTACCATATGTACGGAATTGGCATCGGCTCACTCACTGTGTACACAAATACCAGCGGCACAATCAAACAGATATTTAAACAAGAAGGTACGTTTACCATTTTTTCCTTCCAGATGTCTCTTTAACGTCAAACTCTACATTTACCAAAAAATGTTTCTTTTAAAATCGCAAAATACAATTATAGATTGAATTAAAAACTTTTTAAGAATTTGGTGCAATGACTTACTTACGTCATGCAATAGCACTGTTTGACTCGGAGGACCTATGAGACTGATCATACCATTTCGGTTTAGATACTAGTATATTTTTCCTTTAAAGGTTTTTACCTTTAAGTACTTTGAATTAAATTTACGAAAGGACATTACAATTCAAGCATTTCTCCTCAAAACAACTTTATCTTTTTAAATTGCAATATTTTGTCATCATCCCTTCATAAACTATATTCTTATTCACAGGACAAAAAAACTAAAGTGATTTTTGCCAAGATATTCTTTTCAAAATGACATTTTTACTCAATACTTTCATAACTCCGCTAAATAGTTTCATAGTCATAGTAACATGTTTTTCACTTAGAGCCTTTGGGAAACACAAGGGCGTTTTCGACAGAAATAGCTTTTCAAGTATCTACACGTTTTATTCCCGTGGGTGTATTTAAATACGCGTGAAATGATTCAATTACAGAGTATAATGTTGATCTAGGTCAGATTGTAATTTACAGCATCATAAATAATGAACACATTTCCAAAACTTATACATAAGCTGTTTTTAATCATGTCACAGTTTTGTTAACTTAAAAATCATTATATTCGAGATGTCATTTGCCTTTAAAGTGTAATCATAATTTCAAAAAGTAGCATTAAAAGGCTCCAAATTGCATATTTACTTGATCTTTGGCCTGTTAATCGTAGGTAATCAGGGAACGGAGTGGCAACCCGCCACTATAACTTTAGACGTAACAGATGAAGACTTCAACGTCATATTTGAGGCAAAGTCAGCTGATGACAGTGCCACTGTCCAATTTGGAAATATCGCTCTGGATGATATAAGTATTGCAGAAGTTGGGTCAGGTACGTGTTTACTCCCAGTTGGTATCGCCCGCTTCCATAGCATTTACTCGCACTGATTTAGTTCAAATTAATGAGGAAAATGTGCTTGTAATATCGCGAACCCCCCTCCCCCTCTCCCCCTGTTCAAAGATTCTTTCTAAATCAGGCAGTTTTTCACCATTCTTAGCACTTTCAAGTGATTTGGGCCATTTTTGGGCAAAAGTAAAGTGACCCCCTGGAATCTTTTAAAAAGTGAACAACGTCATCAATTGCAACCTGTCAAATCCTGGCTACAGTCCTGTATTGCAAGGATAGCCTGGGCAGACAAACTTTTTAACATAATTGTATGATATTCACATTTAAATCTTAAAATGGGCTCATTATAATAGGTCTCCGTGATATGTGAATTGAAATGTTCGAATGCTCAATATACGAATATGATGCAGTGATGCATTTGTCGCCACCAAAAAGGTATATAGGAATATATGTTTGTTATAATGTAGGATGTGGTATGAGAGATATCATATTTGCAATCGATTCATCTGGAAGTATCGGAGATGCCAACTTTACCCTCATCCTCGACTTTGTGGCTGGGATCGTTCAGGATATTGAAATAGGCCCGACTGCGAACAGAATCGGTGCTATGAGTTTCTCTAGTGATTCGGTCATCCGGTTCCACCTGAATAAATATTTATCTAAAACGGTGACGATTAGGGCAATACAGGCGATACCCTATGACAAAAGGGGAACTATGACTGCAACTGCTTTGGATATGGCTGCATCGATGTTTTCAACGAAGAATGGGGATCGGCCAGAGGCAGATAATGTTGGTAAGTGTGTCATCAGGCCAAAACTTTCTGTCCTTTTAGTGCATCTTTTTATCTTGCAAAGAATGAGCTTCAATTTCATATTTTGCCTGACGCCAGTCATTTTCTTTATTTTGATCATGGAATTTTTGACTAACACATAACTGAATCCAAAATAAAAAAAATAAAAATGTAACAAGATGATCTTGTTCTCATTTATGTGAAGTTCAAGAGTCATAAATACTTCTTAATAACTGCTGCAAAATATTTTCCCCATTAGCCATTGTGATAACTGATGGTCGTTCGGATGAGCAGGGTGCTCGAGAGGCAGCCGAGAGGTTGAGGAACGCCGCAGGCGGTGTACAGGTGTTTGCCGTAGCCATTCTAACCAAAGAATTGAACAAGGCAGAAGTAAGAGCGATCGCCTCTGATCCAGATGCTGACTATTATTTCGAAGTTATGACATTCAAAAACTTGCCAGATATCAAAGGAAGACTTGCTTCTGCCTCCAGTGGATGTGAATTTTGTAAGTGCACCATCATTAATATCACATTCCTTTCCGGCAAGGTGATATTCTGTTAAACCAAATATTGCAAAACAGAACAACTCCTCGTGCATCTATATGCATCCTCATACATTAGTACATGAAAATGTATAGGCATTTCATAATTTTGACTTGAGGTTAGGATAATAGTTTCTGCTTTTGGTTTTCATTGTATTATATTTTTGACAGACTGTGAAGGATCAAAGGTTGACGTTGTATTTGCTGTTGAAAGAAGTGTCAACGTGTCTGACATTGAGAACATCATGACATTTCTCAAGCGAACCATGGAAGAACTGGGAGTCAGTGAGAACGAAGGTTTCAGTTTTGGATTGATTACATTCTCTGGAGAAGCCAAAGTGGAATTCAAACTTGGAGAATTCAATAATTTCCCTGCCCTGAAAAATGCCGTAGAAAAGATCGAGGTATATCTAATTTATTTTGGTTCTTCTGTTTTAAACTGCGGCTTACTTTGGTGAGAAATATATCATTATTAGCATATATCAGCCATTGCTGGCTTGTTTATTGTGACAACAAATAGTAACCTTTCTTTGACTAGGTTGGAACCGGAGGGAGGGGAACGTACAATGCTTTGAGGCTACTACGCGAGATGTTCACAGAGGAGAACGGCGACAGGGCAGATGCCGCAAATGTAGCTATCGTACTGACCAAAGGGATATCAGATGACGTTGACAACACAATGAATCAGGCTAGGAGACTGCATGATATAGGAGTCAAGGTATGCTATTCGATATAATTACACACTTTGTCTATTTCATATTGGATTCTGCAAAAACATATATGGATCACTTGGTATTTTAAGTAGTTTCCCACTGCCAGAAATACCAGGTATTCTTCAAGGGGGTGCTTCTTGTTCTGTTTCTGCCGATGATGTGCATGCGCGTAACCAACATTTCAGTATCTCCTGTTCGTCTAACATTAGCTTGATACTACATACATTGAGTTTTTTCAAAATTAAAAAGACATAGAAGAGTCTAGGCGCAAGTTTAGCCTACTCCCTCGTGCTTTGAAAGGAAATAATATATAAGAAATACCAAAATGAAAGCTTCATATTTGTAGGTGTATGCTATTGGAGTTGGTGAGATGGTGAATCATGACGAACTGAATGCCATAGCAACAAGCCCCGTAAAAACCCACGTCCTTAACGTAACTAAATACGAGGATTTGGTTGGTATCATAAACCCTGTCAAGGAAAGAGCATGTTACGACACAGGTAATTTATAGCAATGTTATGATTCGATACAATGTAGCATTTCAAGTTAGCCAGTGGAAGGGAATTCAAATGTTGTTCTTCTGGAATAATTGTCAAAATTGCACTCTTACTGGGTCTGGCTGAGCATTTATAAACGAAAAGTAATTAGGTCACTCTAAAGTATCTGTGGACAGAGGGACAACTATCAAAGGCTATTTCTTTATCAGACATGAGATCCTTCCTTCAAAAGTAAAGCATCAACATGCAATTTTCTATTCATATTTCAGAATGTCGCAAGCGTGAACTCGACTTGGTATTTATGGTCGATGACTCTTCTAGTATTAATAGCGCTGACTACGCTCGTTGCCTTGGATTCATCAGAGCGGTTATCAGCCGATTGGATGTAGACCCCAAGTCCACCAGAGTCGGCCTCATCACAATGACTGGCACGACAATTCATTTCAATCTGGACACATATCAAACTAAGATAGATACGCTGAAGGCAGTTGAGGAAATACCCAAGTCAAGTGAGTCAGAAGATGAATGAGTTCTAAATAACTGGATCATCCCTCTTTTTAACCTGAAAGTGACACCGGTTTTAAAGTCGTTTTGATAAAATTCAACCAGCAATATTTTGGTTTTCATAAAAGGACGATTCTCGGTTTGGAAAACAGTCTCCTGGGCTAATAATTTTTTCATGAAAAATATAGAAATATTACCCAAATTAAACTATGAATATTCAAAAGAGGACATTTAAATCTACAAGATGTAAAAATGACAAATTGGTCTGAAGCAGGGGTAACGCTCAATTAGACCGATTCAATAAAATACAAGTCTCGATTTGGGGAAAGAAGTTCATCAGTGTACTGCGCTAATAATTGTTTGCAAAAAATCTAGAAATATTACCCTAATTAAATTATGACTATTTAAAAGAAGACATTCAAATCTATATTATGTAAAAAAAATCAAATCTGTCCGAAGCAGGGATAATGCTCATTTAGATTGATGAACTTCGTTCTCCAAACCGAGAATCGTCCTTTATAATGATTTATACATGTGCATGTTTGACCTACTTAATAGTAAATGGTACCTTTATATTTTCCATTTAGCCGTCTGTAATAGTGAACACTAGTCGGTTGTCATTTTTAATAGTCCCACCGTCAGAATTCAGATGGAGTAATTGATGTTTTCTAGTGTCTGCATCTATCAATATATAACAGCACGACTCTTAAATACTGTGCCTATGTCAACAAGTGTGATTAATTCATGAATACTGCAATTTGTCTCCTGTTCATTCAGATGGTTTGAGCGATCTAAAGGCTGCAATATCCACTGTACGAAATGATATGTTTGGTAGTAAAAGCAGGGTCAATGTGCCCAGGATGGTTATAGCCCTGACTGACGGTAAACATACTGATAAGCAAGGCATCGCTGAACAGGTGGCAGAGGCAAAGGTCAGTCAAAGCATAAGAGGGTTGATACACTAGAATTCAGGATTGTTATTCCCTTCAAATTATGAATTTTAGCTCAGATCTCTGTGATTATTTCTACCTTTTACTAAATCTTATTGAGAAATTGAAAATGAAGAACGTATTCATGGCTTAATTGAACCATATACGACTTTATCGAAAGGTCGTAATCTACACTTAGGTATTAAATGCGGTCGCATATGATGATTATGGTTCAAATTGGGCTGGGACAAGTTTTAAAATCTTGCTCATATTTTATCATGAAACACAGATGTTATTCGTAGTTAGTTATTAGACGAAGCTCTGTTTGAAGAAGCAAGATCAAACTGAATTGATTAGATGTTCTGTACTGGGGTCACTTTCTTGTAACATTAACTAAGAAATCTCAAAACACATGAAGTTATATTTATGTCAAGATGCCTGGTTTTTGATTGTGCATTGTGCAGAGAGAAGGCGTGATGTTCATAGCTGTTGGTGTTGGAAACGAGGACAATGTGGACATGCCGACTTTGAAACTAATCACTGGAGACGCCAGGCGTCTCTTCATCATTGATGATCATATGCAGCTCAGAGATGTGGCGGCCAGGGTTACACAAAGTGCTTGCAAAGTTACTGGTATGGCGTTAGACAAGCTCAGCAATTCTGAGTTTCTTTAATTTTCTACTTGATTTCTGAGAAAAAATTTACATTTTGTACTCTTAAAGACGTGCAGCATAACCTCCCTATTATGTTTCGGTTAAGACTTGAAATAAAGAAGATTTAATATGAATTTTCCAAGTGCAGTAATGCAAGTGCCCCTTGTCCATTTGCAGTGTGTGAAATCCCCGTTGATATCGTCTTCGCACTGTCTCGATGTGGAAATATCACTGGAACTGAGTATGCTGATGTACTGGAGTTTGTTGGTAGTCTTGTGGATGAGCTGGACATTGACAGTGGTCGTGCTAGGGTCTCAATCATTTCTTACTGCCAGGATGTATCATATTTTGTTTACCTTAAAGAGTACGTATTCATTATTTTCTTTTTTTATGTTTTATTAAGTTTAGATTTGAAAGTTTGAGATTTCTCCAGATATCTTGCATATATCATTCATATTGCAGAAGTTTTAATAAGTGTAAAATAATAAAATATTACTATTTAGTTTAATATAGTACCATAACAGTGATGACTCATCTAATTTCGAAATTATATATTATATATATGTATATTTTTCATCGGTTTAAATGAGGTTTCCAACTTATATATTCCAACAATATATGTAAGATGTACACATCAGATTGCAGCAGATGCTCCATAAGTAATCAAGATATCTTCAAAGGACGATTCTCGGTTTGGAGAACAGTCTCCTGGGCTAATAATTGTTTTCATGAAAAATATAGAAATATTACCCAAATTAAATTATGAATATTCAAAAGAAGACATTTAAATCTACAAGATGTAAAAATAACAAATTGGTCTGAAGCAGGGATAATGCTCATTTAGATTGATGAACTTCGTTCTCCAAACCGAGAATCGTCCTTTTGCAAAAGCCTTTAATAACCATTTCCATTCTCCAAATACTGTTTTGTCTTCATGTCATCGCATCATCCATTGCAGCTATTCTAGTCGTCTCGCTATAAGAGATATCATATCTGACATGCCAACCGAAACCTCTGGGACACCTGACCTTGTAAACGTCTTGAACAAACTCAAAAGTGATGTGTTTAAACAGAGCAATGGTGATCGTTTTGGAACACACAATGTAGCAGTGTTTATTGCAAAGGGTGAGAACACGCAGGCCGCCAGTAGCATCGAGGCAGCCGCAGCAGACGTTCAAGCAGCTGGCATAGAGATTTTCTCAGTTGCATTCGGAAGTTCTCTTGCTGAGACAAAGTTGGATCTTGTTGCATCAATACCAAAAGAAGTACATCAGTTTCAAGTGGAGAAGGCCAACAATCTGCCAACTATTGAGAGAGGTTTAGCTCGTACGGCTGCTTGTCCGAGTGGGTGTGAAGGAATTGCAGATATCACTTTTATTGTTGATAGGTCGGGTAGTATTGGTGTGGCCGATTTTGAAAAAATGAAAGCATTTCTTATTAGTATCGTAAATGATTTGGCTATTGATGGTGATAATAAAAACAAAATAGCAGTCATTACATACAGCGATACTGCAAGATTGGAGTTTGGATTGAGCAGTCATGGAAACCGAGACGCTGTGAAAGATGCAATTACAAACTTGCCATTTACAAGTGGAGCGACTCACACTGCGGACGCCTTACGTATGATGAATGAAGAAGTCTTTACACTCACTGCCGGTGATCGTCCTAAAGTACCAAACATTGGTGTTCTCATATCAGATGGTGTGTCCACTGTTAACGCTTGGAATACCCCAGTGGAGGCGCTTAAAGCCAAACAAGCAGGAATAGAAATATTTGCTCTTGGTATAGGATCGGATTCTATTGAGAAGGAATTAAATGCAACTGCTAGTGATCCTGATGAGAAATATGTGTTTAGAGTGAGAGAAGGTATAGATGCATTGCCTTCTATCAAAGCCGCTCTTGTACAAGGGATCTGTAATTGTAAGTATACATTTGCCTAATACAGAATTCTATCAAAAAAATAGATAACATAACGTGAAGTTCATGAATGTATAAATGATATCTAAATTAAGTCTTCAAAAGAGTTGTCTTTGAGACCCATTATTTAATGGCCAAGTGTCTTATATTTTCTACATTGCCACCTATTATGTCCTTCCATTGTAAACTTTGTCTTGTCTTTGTCTTTGGGATTATACTTTGGATTTTTACTGAGGTTCTATATAACTTTCTCTTGTAGATCTTGATAGCTGTGATCCAGACCCATGCCACGGCAAAGGGACGTGTGAGGACAACTTATACGGATATGAATGTACTTGCCAAGGAGAATCATCTGGAGACAGTTGTGACAAAAGTAAGAATATATAAGCACAAGTGCCAAAAGTTGTAATGGAACTTAGCAAGAAAAAGCAAACTCTAAGTATTTGACTAGAAAATTGACTCAGTAAGCTCTCTGGACAAAAAATCTCAAGAGTAATCATAAATGATACTTGCCTCACTAAATGATACAACCTATAGTCAAACAATAAGTATCAGCAGACCGGAGAACATTGCAACCGGTAAAACCCACAAACAAAACAAACGACACAAACACTCAATGTCCAATTATTTTCTTATGTATTTACAGCTTGTAACGTCCATAGCGATGTTGTGTTTCTGATGGATTCATCCGGCAGTATTGGTGCTGACAACTTCATCATAATGAAGAACTTCATCAAGGCTATCGTCAACGATCTTAATGTGGGCGCTGGTATGTCTCGCATTGCGCTCATCAGCTTTGGTTCCGATGCTTTCATTCACTTTTCCTTGAGCGACTATGATACAAAGGCGGGTGTAATGCACGCTGTGGATAGAATACCATATACAGGTAAGCCCATGGTATACGACCCTACAATTGTTGGTTTGCAATTTGTAGACTTTAGAAGCCCAAAAATCAAAAAAGGAGCAATATAAATCTTATAATTAACATCACTCTATTTCATCTTCTAATACAGGTGGCGCTACCAACATTGCCGACGCTATACAGCTAGCAAGATTTGGAGTCTTCAAAAAGCCTAGTGAAATTGGCAACAATCGAAAAATTGGTTCGTATTTAAGATCAAATATATGCATTTACTGTAGTAGATGAATTTGTGATACCGCATGGCACTTTATCTAATGCCTGAGAGGGAGTACTCCAAGGAATAATGCAGGTTGTGGATCTTGTTTTCAGCAATCATGATCGGTGATGGGAGATCCACTGTTAACGTAAAGGACACCGTATTGCAAGCCCGACAGGCCAGAGATGAAGACATTCATATATTTGCAATAGGTAATGGTCTACTCTTGATTCAAGATCCTGGACTCCCTACAAATCTTCTTCGACAACTGTTGTTGAAGAAGGGAAGTCTTGAAGCAAGACCAGTAATGGTCCTATTCCTAGTAATCACTCTCTGAAATAATCAATTAATTGAGAATACAATTCTCTTCTGCTTGGTGGAAAATCAGTTTACATTTAGTAACTTAAGATCAATTGTTCCATTCCTTACGCCTTGCTCATTTAAATTGTCTCCTATTGTTTCATTTTATCAATGGTTGAGGCGTAGGACGTCGTTGTTTTCTTGTAGCTGGTCGTAGTTCTAAATATTTCCTGGTTGAATGTATTATTCTTATTCTGTCATTATCCTTTTTGCCATTCAGCATATTGCTATGTCTTTAATGACTACGTATATAAACATACATTTGCAATTTGATTATTACTATCCTAGGTATTGGTCAAGAACTGTTGATGTCTGAGTTAAGAGGTATTGCAAGCGATCCAGACGAAAAAAATATTTTCCAGGCTGATAACTTTGATATGCTCATGAACATCCGAACGATACTTGTTGACCCTGTATGTAATTGTAAGTACACGTCTTTCAATTTGATGCTTATAGTCAAACAAGTCCAGTTCCAAGGAGTTATACTGTACAGCTTAGATTTACACTAAGTCTTTTATTTTCTGTCCTGTTTTATGTGGTCTGCCAGCTGGGATGATATCAGAAATTGTAAAATGTAACATAATCACGTGTTTTTATTTAATAGATGTCGACGAGTGTAGCAGTTCACCATGTCAGAATAATGCAACCTGCGTGGATGGAGTAACTGGCTATCACTGTCAATGCAAACCTGGTTATTCTGGATACCGATGTGAAAAACGTAGGTCAAGTATACCCAATTCAGTTTAAGGGTATTAAGATAGTATTGTGAAGACGGACGAAAGAATGGGTCCACGGTGTCCTTCATCGTTTTTATTTTTCAGATATTATTTCATTTTACCTAATATCAGCTGACACACTAGAGATAGGTGCAGATTCTTAATTGTCAAACCATTTATAAGATACATCGATCTTCTAAGGATATTCTTCTCTCAATAGTAAAGACCGATCGAGGAGTCGGAAATTTTGCTTGCATTTGTCACTCTCACTTCCCTTATCCTAAATGTAGCCCTTCGTATTCCAGAATGCGAAAAGAAGGTGGATGTGATGTTTGCTCTTGATAGTTCTGGTAGTTTGGGTGTGGACAACTTTTACAAACAACTTTACTTTATGCAGGTATGCAAGTTAATACATTCCGGTTTTTGTCGATTCTGAAATTATGGACTTTACCACTGACGCTTGGAGAACTAAATATTTTTCACATATTCCATTTCCATCAAATATAGTACAGACACTGGTAAATATACACTGTCGTAAAGATGAAATTGGTTTATCTTTGCATTTCTTGATATGTAAACATAGCATTTTGAATGTTCTACAGGACCTCACCAGCCAACTAGGCTATAATGGTGGAGAGGGAGTTCGAGTCGGCCTGTTGACCTTCTCGGATAGAGTCACTAACGAGTTCTCATTCGATCGCTTCCTTGACAAAAACGCCATTTCCAACGCTATAGGCTCGATACCTTACGTAAATGGTAAGCAAATTATATATCATTTGTTTTGGCACTGTCCATTAATGAATATCGTTAGACTTATCAATGGGATATCAAAACAAATTGTTATATCGGTGGATAATTGCACAGTAACTCGGAACAAGCTTCAATGATTTTAATGTTTAGTAGTAATGTCACGTACATAATGTATAAATATGTATATCAATTTCAGGAGCAACGAATACACAACTTGCGTTTAAAGAACTTCGTAAACAATTTGTTCTCAAAGGACGCGGTGACGCCGACAAAATTGGTATCCTTATCACAGATGGCATTCCCACTTGGAGTTTGAATCGAAACCAAGACATAGTCGAGGCAAACATTACACGAACAGCTGGAATAAAAGTCATATCAGTAGGAATAGGAGATGCAATTGAGAAAAAAAGACTTGAAAAATATTCATCTGAACCTAAAAAAGACAATGTTTTCCAAGCAAAAGATTTTGATAGTCTAAGTATTTTAGTCAGTGCATTGGGAGAGAAGATCTGCAATGGTTTATAGCGGAATCACAGAGAGCAAACAAACATTACATGGCCTTGTTTTCTTCATTCCAAGATTCAAAAGATTGAATGAGAAGTCAACGTGTTCTATAAAGAGAAACAACAAATGAGAAAGAATTTTTTGGAATCTAAATTGATTCCCCTCCATAATGAAATAGCTGTTTGACACTCGACGCATGCGCAGTCAATGCATGATGTCATGACCCCCATTTCTCTGACTCCCATTTCTCAAAACTATTTATTTAAAGATTGTGGGCTTTTGGACGTAAAGCTAACTTGATTATTTTGTTTTGTTCTAGTGTTATTGAGAATCTCTTCTTCATATCACCTACCTTATAATTCATACAATGTAAATCTACAAGTATTGTACATATCATTTTCAATCGCAAATCGCATAATACTCAATCATGCAAAATAATGACCTAACACGCTTTTTCGTGTTAACGATGTATAATATGTATTTATAAAGCTGGCATGTGTCAGATCATTTTAAGTGTAAATACTTGAGTATGACCTAGTTATTTGCGGAATACATTTTCCTCAAAAACTTGGAACTTCCCACAGACCAATGTTATTTAAAGTCTATTCAACATTATTACTAAATTGTACATAAATCTAAATCTTTTATTGGTGCTACATACTGATTAACTGAAATAAACTATAAACTATTTTAAATAGTTTATGTCAATGTGTAATCATCATAATGTGAGAATAGTTTGGTAATATTTTTGGGGGGATAAAATAAACTATGTTCTAGTATTTAAGTACGACATTAATAATATTTATCTAAATCAAACATTTTTGTTATATATTTCTTATTTTGGAATAGCATATACTTTACCATAGTTTCATTAATATTCGTGTATTAAAGTCAATAAACAGACCAGACAAGTTTTGTTTTATAGTAAACGTACCGTTTTATACAATGACTTCCCACCATCAGTTTCCTTTCTATCAATTTTTGGATGATCAGGTCAATTTGTCCCATTGTCTTATCAAATATGCAATTATTACCTTGATGTTTCAAGTAAAGGATGACATAATAATTGTAATATTACAGTTTCCATATAGCTTTTGAAATATCGCTAAATCTCGTTTTCTTGAGATTTTAAGAGATTTGCATACAGGGTGTCCAAAAAAACAGGACCGTAGGAAAGTTGAATAACTCGACCATATTTTACCTTGAAATTTCAGAATTATTTAGTTCATTCAATGTGAATATTGTTGTAAAAGTTTAATAATAATCTGCCAGTTGAGTCAAAACCTACAGTTCCTTACAAAACATGCCCCAAATGTGCACCTCTCCTCTCTATGCACAATTCAATCCGGCTAACAAAGTTGTTGATGATCTTCCTCCACACATATCTTTCTGAATGTACAAGTTTATTCCAAGAACGATTGAAACTAGGGCTTACATCCTCCTGATGAAATGTTACGGCATTTATTGCATTCTGAACAATGCATTGCCTGGATGGCAATGAGGAAAATGGAATCATCAGTCCTTTTTGGTTCGAATGTGAATGGGGACGTGCTTTCACCATGAACACGGACCAGTAAGTTCTCGCTTAGTTTTGGAGGTCACTAAGCACCAGAAGGGAGATAAGTAGTGGTTTCAACAAGCCAATACCACCCTAACACTTCAAATGATATGCTGAAATGGTTTAGGCAATGCTTTGGTGGTCAGCTCATCAGTCGCAGAACGCAAACCATATGGGCAGCTCATTTGTCAGATCTAAATCCCCCAGATTTTTATCTTTGGGGATTTCTCAAAGCCAATGTGTATACTGACAGGCCCCTTGCAATCTTAAGAGGGCAATAACTACCCCAATATGTACCATCCACATTGATCTGTATCAGTTAGGGTCATTTACAAATTGGTTCACATGTATATAGAGAGGTGCCCACTTTGAGCTTGTTTTGTAAAGTACTGTAGTTTTTGACACAATTGGCAGATTATCATCAAACTTCCAGAACAAAATTCATATTGAATGAACTAAATAAATTACCAAGGCAAAATATGCAAAATTGACCGAATTATTCATTTTTCTTACGGTCCTGTTTTTGGACACCCTGTATTAGACCTCTGATAACACACCTTTCCTTCTTTAAAATGGCATATTTGAATTCAATTAAATGTTTTCTCCTACGCTATTTATAAATTGGTGAAGTTATGATGGATTCAAAGTGCAAAAATGGATAAAAAATGTTTAAATTCTCCCAAATAATAAGAATGGTAACCATTCTAATAGAAAAATAATACATTATATATTATAATAATACAATGTCATTATATATTTAAACTTTTTAGTTTTCCTGAAATAAAGTGTGCACTTAGGAGATTTGGGGAAAATAGACATGAAAGGAATGACATTAGCCAGAAATATTCTAAAATTGAAACAATTTTTGTTAGGCTGCTCGCTAGATCTGATTCTCTCTTTAAGGTCGGTTGAAGATTTAATATATATTTACGTTTTGGCTACAATTTAAAAAAAAACCATATGTGTACGTTGTCAACTCGATGTACAGGGTGATCCAGAAGTAACGTCAAAGACATTGTAATTTCAAAAGTATTCATCAGATCTTCATGAAATTTGGTATACATGTACCCACAACATTTCTGAGTTACCATCTCAAAGATTGGAATTCAATCATTTCATTGGTTGAAATTATGGTTGCTATAGTAACCCGATATCGCGTAACCCGGGGCAAATTGAAGAGAAACCATAACGTTTTTGTGAATTTCTCTAATTTAAAAAGTCAGTAACATTTGAAAATGTTCATTGTTTGTTTTCTATGATTTTTATATTTGTTGCCATGGTAACAAATATGTAATAGTTGTGATGTCACAATAGGCATTCATAAAAAGCTTTCAATTTCTTTGAATTGCTTCCATCATCCATGACAAATACTAACATGACCAAGGACACTAACCCACCCAATTCAAGATGGCGCCAAGTCAGAGTAAAATAGAGCAAAGAACAAACATTAAGTTCTGTGTAAAGTTGGGGAAAGGTGTAAAAGAGACTATAAGACAGATAAAGAAGGCATATGGTAAAGCTGCCATTGCTGAGAGAAACATTTACAGGTGGTTTAACAAGTATTCCAGTGGATATGATGAAGTGGTAGACAAGCAGCGAGGAGGCAGGCCAGTGTCGTCATTCGATGATCAAACCATCAAAGCAATTGAAGCTGATGTTATGGACAATAGGCAAATTTCTATCAGAGAATTGGCTGAAAAACACGATCTGAGCTATGGGACTGTGCAACGGATACTGACAAAGAACTGTCTGTTAAAGAAGGTGTCTGCTAAATGGGTGCCGCATGACTTGACACAGGAGCAGAAAGACCGGCGTGTTAAGGCTTCAAGGGACTTTCTTGCAAAATATCGGAGAGATGGAGATGACTTTCTTAACAAGATCATTACGAGTGACGAATCATTGCTATCATTCTACATCCCAGAGACCACGCAACAAAGTTCATCGTGGAAACATGACAACTCCCCAACACCAACCAAGCCTGAAATAGTACCAGGAATTCCACAAAAGAAACAAATGGTTGTGACATTCTTTGACATTAGAGGAATGGTGTTAACCCATTTTGTTCCCATTGGCCAGAGAATTAATGCCGTTTACATTGCAAAGGTAAGATATCATTTGTTCTAATAATACATCATACTGTGAATTTTATTTTTAAATTAAAGTATTTAAATGTTGTTCACTGTCAATATAATTATAACTCCATGGCCATGATTCAAATCCAAATCCAATCAATGAAACAACTGGTTTAACAACCATTAAACATTTGTTTTTCAGGTTCTGAAGCGTGATCTTCAACGTTCCCTGAGGAAAAAGCGTCCCGGACATCTGCAGCAGTTTATCTTGCATTGGGACAATGCCCCTACGCACACTGCAATCCTGACCAGCAACACAGTCCAAACACTTGGATTTCAACAACTTGAACATGCCCCTTATTCACCTGATCTTGCCCCCAGTGACTTTTATTTGTATGGGGAACTAAAAAGAAACCTTAGTGGAAATAATTTTCAATCCTGTGAGGAATTGAAAAATGCCGTAGTACTAGCCCTACAAGGAATGAGTTCTAATGGATTTAATTCTGTGTTCAAGGAATGGGTATCCAGACATGAGAAATGTGTTGCAAATGGTGGCAATTATGTAGAATGAACTATTATTAGTAACTGTGCAATAGTATGATTTATATTGTTGTGAAATAAAATGTTGAGGATATAACAATTTCAGATCTTGTTGATATTTTGAGATTACGCATTACACGTTAAGTAATTTGCCCCGGGTTACGCGATATCGGGTTACTATAGCAACCATAATTTCAACCAATGAAATGATTGAATTCCAATCTTTGAGATGGTAACTCAGAAATGTTGTGGGTACATGTATACCAAATTTCATGAAGATCTGATGAATACTTTTGAAATTACAACATCTTTGACGTTACTTCTGGATCACCCTGTACATTGTCCCGTTGAACTTACATATCTCAATTCATACCCAATACAAAATATTTATCGAATTTTCTCTCAACCTAAATTGTGTAGTTTAGAAAACATATTCTCATGAAAATAATCGACTCTCTAAGACGACAGGGGAAAAATGATCGAAGGAAATGTGAAAAAATCAACATTTCCAACCGATCAATTTTTGTGGAGTGGTTTATTACGAAAAAAATCGAGCACTGCTCCTAAATATTTTAACATAATCAGAAAGCTAAGAGTCGTTCCAAGCAAATGCACACGAAATCAAACATATCATTTTATTCCTCAGATTCATTTTTAAAACCTACACCAAACCCACATCATAGTTTTCGCTTCAAATCAGTTAATAGTGACACCATACATCTTAAGTGTACGACGGTATATTTTGTCACTGTACGTTGTCGATGGTTAGACGTGTGTACGTTAACGTGTAGTCTTATGACCCTACGAATAACTGTCCCCTCACAATGGGATTTTAAGGGACCAAATTACAACTATTTTCCCGATATCTTTATACTCAATCTGGCAAGTAAATACTATGAATGGGAGGACTTATCCCTAGAGGACCATAATTCTAACGCTCACGTACAAGTTCTTTGAACTTCTATTATCCAGCTAGAAGTCTGTAATAACGGCTACTAACAACCATTGATCAATGAAGTCTCTATGTCATACTATATCGTATTATTCTGGTACCAGGAAATCATGGTTTTCGTATCATAATTTTGTTTGGAAAGGATTACCTCTAATCGCTGATCAATAATCCGCTTAGTGGATACAGGAGAATACCAGGTGGTACCTTGGGGAAACAGGTACTGGACAATTTCATAAAGTGATATAGACACAACAATCAACAGTACTAAGTTGGTCCGAGTTCCTGGGACTTGATTATCAGTGCAATAGTCTTGAATTGTTAATGCGTTAATTGAAATTTGAAAGAGTTTATTAGGAATAATATCGAGTGATTTTATGTGTGAATAAGTCATTTTTGAACATTTTAATTATTTTTTCGTACTAAGAACAACTCAGATATACAGACAATACGGAGATATCTCAATTGAAGCTAAGATGGGTGAGAGTGGCGATGGGGACTACGTGCTGAGTGACGAGAGCGCTAAACAGCTCGTAGAAGCTCTTGATGTTGGCCAGGAGATATCCATTGAGATGAAGGTCGTGGGAGAATTCCGACTATGGATGATACTGGGAATCATTCTATCTGGGATCACAATAATAGGTGAATTTCAAATCATTTTTACAGCGGCAATTGAATCAATCGAATATCATACCTCTATTATACGACTCTTATAAATAATTGAGCAAAATGTTTTAACTAATAGTCCAATCAGCAGATTAAATGTTCTATCACCACTGTCTGCCATATAAGCATTCACATTATCCTGAGGTAGAATCTTTCTTCAGTTGTTTGAGGATTCGTCGTTCGTCATAAAATGTAAACTGTCAAAAGTGGCAACTCTAAGTTAGAATCGAGAAACCTGAATTTTTAATTACGCTAAAGAGATAATAATATGTGCATAAAAAGAAGTATGTTCATGACAACCAGAAATGACAAGCTTCCAGGTCATAGTTCTAAGTCGCTATTTGGTTGATAATTCTTATTAAACGCAAATTATTCTTAGTTTAACTATAACTGCTAGGCACGGGGTAGTCAAAAAATGGAAACCCTTCCCACTTGACATTTTAAGTAAATAACTCCCTGATCTTTTATACACTTGTACATCAATTTCCTACCAGTCTACAATATTTCATGACCATCAGATTGATAGTCACAATGTTACAGCATTTTAAAGAACATACTTCAGTGGCCACTATCGCGCTATAGGCAAACCTGCACACGTCGTCCAAAAGTCCCTACCTGACTTCTACCTGTGGGGATACGCCAAACATAGAGTGGATGAGAATGACCTCAGAACAACTGCAGACCTCAAAAGAGAGATCATCCGTGTCATTACTTGCTGAGAAATGCATTCGAGTCATTGCACGCCTAATCATCGACGCATGTAAGCATGTAATACTTCATCATATTCCTTATATAAAAACTTAAAACCCGCATCACAACTTTTGCTTCAAAAAGCTAAAGTGTACAACCGTATATTTTGTCACTGTACGTTGTCGATGGTTAGGCGTGCATTGACAACTGTGCAGGTTTTCCACAGCGCGATGATGGCCAAGAAACCTGAAGCAAGTTGTTCAAAGTGCTGTTACATTGCGAATATTAGTCTGATGGTCATGAAATATAGTAGGATGGTGGGGAATTGAAGGATGTACAAATGTGTCAAATATCTGGGGTAATTTCCTAAAATGACAAAGATATAAGGACAATGCAGGGTTTCCGTTTTTTGACCACCCTGTATTTACGAATAGTTTGAGTTTCGTTTACACGTAGCAATGGAAACACCAGGGAGTTTGAAATATTTATTTGTAATTTTCATTTTTCTAATTTAGTTATTACTCTTGTAATAGTTACTTCATTTTTCGTTTGTGGTTTTCATTTTCCAGAGCATATGGGAGGAGGGATCAATTTGACAATTTCCATTCCCCTTTTATCAAGTGGAAAATAATAGATTACGATTACGGAACCGTACACAGAATCGTAATGCTGTATTTGCATAAGTGCATTTAGTCCCAGTTCAAGAGCCCTTCACCAATCATAATGTGACTTTTCCATCAATATTTTATTGCATTAATGGAGGCACGGGTATCTGAATACTCTGCAATTAGTAAAAACACATAGATCAATAATGTAAAGTAGATATGATTCGCAGCGTTTTGCCTATAGTATTGATTGTACACTGGGGGTGCAAGTATGACCGTCTATCTAAACGTGTCTCTTAAAAAACAATGTTTGTTCCACATTATCAAGGTTTAGATGTATGTGAAGGGCATGCTAGAATACAAAATACGAGTACCTCCAACTTATATTTCACAAATTTTATTTGAAGCATTTTGTATATCATGTTGTTATTTAATAACGTAGACTAATGATTATGTTGTTATCGTCATAGGAAATTCTGATACACATTTCTAATATTAATTCCAGTCGTAATACTGTGCTGTATTTTTGACTGCCGGGTGCCACGTAGCAAACAAGAGATTGAAGAGGACAAGAGGCGCCGAAAGATGGCACAACGATATGTCGAGGAATTTGATCGTGTAACACACTCTGTTTTTGAACAAGAGAATGGTATGAATACATTTTTGTACTTAATCATTTCCCGTTGAAAACATTTTTTGATATTTTGAGAATGTCCTCAGTTAGAACATTTTCAACTTACAATTGTTCTCTATTATAGCACCGACCAAGAAAAATACCTCTCGTGAAAAACAAGGAGTCCACAACCCAGCATTTAACGACGGGACCACTGAAACCCTAAAAGGGGGGCGCATTGGTAACGGTCACAACTACCCAGGGGCAGTCCCCGGGCCGAGTGATTACACTCCTGGGGAACAGGAATGGACAGTACATAATGATGATGATGCAACAGCTGTCAAACGCAGTACTCATACTTCTACTACTCATTACAGACCAATGGATGGGAATGCAAGAGTACAAGACAATGGTGGACCGAGGAAATATAGACAAGATGTGGAAAAGGGGGAGACCGAATAGAAATGCAACCTATAATTGTTGTTAACAGCAAGGCCTTTTAAGTGATTTTCATTTCAATGAAATACACGGTTGATCAATAAATACTGAGACTACGGTTCTCATTTCACCATCCAATTTATAAACAGTTTTAAGGATTTGTACTTTGCACACATCTTAATTCGTCTCAAGAATTATTGCAAATAGGAAACATATACATTAGATCATTTGAGAGGGACCCATGCCAAATTTTTAATGTTTTTAGTGGTCCACCAAATATTCATGATAAAGCAAGCGCATTCACTAGGGCAGAGCATTTGTACTGAAAGGAGCGTTTTCAGTACAAATATGTACTGAAAAATGTACTGAATTTTTAAGTATATTTTTCAGTATAAATATGTACTGAAAAATATACTTAAAATTTCAGTGCAAATTTCAGTATAAATATGTACTGAAAAATGTACTGAAATTTTAAGTACATTTTCAGTATATATTTATACTGAAAAATATACTGAATTTTAAGTGTGATTTTAAGTGCAAATATGTACTTAAAAATATACTGAAATTTAAGTGTGATTTTAAGTGCAAATATGTACTGAAAAATATACTGAAATTTAAGGGCATATTTAAGTGTAAATTTATACTGAAAAATATACTTAGATTTTGAATTACGACATCTTCCTGACTTTGACTTTTACTGTAATCAAGTGATTTCCTTTTTAGAAGTTATGTACAGGGTGATCCAGAAGTAACGTCAAAGATGTTGTAATTTCAAAAGTATTCATCAGATCTTCATGAAATTTGGTATACATGTACCCACAACATTTCTGAGTTACCATCTCAAAGATTGGAATTCAATCATTTCATTGGTTGAAATTATGGTTGCTATAGTAACCCGATATCGCGTAACCCGGGGCAAATTACTTAACGTGTAATGCGTAATCTCAAAATATCAACAAGATCTGAAATTGTTATATCCTCAACATTTTATTTCACAACAATATAAATCATACTATTGCACAGTTACTAATAATAGTTCATTCTACATAATTGCCACCATTTGCAACACATTTCTCATGTCTGGATACCCATTCCTTGAACACAGAATTAAATCCATTAGAACTCATTCCTTGTAGGGCTAGTACTACGGCATTTTTCAATTCCTCACAGGATTGAAAATTATTTCCACTAAGGTTTCTTTTTAGTTCCCCATACAAATAAAAGTCACTGGGGGCAAGATCAGGTGAATAAGGGGCATGTTCAAGTTGTTGAAATCCAAGTGTTTGGACTGTGTTGCTGGTCAGGATTGCAGTGTGCGTAGGGGCATTGTCCCAATGCAAGATAAACTGCTGCAGATGTCCGGGACGCTTTTTCCTCAGGGAACGTTGAAGATCACGCTTCAGAACCTGAAAAACAAATGTTTAATGGTTGTTAAACCAGTTGTTTCATTGATTGGATTTGGATTTGAATCATGGCCATGGAGTTATAATTATATTGACAGTGAACAACATTTAAATACTTTAATTTAAAAATAAAATTCACAGTATGATGTATTATTAGAACAAATGATATCTTACCTTTGCAATGTAAACGGCATTAATTCTCTGGCCAATGGGAACAAAATGGGTTAACACCATTCCTCTAATGTCAAAGAATGTCACAACCATTTGTTTCTTTTGTGGAATTCCTGGTACTATTTTAGGCTTGGTTGGTGTTGGGGAGTTGTCATGTTTCCACGATGAACTTTGTTGCGTGGTCTCTGGGATGTAGAATGATAGCAATGATTCGTCACTCGTAATGATCTTGTTAAGAAAGTCATCTCCATCTCTCCGATATTTTGCAAGAAAGTCCCTTGAAGCCTTAACACGCCGGTCTTTCTGCTCCTGTGTCAAGTCATGCGGCACCCATTTAGCAGACACCTTCTTTAACAGACAGTCCTTTGTCAGTATCCGTTGCACAGTCCCATAGCTCAGATCGTGTTTTTCAGCCAATTCTCTGATAGAAATTTGCCTATTGTCCATAACATCAGCTTCAATTGCTTTGATGGTTTGATCATCGAATGACGACACTGGCCTGCCTCCTCGCTGCTTGTCTACCACTTCATCATATCCACTGGAATACTTGTTAAACCACCTGTAAATGTTTCTCTCAGCAATGGCAGCTTTACCATATGCCTTCTTTATCTGTCTTATAGTCTCTTTTACACCTTTCCCCAACTTTACACAGAACTTAATGTTTGTTCTTTGCTCTATTTTACTCTGACTTGGCGCCATCTTGAATTGGGTGGGTTAGTGTCCTTGGTCATGTTAGTATTTGTCATGGATGATGGAAGCAATTCAAAGAAATTGAAAGCTTTTTATGAATGCCTATTGTGACATCACAACTATTACATATTTGTTACCATGGCAACAAATATAAAAATCATAGAAAACAAACAATGAACATTTTCAAATGTTACTGACTTTTTAAATTAGAGAAATTCACAAAAACGTTATGGTTTCTCTTCAATTTGCCCCGGGTTACGCGATATCGGGTTACTATAGCAACCATAATTTCAACCAATGAAATGATTGAATTCCAATCTTTGAGATGGTAACTCAGAAATGTTGTGGGTACATGTATACCAAATTTCATGAAGATCTGATGAATACTTTTGAAATTACAATGTCTTTGACGTTACTTCTGGATCACCCTATATGGATTTATTAAAAATGGCCTAAATCACTCAAAAAGTTCTTAGAATGGTGAAAAAGTGCATGATTTTAAAAGAATTTTTGGCCGGGGGGGTGTTCGCTTGGACCCCTGAACCCCCCCCCCCCCCAGGAATGCTATTACATTATGAAATTATTTTGGATGCTTCCTTTACAGCAGACTTTAACCAAACTTAAAAGAGTCTCTCTGTAATCAGGTTTGTTTTGCCTTGTCAAAATATTTTGTTTTGTTAATGGATTAATAAAGTTTCTTTAGACACATCCTTTAAAGCAGACTCTAATCAAACTGGAGAGGCTAGGTTTACTGTAATCAAGTGTTTTCCCTTTAATAAGTTATGTTTTTGGATTTAATTATTTAAGACGCATCCTGTAATAATATCTGATTGCATTTTCTCCATCAATAAACAAATTATTCTGATTAGAGAATTTCTTCCTTACAGACACATCTTCCTTACTTTACAGGGTGTTCCAAAAGTAACAGGACTGGTGCTGGCATTTTGTCAATTTTGCACTGAGTGTCTTCAAATTTTCACAACTTGTACTTTGAAGTATTGCAACTAAAATTGCAAAGTTTCAGAAAAAATGATGAAATGCAGTTAGAGTTATGGTTACTATAGTAACATGACATCCCAATACCCGGGGCAACTTTTTTCCTGAACATGTGATATCTAACATTTTTGTATTACTACTGAAGAAAGTATCTAATTCACCTATTATAATACAACATTTCTTGTTTATTTTATTAGTTGCTTTGTTGTACAGGTGTTGCTATACAACTCAGATTCAAGTATAATTTCACAATGATAATAATATTTATTCAATTTCCTGGAATATCACTATGTATAACAGTCCGAACAATTCACGGTTGAGTTTTTGAAAAGACCCAATTTGAAGCCAGGCATCTACCTTGATAGCACGCCTGCCCGCAGGTACACCATTAAAGACTATACAGCGATAGAGAAGCTAGGTCTTGAGGTCTAAAACAATGCTCCATACTCTTCTGATCATGCAATATCTAATTTTTACTTATATTGAGAATGGAATACAAATCAGTGCTGTAAGACCTTTAAAGATGAGAATGACCTTCTCCAAATTGTCCAATTGACGCTGCGTGACATGTCCTCAAATGGGTTCATGCGTGTGTTTGGGTCATGGATACAGAGTCCTACTCTTGTACTGACCAAAGAGGAGCCTATTTTTCAAAGTAGAGGATATTTAGGCATATCAAATGATGTAAAACAAATGTAATTCACATCAGTTGTTGCATATCAACTTTGATATGGCATGCACAAAATGATATAGCATGTACAAAATGCTTAATGTCTCTGTAATTTTTTGCGTGGAATGTTGCCCCGGGTATTGTGATGTCATGTTACTATAGCAACCATAACTCTACCCGAGTTTCACATGTTTTGTCGAAATTTTGCGATCTTAGTAACGATACATAAAAGTACATTATGTGAAATTTTGAAGATGATTGGTGCATAATTAACAAAATGCCAGCACCAGTCCTGTTACTTTTGGAACACCCTGTATAATTATGATTACAAGATGGAGTATTGCCTAGTGTCTGAATTTGCAGAATTGGAGAATTGCGAAATTATTTCAAATGTTTTAAAAATGCTACATACATTTTCCTTTTGACTGGAATTTAATAAGAAAACATCTCTGCATTTATTTCTTTTTTTTTCTTTTTTTTCTTTTAAAATAGTCTTTATTTCATTCATTTACTAAATATATAGACAGTACATGATTTATAAAAACGGGTTTACATAATCTCATTGCAGTAGTTTGGATAATAAATTCCATTTGGAACAATAATACACATTTTTTCTACAATTAATTTCATATTTTATCATAAAAAGTATCTTTTCAAATGTTCTTTGTTCTTTACTATTCAGTTCTAAAATGTAGGATTTGTAAATGCTGTAAGCAACTATACTTGTAAAATAATTCAGAAAATTAGTTTGAGAGTCTTGGCCATTATAACCAATTATTATTTTTTTATACGAAATATTGAGACCACATGTGTTGTATATAAATTTCCATATATCCTTTGACAAACAACATTCAAAAAGAATATGTTTCAAATCACATAAGTGATTGCAAATACTACAATGATAATAATTTGTTATACCATAGATAAATAAGTCAGTTAACCCAGGAAGTATGTTATTAATTAGTTTGAAATTAAAATTGGCAACTTTTTTGTCTTTAATTTTGATGATCTTGCTAACAAAAAAATTCTGCCAATTTATTTCATCTATTTTACATTGATTTGTTATACAGAAATCTCTTTCCCATTTTTTTGAGACAAACCATTTTTCAGATTTTTTATTCTTCAATATGTTATAAAAGAAATTGGATTTTTGGCCTCTAAAATCTAATTGAACATTTTTTACTTTGAAATTGAGTTTTCTTGATATATTTGTGAAGTTTGCTTGTTCTATGTTAATGATTTTTTTTATTGATTTCATTACAATTGAGACTTGAAAATATTCTGAAATCCAATTTATTTTATTTCTCAATTTTTCTAGAATATAGTTTACAAATGACTTACTATCAAAATGCTATCAGAAACCAACAAGATTTAATAAACTAATCAAAGTAATCTTGCATAACCATTACAATGTAATTATTAGAACAATGTAATTATCTAAATTATACTAAAAAGTATGCCTTACATTTACGTTTTCTCTTATTTCCATTGGGCACAAATATTTCTCATTGCATATATTTATACTTAAAATTATCCTTAAATTTCAGTATATTTTTCAGTACATTTTTATACTGACTTTTGCACTTAAATTTCAGTACATTTTTCAGTATATATTTGTACTTAAATTTATCCTTAAATTTTCAGTGCATTTTTCAGTATATTTTTGCACTTAAATTTGTCCTTAAAATTCAGTACATTTTTCAGTACATATTTATACTTAAATTTGTACTTAAAATTCAGTATATTTTTCAGTACATGAATTTGTACTGAAAAATATACTGAAAAAAATTCAGTGCATTTTTCAGTACAAAAATATACTTAAATTTGTACTGAAACAAAACTAGTACATTTTTCAGTACATATTTGTACTGAAAACGCTCCTTTCAGTACAAATGCTCTGCCCTAGTGATTCAGTCGATATTTCATCAAACTTCAAAGCGACCTTGAATAAACCAGAGGTTCATGAACAAACCTAAACAGGTGATAACGTAAAAAGAAAGAGAAATTCAAAACTCGATTATGGTCTTCTCTTAAAAGCATGTTATTTGATAAATTGATTAAATCGTTCAAAGTGTGTGCAGGCCCGTAGCCAGCTTTTGCCATTTTGATACTCAATGCGTTATCTAGCATTACAACTTAGTTCCATTTTTGCACAGAAACGCTGATTTTCAGGTATTTTTGGAACAACTCATACAATGCAAGATGCTCATTAAATCACTGGAAAAGTGCTCAAAATGGTGAAAAACTGCATGATTTTGAAAGAATTTTCGGCTCGAACCCCCAGAAGCCCCCCCCCCCCTCTGGTATTTAAGGGCCTATGCGTATGTGAAATGGAATTGTAAGTTAAATGCAAATGTTTTCTCTAACACCGATCAGCATCATAAAGATAAACAAAAATGTTGTCAAAATTTAATTGACTTGTACTACATGTACTAATATCGGACAAGACGCTGTTGCTGTTATTGAAGTAAAAAGTAATCCAAATGCATTGCAAAGTATATATTAAACGCGGGATTAAGTAACACTAAAGGTTAAATCATAATTCGCACAATGTGGTTTCAATAATACATCAAGCCTGTTTTGGCAAAAACTCGAGTTTCTGCTGATTTGACCTTGCAATGTACACTACTTTATAAGTACAGGATGGGCTAAAAAAATTGGACACTTTTGTATCACTCTTAAAAGTATTAAAGACCCCATCAGGTATTTTCGGAACAATTCATACAATGCTGGGTGCTCATTAAACCTTGGTTTCTATAATAAAAAGTCTCGATGTTGTTACAATTTTATCCTAAACAGAAAATGATTGTCTAAGGATCAAAATAACAATGTTAATTTGGCTAGATTTGATTAAGATGATTGAAAAATAGTGACGAATAAAGACTTATACCTAAAATAAAAGAAATTATGAAATATGCTGCAATTTTAAATTAATTTTTTTTTCGAACTAATCCGTTACATATCTTGTTTTAAGAAAAAATGGTAAAAACTTACACTGTATGGTTTGAAACATTACAGAAATGTTCAAACTTTATACTCCCTAATTTTGGTTCATATCTGCTCTTTTAAGTAGAATATATAGAGATTATCCTATATGAGGTTTAGGATACTGGGATTATCCCGAGGCCAATATAATATATCTGCCCGAGGGCCGTAGGTCCCGAGGGTAGATATATTATATTGGCCAAGGGATAATCCCAATATCCTGAACCGACTATAGGATGATCTGTTTATCCCATACAAATCACATTGTTCAATTGGCCAAAGCTCAGAAACTTTGCAACCAACCGTGGACTTATTTAAAATATTCATGTCCAGTTTTGTATTCTTGTCCGTAGCCGGATTTCCCTGTTCAAATCTTTGATTATTAACGGGGCATACTGCTCCTTCCCTTCTTTAAAGCATCAAACAGATCGCGATTGTCTGCGTTTTTCTCCATTGTCGTTTACAGTATGCGCGCGAACGTTACAAAAAGAGCCAATACGGGAACAGCGATTATGACGTAGCGGGCAGATATACTATATCTGCCCGCTCGGAGCGGGACATAAAGCTATATCTGCCCGCTGATGAAAATATAAGTTTTTACAAACCGGCTTTATGTACCCGTAACACGTCCAAGTATGGGATAAAAGTAAGTATCCCATTTTTATTTGCTCACCCTGTATGTATATTATGGTATTAAATATTATAAAAGGTGAGCTCAATCTCACTAGCTCAAGTTTTGGGTTAAATTTAGTCTAGCGTTCATAAGAAACCAAAGGAAAAGTACGATCGTGTGCTATACACTATAATGTATTTGCTACTGTAAGGTATGTAAATCATTTATTATTGCATATAAAACAAGATGGATTTGAATTCAGAACTATGCAAGGTCCGATGTTAAACAGTTGTTATTCAGTTAAATCAATTTACGGTAACATGTTGTATTAAACGACTGATAATTGTCCCAAGAAGCTTTCACACGTGTTTCAATCAAATATAATATATAGATACAAAAGTACCATTGTTAACAAAATTAGCGGCAGTTGTAAATAAATGGTTTTAAAATTTCCTTTTTACGTCTAGAGGACTTAATAATATATATTATCCTAAAATAATTGTTATGCCATGTTCTTTACAAAGTACACAATTGACACAATAAATGACCACCACTGTCGGATAGCAGAGTGAAGGCTAAAATTCACACATATTTGCTCAAAGAACAAAGTTCCCTCTTGAAACTTTCATACTTTAAACTAGCAATATTTATTCTTCGTCTTTGGACAAGCCAAGCATTTGAATAAAGGAATTTTCGAATGAATTGTGACCTTCATTCGATAAATTTAGGTCTCTACATGTAAGTAACAAACAGACCACAGATTTAAAGCACATTGGGAATGCACATTTATTAACCTTGACTTTCTATATAATGTAGGTTATGCATGTTAAATAGCAAACACCAAATGAATATCTCGGAAAATATATTTATAAATATTTTCACGTTGAGTTAACCAAATACCTGGATTGTGCGGGATAATACATTTGTTGAAATAACAGAGGCATATTACGAAGGTTAAACAAGGGGTTTATTATTTAAGACCTGACCTGTTTTACAGCATTTGTAAGTAAAGTCAAGAAATGGTATTCATGAAATAAATGGTTCCTTTTGAAAAATAAGAAAATTTGCACTTTCCGTACGTGTACTTTTTTGATTTGATTTCATGGTATTTTGGAAACACGTTTTGGTATGAATGTATTGGCGCATATCCAATTTCTCTGGTTTCAATGTACATGTCATGTATAAATAGTGACACACCTCATTATTATCACATCAATGCTTCTTATGGTAAGTGTTACTTAAACTTAATACATGGTGAGCCAAAAAGGCAACCGAAACAAATGTTCAAGCTTTAAGACTTACTTTGCACAGTTGAACCGTGTTCAATGTTATTTTACAATGTTAGTTTCATTGGTCTATTCTAATGGTCACGCGTCAAATTTGCCTCTAGAGACGAGAACATTGAACGATGTCAAAATGTGCTAAATGTAACCTTAATCAATGCTAATAACTGAATTGTAAACATTTGTTTGGGTTGTCTTTTTGACTCACCCTGTTTATCTATTCACTTTGCATGCCCACAACTGATAAAAGATCAGATTTTATTTACTGATCTGCCATGAGTTTTCCGTTGTCATATGTCATAATTAAAGGTAATTGTTATCGTATTTAATATCTCATGGTTCTGTTTGGACGATTTCTAGGCGTGATGCATGATTGAAAAATGGATATACCGAAATGCCTACGTGTACATATATTGCTGTTAGCAATCTTAGTGTTCAATACACAAGTGTCGAATTCGTCTTGTACACTCCTTGGTGACAACGTAGAAGTTAACCTGATAAGCGACCTGCTTCACCAGCACCTTAAAGTTGAGGCTACAAGAAAAAAGAGACAAGCAATTGACATTGGTGGACCTCTGCCTGGCGGTGGGACCGGAGAAGAAATAGAACCTTCAGCAGGTACAGTACTGTCTTTGATTCTGCACTAGTTGCAATTCTGACAATTACTTTGTACTTAAAGTGGCAACATGGCCCATAGAGAGAAAATTGAAAAATTTCACTTTATCTGAGCTATCAGGACAACGTTTGGCTTAATATCTTCTTTGTCAGACCTATTTTCTTAAAATGTATGGTCATGCTTAATATTTCAGCATTTAGAAGTGTAAATATAAGTTTGAAGTTTTCATAAGAGAAAAAACATAGATTTTTTTAAGATTTATTATATTTCAAGATTTTAACTTCAGGAATTTCAACTGAAATAATGTTCATCCAGGGGGCTTCTTTATATATTGTATTGTATTTATTATTTATTATAGTGTCACGCCATAAAATATTACATAGTACTAAAACGATATTAAAAAACATTGGCCCTGCCGATGTCGGCATATGAGACACTTAACAACAATTCGATTAATAAGTTAATGTAAGAATGTTCGACGTTTCATACAGAGTTTAATTACAGTCTTTGCTAGGGAACGTTGCAACAATTCACAATTCATAAGTAAGCAATACTGTCCTAGACTAGTGGTATCAAAGTCATTCCCTATTAGCGACCTGGCCTTATGCAAAAGCTCTCTCCTCTCAGTCTCATAAAGGTGACATTCTATAACAAAATGAATTTCTGTTTCCACGGCGTTGCCACAGAGACATAGTCGCTCATTAAGTGGAATGTTGGTGTATCTCCCAGTCTCTAATTTGAGTGGCAACGTTCCGCTTCTAAGTTGGGCAATAGCACGCCTCTGAAAGCGAGTGAGGTTCGCATTAACATAGTATTCCGGACCAATGGCGTGTGTCTTATGTAATCGATATGTTCTAACTTTATTACCATTAACATTGCGTCCGTCATTCCACATTTGACGATGCCAAAGCTCGTGATCACAGTTAAATAAAATATCGTGCAAATCACGAAGTTCTTTTCTGATGTCAGGGATTTCGTCTCGTGTTATAAGATGATCAAAATCATGAGTCTTAATGAGTTTAATTGTTTTTGCTTCCCAGGTCCGAGCTCGACGCATTGACCAAATATGTATTTATATAGATAATGAAAATATGTTAGCCTTGGTGAAATATCTTTCGAAATATATATTGACACCCCTACGTGTAGGTCCATGATCGTTTGATACATCTCTGGACTAATTGCCCAACCTTTAATACATTTCAGATACTTTTTTAGTCCCCGTCTAAAGTTTGAAAATATTTTTTTATCATTCATTTACTATTTGTCAGGACTTAAAAAGTGATTTTAGAGATTTTTGAACGAAAACATTTTTTTGAAATTTCTTAATCATCAAATATTTCTTAATGCATTTCAAAAAAGATTATCTTTTTAACACCAATGCAAAGGTTGAACAAAGGACACACTATTTGAATAATAAAATGCCATATTTAATGGGCCACTTCAATGTTTTAGCATATCAAAAATATTTTGAAACATTAGTGATGTCACTAAGGTACCAAAAACTTTTTGAAAAAAATTGAAATTTTTTTTTCGATGTCAATCTTTTCTAAATATGTTAGACTTTCTTAAAAAACCAATGTTGATTGTCTAACCAGGTTAAAAGGAAGAATAAATTATGTTTTAGATATCATTGTACCATTGGTTTCTATGAGAACTAAAATTTTGAAATGCATTTTTCTCAGAACCATTTTCATGCACTGATAAGTTCATTTCTCGCTTATTAATGAACCGATTTTCTTAATTTTTTCGGCAAAAAACACGGGAGGATGAATGCTATGCATTGGTATGAATTGTCTATCAAAAACCACTTTTTGAAATTTAAAAAAAAAGTTTCACATATCACACTTTGATAACATTGGGTAAGACTACAATATAAGCCAAAGTGGTTTAAACTTTATATGGGGCCTTTAATGCATTTACAATTGTTTGTGTTTACAATTTCTTTATGTATGAAAAATAAAGAATATTCTTGCCAAGAATACACATGACAATCAATTTTATGATGTATTCATTCATATTAACTTGAGAAACCTCATTCCATTATTATGTAATTAACATTTTAGATTGTGAGGAAGGTAAACTTGATCTTTACTTCGTGGTAGACAACAGTGATAATATCAACACTAAGCAATTCAATGGAATAATAGAATTCTTCCAAGTATGGTTACGATATGTAAAAATAGGGGATTCGAAATTGCAAGTTGGAATGATAACGTCTGGAACACAACCGGATGTACTATTCAACTTAAAGAATTACACAACTAAAGAGGAGATATTGAATGCAGTGAATACGCGACTTAAACATACTGGCGGGGAAGCTAAAACGCTCTCTGCAATGGCATTGATGTTGGATTCCTATACCATTGAGAATGGTGACAGATCTGACGCAAATAATGTTGGTATGACAGTTTTTATTTTCTAAAAATGTTATAATTTTATGATGAATTTATCATTTTAAAAAAACGATGTCCCTTGTGTAATAGATGTTCTCGTACTTCAGAGTCTCGTGGATTACAAATTATATCTCATATTATGTTATCCCAGTCATTTTTTTAAAAAATAATACGCACATAGCAACGTAATTGTTTTCTCAACGTGCACAGCTATTCTTATAACCGGTGGACCATCACCCAGTGATACAGTTAAAGCGGTCGAAATACTGAGCCGTGCCAATCAGGAACAAGTAAACCTTTGGGCCATAGGGATTGAAACCTCTGTCTTCACGCGCAGCGACCTCATCGCCCTCGACCCTGAAATCCAGACAAAGGTAGTTAAAACAGAAGGAGGTCTTAAATCGGCAACACTGGAGCTTCTGTTGGCAATTCAGCAATGTCCCAAGTGTAAGACAATTTCTGATATTTTCGTTAGAACAAGACAACAAGACGAGAAAATAGACTAGAATCATGTAGATTAATATAAAATGTTGATTTTTATAGAGGCAATATAATAAAATATAATCAATCAACAATAATTCCCATGCCCATTTGTAGTTGAGATATGTGAGGAAGGCGTGGCAGATATGGTGATACTCATCGACGAATCTTGCAGTTTGACTGTGCAAGACTTTGAAGGCATGAAGACCTTTATAACATCTTTGTTACCAATGTTATCAGTCCATCCAAACCTCACCAGAGTTGCTATAGCAACATTTGGGGATACAACAACGTTGAAGTTCCATCTTAATGAATTTGAAAACCACAATGACATAATCGGCGCAGTTGCACAATTCGAACAGAATTGCGGCGCAACGAACACGAGTGGGGCTATTAGATACATGCGTGAACGCATGTTCACAACTGAAAATGGCGACAGGTCCAATATCTCTAACATAGCAATTATCATAACAGACGGTGTATCAACTGTGGATGAGAGGTATACAGCGAGAGAAGCACAAATAGCAAGGAGTGAAGGCATCGCTATGTTTATGGTTGGTGTAGGAGCTATGGTTGATACAAAAGTAAGTGTCATTTCCAGCAACTTTTTATACTTTTTACTTTATAAACGCATGGGAAAGGCATCTTAGTTCTATATTAGAAAAAAATACGGAAACGCGCTACATTACAATTATAACACAAAAGTGCTCGTGTACATGTATGTTATATATCTCAAAATTTTATCATATACAAAAATCTGTACGTTTTTTAGTGGGCTTTGGAAAACCCTTGGTAGTTTTTATATATTTCTGTTTATGTATTTGTTTGACATTTGTCTTAGAATCGGTGGTACGCTTTATGTGCATATTGATATCAACAGTCGTACCAATTCTTGTTTAGAAATATTTTCAGTAAATTGTAAGAATATTGCTAAAATAATTGCAATTATCGCAAAATACCAGTGTACTAAAAATTGATTTAAAGTGCTGTAAAAATAACAAGATATGGAATGAATGAGAAAGGATGTGTGTGAAATAGAGTGAATGTGTAAAAAGAAATCAATATGAAATCAATATATGGTTGGTGTCATCTTTACATTTACCTTGACGAAATACATATGCACATATACTGAATTATGTAAGTTAATATGACCATTGCTACTTCTTTGAATAACTCTCTGTATAGCGAAATATAATTATAGGAGCTAAAACTGATTGCCAGTAAACCCCATGAGAAACATTTGTTCCAAGTTACTGATTACTATGGCCTGATGAGTATTACCAATACATTAGCATCAAAGACATGTTACGTACCAGGTAAACCTTTTGTAATGTACCTACAAATCTCGTTTAATATATATTGTGTTTTAATCAATTTACGTGTACTTTAAAGAATGTAAATAGTGTTTTTCAATAGATATTTGGGCATAATCTTAATTATATGTTCACTGCAATAATTTCCGTACATTTATGTTCAGACAGAATTTATGGAGATTCACATTTTCTGACCTGTTATTGTAAGAAATCAATGTTTTTATGAACTTTTCCTAGTTAATTTGTGTTGTATAATGAATAACAAATCAAATCATCTAGGGCATAAATATAAAAAGCCAAGTCTTAATTTTAGTGATCTGTGTTAAAAATGAAACATTTTTCATTTGAACATAATAGTTTAGTAAACATGATTTAAATTGATCGGCTTTATCCGAGCTCATCTGTATACTATTTCTGTCATATAGGATGTGCATTTGACAAAGTAGATGTCGTGTTTGTGCTAGATGTGTCAGGTAGTCTTTCCGATGAATCATTTAAACACATGATGCTGTGGGTGGCTAGTTTCGTAGAGGTCTTGGAGGTTGGACCCCACGCTGTTCAGTTTGGTCTTATAACATTCTCAACAACGGTCAAGATTGATTTCTACCTGAACACATATAGCAATAGGCAAGATGTTCTTGATGCTCTTTCGCAGGTTTGTCATCTCCTTTACATATACTTTATATCAACTTGTTTTATCCTTTCGTTGTAATATGTTAGTAACAGTTAATGCGTTTATGAACAAATTGTACTGGTAATTTGAAAAGTGAATTAATCGTTTTAGCCAAAAATAGTGACTGTTTTGCATCTGAAAATCATTGAGTTAGCATTGTTTCTTAACTTAGGCATACTAGTTTTGCCGAAATGATATTTTATCATCTGTCACTGTGACGTAAATTGTAGGTTGTTATACGCCACTTTTATACTTATTGTACAATAAAACATATTGCGTAACATGTGTGAACGACGTTCCTTTTCTAAAAGTTAAGTCGAACTGCATTTGGTGTATCTTAAATACACAATTAGTCTATGTAATTACCAGGTACAGCACATGAAGGGAACCACCGATACTAAAGGAGCTGTTGCTACTATGAGGGACATAATATTCACTGAAAACAATGGGGATAGAGAGGGTATTCTCAATGTTGGTAAGTCTGGTAGGGTGATATACACGAAGCTGAACATTTCCAAGAGTTGGTGTTTTGAAGCTCCCTCTTTGTCGTCATTTGTGGAATCCATGCACATTTATATGGTTTAATAATATTTCTAATAAGGATCACTTTTTGAAAAACCTGCACATTGCGAAAGTTGCATTTTCCTTGCATTCAAATAGGAAAAATAGGAACAATTCCCACGTGTCTTACTTATTATTGAGATACGTAACCAATTATCATTTCCATTGTGATTTCCAGCCGTTGTACTTACGGATGGTGCAAGCAAGACTGGAGAACCTGGACCAGAAGCATATAAAGCCAAGGAGAATGGTATCTATATATTCGCAATCGGGATAGTGACTCCTGAACTCGATAAGGATCAGCTTACTGAAATGAGTAGTGAACCGGAGGAAGTGTTTCTTGTATTGGTCAATAGCACTGAGGAATTACTCAAAGGCAATGCCCAGCAGAGAGCTAGTGTCATAAGGTGTAGTCCCCCACCAGGTAATTTATAGACGATTAGATACTATTGTGGGATCAACAGTCACTACAATTACTTGGAATTGAGCTTTGGAAAAAGAGAGACTCTGATAAATCAGAATGGTTAGATACCAACGTCTAAGGTTGTCCCTACTTTGTCTTTGGTCAATGAATGTTGTTTTATGACATAGTCTAATATAGGGGTCTGGATATTTCTAGAATATTTTCTTGTATTTAATGTGGTTTTGTATTTTGATATCAAGTAACTAATGTTATCTGTTGTTCCAGAGGAGCCTCCAATAGACCCGACTAGTACTGCTCAACCAGTAACAATCCCATCTACGATAGCGCCTACTTCTTCTACATCTGCAAGTTTCACAACAAGTAAGTTATGCGACATTTCACCCAAAGTTAAAGAACCATTACCCCAGAATAGGATACAAAATCCACAGTTGTAAAGGTATAAACATGTGTGTTGCTCATCTCATCATTGCTAAACATATAGTTTGGTCGCCGTTTTGATATGTTTGAAAAATTTATGCGAGTACTGCAATTGTGTCTTCCAGGTTGCCCATATGGGACAGCGGATATCTTCATTATTCTTGGTGTGTCAGGAGAAGAAGTGATCCCTTTCCTGAGGGATATCATCATGGATCTTGATATTGGCAACTACTCAACAAACATTGCTGTCATTACTTTTAATAATTCAAGCCCACATACAGAGATACATCTCTCTGAGTATACATCAAAAGCAGATATTCTTAATGCCATTGATGCATTTCCAACAATGGTTCAGGGAGATAAAATATTATCGGAAGCTCTCGAAGAAGTTTTTCGAAGTAAAGCCACTAGAAAAAAGTTTAGGGATCACTTTCCCAGTATATGTGTCATATTTGCAGATCACACGTTGCAAATGGGAACAAATATTTTACAAATAAGTGAAACTCTTCATGAAAATGGCACAGAAATAGTTTTGGTTAAAGTAGGAGATCCTCCCATTGAAATTGATGCAATTATTAAGCAGAAAGATGTTTTATATACGCTGGATGGATTTACAGAACTCCACGAAATATCCAAGAATATAACTGAAAATGTTTGCAGACAAAGATCAGGTGAGAAACATGCTTTCGTTTTTTGTATATCCTGATCTATACATATGTTCAATCCTGAAGAAATTCAAATAATTGGGAATACCACGTTATCAGATGCTCAAAAGTATTTAAACATTCGAATCGATATATTCTGAATTATCCTATCCATTTTTATTCTTTTTCAGCATGTCCAGCCTCATCAGCTGGATTAGATATAGCACTTCTTCTCGATACGTCATCTAGTGTTGAGGAAGGGACTCTTTTAGATGCAATATACAGTGCAAAACAATTAACAAAGTTGTTACCAGAAACTTATAGAGTTGGGGTTATAACTTTCAGTGACACAGCAGAAGTGCAGTTTTATTTAACGTCGTATACATCAACTGAAAATATCACGGAAGCCATATCACAAATCCAAGCATCACCAGGTGCGACAAACATAGCTGCTGCTTTCACTTCACTTGGGGATATATTCAACATTGCTAATGGGGATAGTGAGTTGAATCCTAATGTAGCTGTGCTTATGTCAGATGGTGTTGCAACAGTTGATACAGAACTTACATACACATATGCTCAATACCATAAAGACAGCAATGTCAGAGTAATATCTCTAGGAATAGGACCAGCCATCGACGTTCAAAGTCTTGAAGCACTCGCATCTGGTAGCTTGGATGTAATACTAGCCACAGATGCTGTAAATCTGCGCCAAGCAACGATTCATTTAGCTCTTAAACTTTGTAACAAATTGTAAAAGATGTATGTTCATATTGTCAGAAAACACGATGTGTATTTGGTAATAAAGGTATATTTTGATAATTTTGAATCCAAAAAAATAAAATAAAGATTGCTTCTGTAAATAGATGTCGTTTTTATATAACATATTTAAAAATTTGCTACAAAATATATTTTTACCAGGGCTCTTTGTTTTTACATTTATTTCACGACCAATTAATGGTGAAATTCTTAGGTTTTGTGAACGGTGTATGTATCTTATCTTCATTTGGAGTTTGTAGCAAACCTTTACAGTTTTGTAACCATTTGCAGGTATTGGCATTTTTGCCAAAAATAGCTGATCCTGGATATTTACCATTTGAAAATCCAAATCCAAATCAGGCCCTCCCTCACAACACACAATTAATAGGAAATCATGCCCAAGTGAGAACAGAAAAAGGCTTAAAATACTCAGACTCGCATTTTTATACTACTCCTAGTATTGTAGACGATTTCTAATATTTTGGGATGACTTTTTCAAAAGTTATTTATGTTTAATCAAATCAGGTAAGGCCAAATAAGAGTATTATCCAAAGATGATGCAGGTATATAATTGGATACAAGGTTTCTCATAGAACTTATCAACTTTTCCCAAATGACGAAAATATCACGGAAATTTAATTTGCGTAAAGACAATATAAAAGGTCAAACAAGTCCCTGATGATGGTGAAGATATTAAGAAATATATTTTCTGGTAATATGGGTACAGTCCTTACATATCTGGATTGCAAGAGAACATGCATGTTACGTTTTATTAAAGTATTTGATATAAATATCTATATACAGTCTCATGAATAAACTGTAATTGTAAAAAGCATATGCACTTTCATGTAAACTGAACTAAAATCAGAATATAAAAAAACAATTATAATCGTTAAACATGAGAAGCACAGGCAAAACAATTGATACGTATTTCGCTTCTCTCACTGCTCTTCACTTTTAATTTGGTTTGTAGCACTATCGAATTATCGAAATTCACTTAAACTGTTTAATACCTGTATTGTATAATTTACCTTCATTTCCTAAGTGACAATAGCTGGTCTGTCAAGTGGTCTCCAGACATTAGCTCTCTGGCGACATGAAACGCTTTGGAACCTCTTTTATTCAGGATTTATAGGTATTTGCAAGAGGAGGCAGTTTATCGTTGAACTCACAATTGACTCATCTGACCACTCCCTTTGTGTTTGATTAAAATTCTACCAATATATGAGCTAAACATATTTAGTACCAATCACATGTTTTATTCGATATTTAACATATTGTTTATAAATAATTGATGTGAAATAAATATATGTGAAGATAAACCTCCCGATCAGACGCCCATTTTTACAGATAAATAAGGGTTATGTGCTGGGAGGTTTTAGATATGGGGTTTATCCAGAGGGAGATATGCATATCTACCTGAGGGACCGTAGGAACCGAAGGTAGATGTGCATATCTCACGAGGGATGAACCCAATATCCAAACCGACCGTACATAACTGCTTTATCCTGTACCAAGTAGAGTTTTCAGGGGCATATGGCCATTTCAATAGTACAAGGTGTAAAAATAAACAAATCATTCATATGCAAAGTCATTTTATTGCATACCCACTTTTAAATTTTAAATACTATAAGTTATTCAATGGTTCGAGTGAAATACAGAAAATATTCTTCCCGAGAAGGTCGTATTTCACGATGCGCTAGCAGAGTGAAATACAGACGTTCAAGGGAAGAATATTTTCTGTATTTCACAAGATATCATTGAATAACGATTTTATTCCATGATTACCCATATGAAACTCGCCTAAATCAAGTCCGTTGGCTCGGGGCCGGAGAAACAGATCAACCTTCTCACCTCAGAGATTTTTAATCGATATTCCTTCAAAATCTTTATGGCCTTGTTGTTTGCTTTTTGTTTGCGTGTTTTATCTTAAAATTATTGATTGTGGTGATCACAGTATACGTTTCTGATATTTGAATCAGATATTTATAGCAAAATTCAAAGATAAGCATGCGTTGGTGTAAAGTAATCGCCATTGATTTTTTTTCAGTAACAGTCATATCCTGGATGGAAATCTGGGGCGTTGGGATACTGGACCGTATCCCAACGCTGACGTCATTGACACTGGAAAGTGCGTGTACATACAGAATATATTTAAGTCACGTGGACCAATCAGATTGCAGGGAATTTCACCATCATGGAATAAATTGATAACTTTTTGAAATACTAAAGTGTTGTTTAACAATGTAACAAAAGGATAAATGTATCCAAAAAATTGAAAAAAGTAAAAAAAATGTGAAAACAATTTTTTTAAATATGAATTTTTTTTTAAATTAAAAAAAATTGAAAAAAAATTTTGAAAAAAATGTTGAAAAGAAATTTTGAAAAAATAATTTTTTTTAAAAATGTGAAGTGAAATTACCGGAAGCGGGAAGATATGCACCGAAGCGGGAGATATGGCGGGACATATGGAGGTTCTGGATATTGAAACCTCAAAATCAAGATACGGGATATATCTTACCAACTTATCTCCCTAAAACTCTACTTGGCATAGGATAATGACATACATCCCGCCAACTCAAGCACAACAAATATCAACATCTGATTTTTTCACGAAGCCCAGAAAAGGGATGGCAAAAGGGGCTGTTTTCCAAGCTTCGCCTTAAGTATCAGTGTTCAAAGACATTGTTAGAATCGTGTTCCGGGAAGCATTTGGTGTTTTTACAATAGAAGACTCTTTCTGGGAAGGCATACACCATACAGGCCATACGAAACTAGGGCTAGGCTGTGATTTGACAGAAACTTGACTTTCAAATGTCAATTTATTTGTGTATAAAAACCAAATACAAATACAATTATGTCAACTAGATCTGTACACAAATATGTCGGCATCCTTGAAATTAAAAGCATGTTTGTCTGTCAGTGTTAATCGTGCTCTGAATTGTGATTTGCACAAAATTATTGGGTGGAGAATATGTTGTTATAATATGCACGATGAATTGTTTAACTTGAAAGTGGAGTACATTTGCAAATACAAAAATTTAATTTTTAGCAATTGTCTGATTTTTCGTATATGTTTTTAATAATCCCGTTTCAAATGTTTTGATTAATGCAAACGATTTGGTCCTGCACTTATCCAAGTGATATTTTGAAATATTTTGTTTTTAAATAAAATAAAATCGAGACGCATATATATATAAAAAAATCATAGTTTGATCGGTATCAAGATTCGTATAAAGATGGTAAAACGTTAAAACAGAAATGGAGGCCGTTTGCAACAATTACGTATTGTATCAAAACTGGCTCCAAAAAATCCTTCAGAAGAATAATTGATTCCATTGCATTGGGTTGTTTATTTTGTTCAATCATTAACACCCTTGGTATACGCAGCTAACGAAAATTGACCGGTACGGGTCAAAAGCTGGACCGGTACGGGTTAACGGTTTTATTTGAATTTAAAATAGCCATAACTTGCTCAATATTGACTTCCTCGTGTCTAATTTGAAATATGATGCCTCCCAATGCTTTTAAGTGCCCCAATTTTTTACAGATTTTTAAACGGACCAAAACTCTCTAAATGCGCATTTATGCTCTTTTCTCTCGAGAACGACTGTCTCATTTTCACGATAACTTTTATTTAGTACTTCTAACATATAAGATCTATTTTTCCCCATCAAGGTATGATGTAAATGACATGCTATTTACATCTTGTGAGTTTCAATGACGCGCGTTTGATTTTATAAAAAATGCCAAACTTTGTGACAAACAATTTTATCCTGCTTGCAGCGAGAAGACGGACCGGTTCGGGGCAATCTGCTTGCAGCGAGAAGACGGACCGGTTCGGGGCAATAGCTGATGAAATTCTCAAATAAAACCGTTAACCCGTACCGGTCCAGCTTTTGACCCGTTCCGGTCAATTTTCGTTAGCTGCGTATACCAAGGGTGATTAAGCAGCTTTAAAGTCAAAAAGGAAATTGTGCAAATTATTGATATTTCTTGGTCAAACGTCATGTTCCGCTCTTAACCAATAGATGCACCCCACGTTATGAGTGTGGACAACTTCTTCTTGAAGCTATGATGAAATGTGTCGACAAAGTCTCCAAAAAATGTATCGTGCTGATACCTCGCTAGTTAAAACAATAGTTTTTGTATATTTTATACTCATGGTTAAGTTGGTTAAGTTTGGTTGTGTTCTTATAGCAAAGGATAGGTATCGATATGGCGAATTCAACAATGTTTTTCTCTTAAACCAATTATTGAAAACATTCTGTAAAAAACACGGTCTTTTGTGTAATGTTGACTGATTGGCAACAATTTAATGCAAAAGTTATATATATATATTGTATATAACTGTTTTTATTAACATTTTTGTTTTTTAATGCAATGGCCTTCAGGACTGTCAATAGATGGCGAAAAATTCAGTAGGTTTAGTAGCATACTTTAACATGTAAAAAAATGTTCCAAAAATCTCCCAAGATAAATTTTATTGAAAATATCCAAATCTTCTAATTTTGGATCTTAAAACATGTTTGTAAATAATGATGAAGAAAAATATTATATTTATTTGATATTTGTAGAGAATTTGAAGTTTCAAAACAGCAAACCAATGGACCAGTTGTGGAGAACAACTTAGTAGTTAACTGCCATCTATACGAGTCCTGGCTCCCATTGTTTTTTTGTTCCTTTCTACCAATTCTTGAGAATGAAATAAAATGTCTTTCCGAACCTTGTTGGAACAAAATAGCATATACAACATTTTCTTAGACCTCTCAATATTATTGATTTTACAAAAAGTATGCAAAGACGTGTCGCAAAAAGGTGGCGCATTTGTTTTTGAAGGGTATCGCGTGAATGTAACTTTGATTCCCTGGATTATAAGATAATATTCTAATTAAAGTTATATATAATTTTAAAGCTGTTTCGATGAAGATTTTAGATCAACTACACTCCGTTGACATTTTTTGCGCGTTCCTTTTAAAAAAAGAGTTTTTTACCAAAACATCTGGCAAATATCCCATGTTGACACGTTACATTTTGAATTATTTTTCGTCTTTAAACGCTCATAACTCAAACAATATATGACTATTATACTTATTTTTCGTCTTGATAAAGGTAGATGGAAGTTTTATTTCAAAGGATGAATTTTAGTAAGCGTCCCATATTGTGACGTCATAGAGTCTGAAAAATAGAATCTGTTGACAGCGACCTTTTTTGCTCATTTTTTGGTACCTTCAACTTTTCAGGTGTACATTAAACAAAAAATACGAGATCAATTTTTAATAAATCATACATGATTATTTTGCTCCTAAACTCTAGTTTATTAATAGATAGTTGATTTTGTTCACAAAAGTATGTGTTTTCTGTTGTATGTGGAAAAGTGGAGGACGAAAGGTTGTCAAAATTCATTAAAATAGGGCTAATTTACGCCATTCGCCTATTTTCAAGCACAGCAACACGTATATTTATTTCACCTAAAATATCGATTGATTCGTGTTTTATGGTGCTCCTAGCCCATTAACAATATATATATGATATCAGAGTTATTCATCTAAAATGTTTTGAGATATAGAGGTAAATGTGGAGGACGAAAGGATTTTCATGTGTGTACATTTTTCTCAAAAACGTCACATTCTATCATGTTAAAAGCGAGGATCCTCTGGATTACGCCACAAAATGTGTAACAATGCGTGCGCGAGCTTTTTGCGACACGTCAAAACAACCCCCTCCCCCAAATTAGATTTTAAAAAATTAAGATAAACCTTTTATTTCATTAACAAGATACTTAACCAAACTTTCCTTTTGTACAATTACAATATTGAGAGACCTAAACAAAATGTCGTTTTGTTCCAATGAGGTTCGGATAGATATTTCATTTCATTCCGAACATATGATACCAAGAACAAAAGAAGTGTCTGATGTTTTTTCTAAAACAATGTAGAGAAAAGTACATCCAAAAGATGACCATTAAACTGACGATGTGTCAAATTTTCAGAATGTTTTGATGATCGACTGGTTTAAGAGAAGCGTGTGTTCAAAAAGTTCACCATATCGATATCACTCCTTTACTTGCTTAGTACGTAAGGAATATGCAAAAAATATTGTTTTAATTAGTGGGGTATCAATACGAAACATTTTTGGGGGGTTTGTCCACACATTTCATCATATCATAGCTTCAAGAAGTTGACCACACTCATAACAGGGGGTGAGATGTATTTCGCATGCAAGAAAAGATTTCACTTAATACATAACAACAACAGGTCGGCGCGGAGCATGAGAATGGTTACAAAACAGATACTTAACGGTTTCCTTTATTACAAACTTCCATTACAACCACCTGCTAAACATGTTCCAAATCAAAAAATATTAAACTCAGTTAGCCCGGCCCACCAATCCCCGCCATATCGGTTTAAAGGGCAAGACACAATAAAAGCAAAACGAATAAGTAGGATGCATTACTGTATTTGTTGAAAGGGAGACTCAACGGTAAAGGAGGTTAGGTTGACGGAATTTTATATAAACCTGTGTTACTATATTATTGTAAATTGATACATATGTGCTGCTAATAGAGATAGAATATAGTTTGGTCCCGGTGGGATTACTGCGCCAGGCATCGATACACCACGCGCTCTTCACTGACTTGCTAATTGATTGGGAAGAAGTTAATGAAAGCTCTCTGATACGTAGACTTGCCAACGTGGGTGTGCTCACAGTTACAGATCATATATAGGACTCCTGAAGTATAGAACTTTCGGAACTCTATCCTCCATCCTTTTTGGGCATCATCAAAGTAAGTAGAACTTCGTTATGATATCAAGAATTAAAATCATAAAAGTTATTTCTGGGATGTTATTCTGTAAACTCTTCTAAAAAGAAAATCGTAATAATGTATATTTATAAAACGTTATGTTGGTTTCTTGTGGGTTTATATGAATTAGGTAATACAAAAATTGATTTCTTCTAAATGCTCCACGATGCTGCACGTTTCAGCTTTTAACAAGATAATGCTCGTTATGATGTTCTTGATTATATCACGTTAGATTGAAGGACTTCTTCAAGTTTTTTCATGTTTGGGTTTGTGATTGTCATTTTTGAATTTTGAGTGTTTTGAGTTGAGTATTTTAAGTGTTTTGAATAATGTTAACGATATTTTGTTTTAGTTTTTTGCTGTTCTAAATGCAGAAAATTTTGTTATTTTCTTTTCGTTTTCTCGGATAATACCTTTCCAAAGACTTATAACGTCCGTCTATTCCTTTTCATGAAAGAAGAGATAATTCCTTAATCATTCCAATGGATATCGGAATATACGAGTATAGCTTTAACATTCAAATTCAATAAAATGTCAAATAAACCATTTAGGATCATTAAGATGCTATCGCCATAATTGTAAAATGATCAGTAAAGGTAAGTATTGGACTCAGGCTGATACCGGTTAACGTGTTATGTTGTTTGTTTCTATCCCATTGCACTTCATGAATAAAAGGTATTCTGTTGTTGAACTTTTGAAATCATTTTAGTTCATTAGTCATAATTTTGAAAAAGTATTTTGACTCGATGAAGCATGTGTGAAGACTATTATACTGGTAGCTTACATTATTTCCCTGTCCTGTGATCGGATATGCAATAGCTATAGGTGAATTCTAAAGAAAAAAATAAAGTTTCCTTACTGAATACTTTTCGAATTTTCATTCTGTACTTCTGATTTCTACTTTCAAATATGTGGGTATCTGCAAACATATTTTTGACGTATTGTCACGTGTATGAACCTTATGATAGATTTTTCCTTAAGAAAATAGTCGACGCTAAAGTCAAACTGAGTTGTTTTAAGATTTATCTTGTCCTTTGAAAAATAGCAAGCAAAACGACCATAACAAATGAAAAGCCTGATATTTCAGTTTGAATTTATACATTAAAAGGGCCAATTACTGGAGTTTTCTATAACAATCCCCCATATAACTGTAGCTCTTTGATATTCTTAATTCATAATGACATGTCACTTTCATATAAAGCTTTGCTTCTTTGTACTTATTGGATCTTATTTATTGAAAACGTAGCTTTTGTAATTTGCAACTTATCGGGGCACTGCTTAGTAAGCAAATAATAATGTCATAGATTTATGTCTTTGTCTATTGAAAATGTACTTTATATCTTAAAGTTTCGAAATATTTTAAGGTTATTTCAAATGAGAACATATTCCAGCTAGTATTGTGCCTCTAGTTTTGGAGCATATTGTTTCCAATATTAAAATGGCAAACATCCATCTCTGTAACTTGCTGTGAATGTTGATATCGGAATATGACGTAAGGATCATACGTATTTGCTGAATCAACGTTGTCATGACGGATGTTTTTTTAAACCAACGTCGATAGTTTTCTCCAAACAAGCCGATTTCTGATTTCCGACCTTTTTCATAATTATGTTATTCCATTTATCCAGTCAAATAAAGTGTCCGTCGATGATACGCATCTCTATTATATTTTAATAGATCATAAAAGACGATACATGGATTAACCTTTTAGTCTATTTCTTGGGACTATGAATCCACTGAGTAAATTAAAAGAGCAATTCATGAACATGTCATGTCCACAGGCTTCAATCGGTATTAATTTGTTTGAGTAATGTGATATAATTAGTCAATGGAAAAGCAAGAGCTTTCTTAATCGTGTTTAGTCATTCTGACATTCCTGGACAATGAACTGAACTTACAAAAGGATGTGGTGTACATGTGGTAAATAAATGCCCAAGTGATTTATACAATGATGATGTTTTATCCATACACAATACGTAATTTATACGATAAAATGAAACATATACCTGTAATCAGAAATTTGAGGTTAGAAATTTCAGCTTTTATTGACACAAAAAACCTAAAGTAGCAAGGTTTTTAGACAAAACATGTAAACAAAACATCTCTATAAACCCCCTATTTCCGCCATGTAGGGATACAATATATGAGGGTTGTGTAATATATAAAACCATGCGATATTTGAGAGCGAAGATGAAAGCCTTACTACGTCTTTGTCTTGCTGTTCTTTTAATTTGTGTTCACCTATAAAAAACTAAATCGTTACTACATAATAAAGGTTGTATTAGCCTATTAAAACAAAATGTCACTTCAAAAAGGTTTTGTGCGCCTATCAAAAATTGAATTATTTCTACATAAAAGTGAACCACGTACAATTAAACATTTTGCGTATATATTCTGTTAATAACCCCCCACATCTACCACGACACTCGCTATGAAATAAAACATCAGCGGTGTAATGTGATGAGGTCGCAATCAGGCCCACATTTGTAAATATTTCCATTTGTGCACAAACAAAGCCAATGAGTGATATAGATTTTAGTGTAGGTATAGGAGATAACAAAACAAAGGAAGGTACTTAAAAATAAAAGCTCCCATTGACTGAGTACCTGGTCCTATTAGATCAATTATCTCCCTAGTAAAACAACATGGCTTTGTAGCGAAGCAATGTTCATTTTTGAAGTTCATCAATAAGTAACACTTTTAAGGGATTGGAACTCTGGCACGTAGTGATTTTATTTTCATCGAGTCTGTACTATCAATTGATCCCAAATGGCTGACTGCTTTTAAAGTAGAAGGTTGGCGTAACCAAGATACGATACGGGGCTGAACAGTTCTTCTATCTGACTATAATCATACTATGATAGACATGCGTAATAGAGAACCATCTCATCTTTTAAAAGCATGCATCTATCTGAATTTCTACTTTTTCGGTTTAGATATATCCCTACGTTCTACACAAGCTTGTCTATTTATCCTATCATGGGCATTGATAGCGATGAATCTTTGATGAAAATTTATAAATAGTATCTCAACATCTTGATTTTGATTCCCAATATATTTGTTGCCAGCTACTTTGGATGATTATGTTTAGATTGAACATTAATCACGATATTTTTTATTTTGGACTCTTATTTGACTGTAACACTCATGTTTTCTTATAAGATAGGATATTATCAGTTTTGTAAGATATCTCGGCAATTGTATCATCTTATGGTCAGAGTTAGGATTATTTGATCTGGTCAGAAATATATCTCATCGTAAAATTCCCCATAAATTTCCAGATAACATCTCAGCTCTTCATCGACTATTGTGCTCTCTTTGATTTGCAACACTTCCCCCTTCTTATAAATCAATGCATCGTCTCTAATTTTGATGATTTTCACATTAGAATGATACGACGTATTACCTGTTTGTTTAAATTACAATCACATCCTTAATTCATGGCAGATTAAACGCCCGATTTTATTTGTTTTGTCTAATGGATTTCCACAAAACCTATTGGGACAATTTATCCGAAAACAAATAGCATAACATAGCCCAATGATCAAGTTATAACTGATGTCTTTCCACGATGGACATTGGCAAGAGTAATACTACTCATGTTATGGATATAACCATGAGCTTTCAACTAGCCCATGATATAACCAGAAACTGTAGGCGTGTTAATATGACTAGATTCGCTTTAAAATACAATTATAAGACTGAATAAATCACTAATTGATAAAAGAACTGTTGAGATGTTTCAAGCGTCAGGAGCAGCCCTTGTATTCAAAGCTGGGAATGAACAAATCTGCGATTGTGATCACATCCCCTAATAGCTTTGTACTTCAAATGTTTGTGGTTATATTAAAAATCGCTTAAGAGCTGGACAAAATAATTTGTATGTAGGAACGTTTGTTTGAAGTTTACCCTGTGAAAACATGAAAAGTTATTGAGAACTGACAAAGTTATTAGGAAAAAGAGGGGTGACTTGGTCTGTCCCGGCTACTAAGAGTAACGTAATATAACATATGAATGTCAACTTACTGTTGCCCTTTGAATATGTCTGAAACACAGTTAGTGACATGTTAGTATGTTAGAACCGATAGCCATCGATCGCCACGCCCCTTTGAATCGCAATATCTACATTTCCCTTGAATAACATAGTTATGATGACTCTTGAATGCAACTATATATATCTTGAATATGCAATTCCCGTGCTATTATGAAATATTTACAAGAATAGTATACATTGTTTACCAATTTTGATGAAAATCAATGCATGTGTCTGATTTTGATATGACATGATCATCAGTTATGTGTGAATGTCATTTTTTATTTGCAATGTCAACGTACAGTACATACGTACAGTAGCTAGCACAGATGATAGTGTTGGAGTACCATTACTACTATTGCATAGAGTATCCTAGTAATCATTCAAATTCTCTACATAATTATGGTATAGCAGATTTTTGGACAAACAGTTAAGAATTAGTAGCAGAGCCAAGCACTAACACATCTCGTTAAACAGTATATGAAATATACCCGAGAAGCATCACCAATCACACGACTCATAATGGCTATTTTGAGCGAACAGGAAACCCACTAGGTACCATGGTATTCGCGTGCTTTGTCCTATATTTTAGGTTGACCTTTACGTCTAAACAGAATTTAATTCATCAAATCATTTTATTTTTCAGGTTTGTCATGGAGATTACACACCTGTTGTTTGCTTTCATCTCCTTGGCAATTGTTGCCATATCAACAATATCAGGTGCACCACCAAATCTAGAGGTAGGTAACAAATGACTAATATATTGGACTTGTATGGTAATTTTATGAATCTGAGGTTTTTCCTGTTATGGAAGTAAGCGTCGTATATTAGTTGATAGGGTATGATAAAACTTCTTATTTCATTTTATCAATTTATGAACTTTCAATATCCTTCGGAGAAATATAAATATTTATTCCATAGTTAGCATGATATGCATGGGATAACATGTGAAAATAAAAACGGTATTTTTGTAATCAGTGGTAAAATATGATATTTTTGACAAATTTACACTTAACCATAACATACGGTTTTTTAGCCATGACATACGACGTCGTATGCGATGGTTTATGGATTTTTGCTACTTCAGACTCAAAACGAGGCTAAGTGTCAACATCGCCGGATCGTCTGGAAATTCGAATTAAATCACTTAATTTCCGACGATTCTGATGATGACTTTAACTATGGAATAAAAAGAACATCCTATGATTTACTCGTGATATGATTTTAATCCACTCATGGATATTGATATCTGCACTCTCTCGCTACGCTCGCTCGTGCAGATATCATATCCATTCGTGGATAAAAATCATATCACTCATAAATCATAGGATATCCTCTATGTATACTGCTGTGGATAAAAATGATATCACTAAGACATAGGATATTCTTTATATTTTCTCGATTATTCTAGAATGCTATATGCAATAGCTGAATCTATTATTTGGCTTGAAAGGAAAATGGAATGTATTCTAAACATTCGGCCCATTATACTTTTATATTTCAAAAATAAAACAGATGCAATAGTATGGTATTACTGCAACTGAAACTTCACCTGGAACTTCATGCCATTATTGATAATTGATGTGCTTGTATTTGTGGCAAATGCTTGTATTTTATTGGATTATACATAGCAATGTAATTTATATCTAGTTACCACACTCCTCCTCAAATGTTTGGAAACCTGGCTCCCGGTTGAATAGTCTGTAAACTTCTTTTGAATTGCAAAACAAGAACAGGCGTTGCCTAAGAGGAAACTATATAGTTGCCAAAGTTTTGGAGGCGGTGGTGTATAACGTATTAAGCTTATAAACAATACATGTCATAATCTCTTGACACACAATGTACAGTATATCGATAAGTTCTTCATTAAGTATTGTATTTATTCCTGTATATTTGACGAAATATCTGTTGTTACCCTGTTTGAGTCACATCCCATCACCTAATTGCTTTTCGGATACAATATATTCCATTAGGTTGATAAATTGTTGGCATATAATAACTTATCAAATCCTAAATTGAACAAGGACTTTAAAGCATCAATTTTCATTTATATTTCGGTCTCGATGGGGTGTTCATTATTGTTTTTCATGGATTGTCATGTCACTAATGAAATGCGCTAATGCGCCTAATAGTTAATCCTAGACACCTCATCAAAACACAACTAAATCAAATGCTAATAGCTGTTGTTGGATTGAAACGTTTTGTGATAGTAAATCAGTTCGATATTGAACAGTGCCAATTTTCGATTCTTTCTTTGAATCTGTTTTACACATTTGTTGTACATTACCAAACTATTTCTTGCACGGTAGTTTTCCCTCATACCATATTCTTTTTTCTAGAACTCCAATCAACATTTCATATTTGAGGATATACAGAGACTTTAAGAGATGGTTTAATTATACCCCAAATTTTGAAAAACATTAATTTGGTCATTATGTGTTCAATGGTGTATACCGTGTGTGATGAAGATATTCAAAGTGCTCATTCAAACAGTGTTTTAATCCAAGATGTATATCTTATTTGGCCTATTGAAAATTTCCTTAATGGCATACATTTTAGCAGCCATTCTGATAAATTGACTGTAAATTAAAATGGCAACAGAGACTAAAGGAATTTTTAATTTGTCACAAAGTTACAATTTCTTTTATGACATTCCATATCATGCTTATGCCCTATATCCTGAAATTATTTTGAGTTTTAAAGTTATTGGGCAAAGGTTTCGAAAATGTTTATATTTGCTTGGAAGTTGAAATGAATTAGACATTTCTGCATCTGAGATTCTAGATAATTGCAATGTGACAACATGGTCCCTTAGTGTGGAATGAACTATATTTTAGAAAGCGAATATAAAGAGAGCAGCGTGGCTACCATCTCGGGAGATAGGCAAAGCAAGCGACGAGGATTGGAGAGAGCCCTCAACTTCTGGTAAACCGTTCAAGGATAGAGTATTAAATGCAGTGTTACAGGTGAGGTTTACGTACTTGATGCTTTGTAGTAAATGGATTAACAAAAATAACAGAGCATCAACACTCTTATATTATAATATCATTTCGAATTTTTGGATGCCTTTTACTTTGGAATGAAATTATTTAGTGAATATCACAATTCCGTCACTTATAGAACTGATTTGCACTTTACATCACTTTGCTTATTATGACTATTACGTTGACACGGTTGTGAGTGAATCAATATTGGTCACGGGACAGAATCAGTTCAGTTAGTAATGATACCCATCTACCAATACATCATGTACATCTATAGACTTGGTCAAACAACTAAACATTTTTTGATCGAAATTTTCATTTGAACATTCAAAAAATTTTGGGCATCAGCGTGATTCTGATTTCACGTGTGTCATGAATATACTACTCTTTGATAAGTTCAGTAAAACCTGTATATAGTGAACACCTATGGAGCCACAAAAAGTGTCCACTGTAGGTAGGTGTTCACTACAGAGAGAGTTTTTAAAACAGGAGTCAATGTAAAATGTTTCTTGAAGTAGTGTTTACGAAACACATGACTGTGTTCAATTAATAGAGAGGGGTGTTCACTAAGACAGGTTTTACTGCATATACATCTAACTTGAAAAGAGTATTGACTCTTCATTCCAGAATACTTTTAAAGAATTTTGACCCACCCTATAGATATGACCGATTCGTAAATAGAGTTGTCCATTTATAGTGTTAACTCTTTTCATGGAATAGACTGAACCATTCTCTTTCACTCACGGCCATGCCAATGTCAATTATAGCGATTAATGATTTATACTAATATACATAGAGGTTTTCTGTCATTGAAGCATGCTATCCTGTTTGCCTTCGATGAATGGGCTAATGTTGCCATTTGCATGTTTTTCTCTCACAACTAACAAAAACAAGACACAATTCCTCCATAATAGCACAAGGTTAAAGCCCCGGAGTAATCGGCGCTGACTCTGTATGAACGGCTTGTGTTGTGAACATTTGATAACTCCATTCATATCAACCGATTGTTTTCTTCGTAATATAGCCTACATAATAGGTCCAAACTTGAGAGCTTGAACAGTAAACCTAGTTTAAATCAAAAATCGGGTGTCGAAAACTTCCCGACATCATAATTTTAAACCAGCTGCCTGTATAATCGATACAACAGTTTTGGGTGTTTATTTGTATTATTTGTTGTTGTGTGGGACTTGGGACATCCTGCATCGCACTCTGTCATCAGGGTGATATTGTTAATTTTATGGATGATGTTTTAACATTCGTTTTCATGTTTGGCAGTTTTCAAAGGATTTTTATATAATTGATGAATTGATCGACTCGATCTCGAGAAGAAAGCAATTGGTTGATCGATTAATGCTTATCCGAGTCTTGTAATCTCTTTTTCTTAAGTCCGTGATGGTCAAACAGACCTAGTAAAAAAGTCAGTTTAAAGAACAAAACATCGATTACTTTTATAATTGCTACTCCAATTCTGGCCAAACAGAGCACTTTCCATCGGTTGTAATGACCCGATTAGAATTCTTTATCGTTGGTGTATAATCAATCAGTCCCAGAATTGGCCGTGTAAATGTTTTTCCAAATTCCAAAATGACGTGTGGGAATTCATTTTCTATCAGCAATGTTCTCTCAGCAATAGACCTTCGTCTAAATGAACCAGCTGTTAAAGCATTCCATTGATATGAGGAATTGTGTCTTGATGCATGCGTTTGGTTCCATTGCCCAGCGATTCACTCGCAGGCTGCTTCAACTGCTTTAGCATGGCTGACATTTTAGGCTGGGGATCAAGAAAAAGAGAAAAAAGCCACCTGGTTGCCCACAAAGAAAGCCATGTGGCTACCAACCAAAAAAGCCATGTGGCTACCAACCAAAAAGGCCATGTGGCTACCCACCAAAAAAGCCACGTGGCTTCCAACAAAACGCGAGGACACTAGTAAAGAAAGGCGAGCAATGTGGTTGCCTACCAAAAAGGCAACCTGGTTACCGACGAAAAAAGCAACTTGGTTACCAACTAAAAAGGCCCATTGGCTGCCGACTAAAAAGGCACATTGGCTACCAACTAAAAAAGCACATTGGCTACCAACTAAAAGAGCTACTTGGTTACCTACTAAAAAGGCACAATGGCTAAATACGAGATCTATGAGGTCTGTTGATGGGCTGGAAAGATCCAGTCGGTCTCTCTGGTTTGCAACTCGAGAGCTAGATGAAGAGGATAAGAATGAACGTAGTATGGAAGATGAAAATAATTCTAATCTTGACTTAGAGGGCTCAATTGACAGAGATGATTTAGATGATGCGGCTTTCAATGGTATAAAAGATGCGATAGACGACATATGGAGGCGACAGGTACATAAGGTGAACAAAATAGTCTATATGGTCAGGCTAGGCAGTTGTAAATCGGGTTTTGGATAAAGAACAATATCAATGCATGTGTAAATTCTGTAATAGAATAGGTCCTCATAGAGGCACGTTTACTGCTTCACTAGAATGCTGACCATCTTGAAGATTTTGCTATTCAAACGGTAATCAGACTGAAACTCAGTTGAAAAGCAAATACATTACATATGTATATACTGTACATAGTAGTTTCAGTCTGAACAGTATAGATTAATTTTATAATCATATTTTAGATACTGTTTAAATAGAAGTTGCCTCTTTTAGATTGTTGTTGTTCATTCACATCACAAACGATGCAAACAAAATCTTGACGTATTTGAAATTTTATAATTTCCATCGAGTGCTTTGAGATTTTGTTATGCAACATTATCATTTTAAAATATTTATTAAAACTTTTCGAATGAATTGCATGCATGTTTTTTTTATCTAACTCTTTATCCTAAATCAATTGTTTACCAAATAAACAAGTCTATATGTAGAGCTAAAATCAAAATGATTTAGTAAGAAACAGTCGCTCATCTTCGTAGATTGGGAATTTACCGGTCATGGGGTTTAAAGGTCTCTGGAGGCTACTTTTGATCCGATTAGTTTCAGCCGTTTAACGAACTAATCAATTGTTAATTCATTCCTTAACAATGGATCAACCGCATGTTTATCTCATAGTGCAGTTCTTTTATGAAATGACTTTTATATGAAATGTAAATTATTTATGATTTCCTGAATTGTTGTCATATTGATCCAACTCAGCAAATACGTCATGTATTCCCATGGTAAAACAGTACAACAACGAAGTAACATGTAGCCTGAATGTAGCCTGGTTATCTATAGATAGATATCTATAGATATACTAACGAGCTAAAATCAAAATTGTGAAGAATGTGTTCGGTACGTGGTTATTAATAAAAATCGTCTTTTCTATTCTCATGAAATGTTTTACCAGTTTTTGATCTGTTAATTCCTAGTTTCTAAGTCAATTCTCACAGTCCTATTAATGATTTTTAAAATGTCAGCAATCGAAAGTCCACTAAAAAGGTTAATAGGCATTGCTCGATGTTATGCTGGAATCAACTTTTTAGCTGATTAATTTTATCATTAAAATGTGCTGTTGACATTTTGGCATTAGGGTCAACGGAGGTTTTTGTTATTTGTTTTTAATGGGGCGGGTCTCGAGAGTGAACTGAAGCCAGATTTATTCATAGATTTTTCAACTCTCGATATTCTTTAAACTGAAATTATTTATACTTGAGAGATACCTGAGAATTTAGATCTAAGTTATAAAATGTTTCAATGGAGACGCGATTTTTATTTCAAGATCAATTTAGTTTTATACACGCTTGTACACTCCTTGTCAATCAGTGAAACTAATGAAAATGCAAGTAATGTACCGTCTGGTGGAGAATGGGGGAGTTGTTTAATGTATTGGTATAGTGGGGATTCGAATATTTTATATTGCCTTTCGGGGAACAATTGTACCAGATTAAATGACTATTCCTGCATCTATGCATGAATAATGCAAGAATGGCAATTCAAATGACTACAAGTTGATTGATGAATCTAGTCGATTATATATACAATTTTATCATATCGTAGAACTCACTGTCAGTGTCATGGTCCATTTCCTCGGAGATTGTTTCTTAATCACGCAACCCATCCTCCCAAGCACACATATTCAATTCACAAAGACGTAGATACTCTTCAGAAAAGGAATTACCCCTACTGTATTATACTGAGAAAATAAAAATTACATTTAGCTATTTCTAATATTTTATTTACCTCTTCTGGGATTTGCAAAATTAAAACTTAAATTATTTGAATAAAGATTTTAATGAATCTAGCATATAGCCCATAAATGAATTCAGCCCAAAGGCAACTTCGATAATTTAGCAAATATCAAGCACAGAGATTTAATGAACATCAAAAGCTTAAAAGTGATAAGGATATCAACCATCTTTAAAATGATATATGATTTACTATGGTAGAGTGTACGATTTGACATTTGCAGAATCTGGGAGATTAAAAATGATAAAAGTTATATGAATATAGATTTCCTAACTTAATCTTGATGAAACATACGTATGTCAAATCACTGGAAATATATTTTATTTGCAATTAAATAGACAAAATATACTTTTGCTGTGAGTGCCAGAGTATATCTAAGGTAGGGGAATTTTCGGCCCACCCTGTATATGAGCCATTTGAATAGGTTCGCTCAAAGTATGAATTAATTTATGTTTGGCTTTGGCTCATAAGATAACGATGATTTTCCTCATTACCCTGCCTTGAAGTATTTTCTCATTTATTCTAATAAACCCTAAAGTAACTCACAATAGCACAGGGGTATTGACTAATTTGAAAACTAGATTACGGTCAGATTGAATGCACATCGTGGTTACTTAACAGAGGTAATCAGCCTAAAAGCGAACTCCATCACAACAGCTTGACATCAGGGAATACTACAAAGTTTTACCTTTATGGAAATTTTTGTTCTATTTCTCGAATAATGAATAATTTATGATATATTGTTTATCACCACAACGCTATGCCAAATTAGTTGATAATCCCACCTGTACTTTGCTGATGAAAATTGTTCTACAATTGAAATAAGATTTAATCAAATGATTAATGTTTAATTTCAATTAAATCCATGTGGATATATATGAGGGATATATTCGTTAATTATAATCAAATGCCCTTGATTGTCATTGCGTGATTTCTTGATCAGAATTTTGATTCATCAAGCAATAGGAAAGGACAGAATGTACGTTTAAGCTCATAAATCACGTGGTTGCATCTCTGTCTTTATACTTCTTCCCTAATATGTTGTACCCCAAAACTTACATTTCTTCTATTTTTAGCTTGCTGGAGAGGGGAAATTGAATCCAGATATTATATCTGTCGATGAGGGTTCGGATAACGCAGTGGATAAACGCGGGGGATACCAAGGGCTGTGCTTCAGGAGGACAGCCAGTGGGCACTACATACCAAAGATATGTTGGAGAACAGGTAGGAATTTATGGAATCGTGTAGCTCATCATACTCATGCGCATTCTACGAAAAACTAATACGGCCATTTCCTCACCTCATATATAAAGGTTATTTACGAGTATGGATGGGATATGGGGCTTTTATCCCATGATACTACTACTTCCCGGTGAGTAACACCCGGGAATATTTTTGATATTGAAAAAAATCGTATTGTCCTGCCCAATCCCGCTCATGGAAATCGTATTCACCTCCTAATGTCGCTCGCGAAAACGGTATTCACCTCCCGGTAATTATTGCTAAACAAAGCTTCCTATTTCATTCAGTTTTGTCTGATTATTATAAGCGTGCTATAATTCTGCTTTTATGTAAGAAACGGTATTTTCCAAACAGAATTGTTGTTACTCAATTCATAAAGAAGTGAAATCACTGGCGGACTAGGGGGGGGGCCTGGGGGCCCGCCCCCCTTGCTTTGGGGTTTTAGGGGCCAAAAATTTTTTTCTCTGACCTGAAATTTGCCCCCCCCCCCTTATGGGTTCCCAGATCCGCCCCTGTGAAATATCCTTGGACCAAGGATGTGTAATTTCATCATCATGCTCTGACACAGACACTGAACGTCATAGAAATCTGAGTAATAATCGAACGTATTTCTTTATGTTAATAGTCTGATGTTGCTTCATTCAAAAATCAGATTCTATTGAGAGAGTTGTGAGTATCATGGGATAAAATACTTTTTTACTAACTTCGGAATTAAGTATGGGTTTATTCCTCGTGACAATATGATATTTTCCTCTGGCCTTCGGGCTGAATGGTATATTACAGGGTGTACCAAACAATTTTGCACGTTTTAAAGGGCTAGAAAAGTATCATAACAAAAAGGTATTGACACAAAAATTTATTTACAGAAACTTTTTTGTCAGATCTTTGAATATCAATTCAAATGGTGAATTGTTCATGTGTCCGAGATTGTTTTTCCTAGAAATTGTGACCTTCTATGACTTTATGTGATCAACAATAACACATTCATTATGCTTTCTAAATCTGCTTTTTGATAACTGTTTAAGCAATGTCTAGTAAAGGTTTATATCGGTATGTAGTCACTATGGTATCATGTTATATTGTATCTATTAACTATTTATTAAACAAATGTTCTATGCATTCGCTTTTCACCTTCACTATCGCTCCCAGCCATCAGGCAATGGTCGCTTTGGAATATCTGGAGAACACCCCTCGATTCATCTGTCCTGATTAATGGCCCCTCAATAACCAGATGCCAACCCCTTTGACTATCATGCAGGGGGACACCTATAGCAGCTTATTGCAGTTAATGGTAATCTCCCACAAAATATTGATCAACTAAAAGATATTCTGCAGAAGTGGAGAAAACTACTACAAGAATCCCTGGATGGCGCCATTGACCAGTTCAGCCCTCGTCTCCGTGCGATAGTGGAGGTTAAAGGCGGAGGCATTTGTTTAATAAATAGTTAATAGATCCAGTATAATATAATATCACGGTGATAAGATACTGATATAAACCTGTTTTAGACATTACAGTTATCAAAGATTGTAGTAGCAGATTCAGTGAACATAATAATTCTGTTATTGTTGATCACATCAAATCATAGAAAGTAACATTTTCTAGGAAAAACAGTAAATATAGGACACGTGAATAATTCACCATTGATGATATTCAAATATCTGACAAAAAATTGAAGTAAGTATGAGCTTAAATATTTGAATAGTAAAATATGCCTCTCCTCAAGTTTCTGTAAATAATATTTTATGTCAATACCTTAGTGTTATGATACTTTCCTAGCCTTTTAAAACGTGCAAATTTTTTTAGCGCACTCCGTACATTGACCGAAATATACCATTACCCGTATTTCCGAACACAAAATGGGAGAAGAGAGATATGGAATTTTGGAAATTGTAATTGTTATACATCGTTCTCAGCTTTCATACTGGTGATCAAGAGGAAAATTAGTTTTGTGTTTTGAAAACATTAAGGTATGGGCCACCATCAAAATCCTGTTATTACTTCGCATCGAGGGGCTCTTTCTCCGCATCGAGTGCACCAGCAGGCTTAGTTTGCATTGGGTGTTATCTAGGACTTGTCCCGGTGAATAACACCCGGGAATATTTTTGATATTGAAAAAAATCGTATTGTCCTAGGACATGAATTGTGTATGACTCGGTCTTCGACCTGCAACGTTTGCCGCAGTGGCATATGTACAATGGATAACACAACAATATAATATAAAAGGGAGACCGTTAGACCCTCACAAATGAAATGACTGTCTCGCATCCCTGGCCAGCCGCCGGATCGTTCAAAAAGCTAACTGTCAAGACTTTTCTTTCCTCTGTTTTGATTTTTGCCGTCAAAGTGTAAAATCGAGAAAAGCCTACCCATCGTGGCGGTTTTAAAATTTATTATATACTGGACTGTTACTAAACAGTGAAGAACGTTGCAAGCATCACATAGCAACAGATCTAGGTTCAGTATTAATTGCAATGTTATTTAGGATAATTACAATACATGATATGACAGGACTCATTGATTCGATTTTTTTGTTGATGTATAATGACTTGTCACGCGGGTTTACTACCATTTTATTAAGGATGATTGTAGCTGAAACTCTAATATCAGTGGTAACCTCCTCGAGGTATCCCTGCAACGTTTCAGAATATCGAATACTAGTTGTGGTGGTTCATTCATTTCTGATCATGATTTCATTATGTACGAATTGTATGAACGCCAAATTAAGTACTGTTATTCTTATAACACGGATCAGTGTAACTGTTCGAAAAACAGGACATCATGTTCAGATGTTCTCATTTGCATGGTAGTTACAATCGATGTTCAAAAGAATGACGCCAATGGTCCCAGGGTATACCCAGAGGAACGTGTCAGGAATAAGGATATAATAACATTACGAAAGTCTGCTGTTGACTAATTAGTGCTTTCATAAACAGGGAGCATTTTTAAATCCAAAATTGTTGAGGCATAAAAACTTTCAAGGTTTGTTCGGGAAGTGTAAGGACAATTACTAGCTTTATGCATTGGATAACCAACCCGATGAACCTCTTCAGTGAAATGATCTTTAATCTCAAATGACCTTTACAAAAAAATCAATAACATTTTTAATCCTGACCTCCTGGAAGTGATAGCACTAGGCATATAGTATATAAACCATATAAATCAAGATAAAAGACAACCCCCCTGAAAATGGACCTGTGCCATGTCTATTTTTGTAGCTCGGCATCTCTCTTTCATTGACATTTAGTAAAACGCCACAATCACTATTTCTAGTCTAATGATAGTATACAATCAAGGCATATTATCGAGTGTGTTATCCTCATTTCAGGTTAACAGAGTGAGACTTGCCGTATTTTACAAAAATACTCGTAAATTACCACTCGTGATAACAAACAACCAAAACAACAAGGGGAACAAAAGGGACTTAACAAGTAGAAATACAACGGGAACAACGACCACCAAAAGATCATCCAAATCAAAAAATTCTAACCGAGTGAAATTCTGGGTTTCACGATTTATCGAACTGCTAAACCTCTTCTTTTGAATGTCGACCTCTTATTTTGATGTTATATATAATTGTATCTTCATTTGTTCATATATGATGTAAAAATGTATATAGCTTTAGACGAATCATATCAGTACTGAAACGGTTCAAGATTTTAGGTTGTGTTTACAATACTACAGTTTGACAAAAAAGCCTCACAAAATTATATTTTCATTTCATATATTGTAATTTTTCGGCACAACAATAATTTTGAAAGTTAATATCTCTGGGAGTTACGATTCACAAGTTCATTCACGGAATAATGAATGTATTGTATCCAAGCCTCTGAGAGTACTTGCTGTCCTGAGTGCATATCGAAATCATATTGAGTTCCACTCTTAAAGGGCTCCTTAATGCTATCAAATATTGAATTAGCTATTAAGTGCTAAATATTTGATATTTCTAAATCATATGTTTCTATAACAGTATTATGCATGCCTTTGTTTGTAATTTGTAATTTTTTCTCTATGAATGTTTAAAATTGTATTTTGTGTAAAATATAGCGAACTCACGTTACAATTTTAACATTTATTTGTTGGTTTACATTGAACCTATTTTACTATTTTGCAAAACGACCGAAATTAAGCCAAACTGATCAACATATTATAGCGGCTGGTGTATAACTAGATAGATGTTCGATCGTGTTCGTGTAGCAAAATAGCAGAAGGACTATCCCATACATACAATATATATATTGTACATGAAAGTCCAATATAATATAGCGCTGAGAGTTCGAATTATTGTAAACGACACAAATGTATCATACTCTCAAATGTACATTTTCCTGTTTAAGTTTTTAATAGGTTACTTGATAATATTTTCATATGGTTTCATCATATCTGGAAGTACAGGGTGGTCAAAAATAGGTTTTCCTTTTTGTCATTTTAAGAAATTACTCCCTAATATTTGACACAATCATTCAATTTCCTGCCTCCCTATTATATTTCAATACCATCAGTTTGCTATTATATTTCATGACCATCAGACTGATAATCACAATGTTACAGCAGTTTGAACAACATGCTTGAGGATTGGCCATCACTCTATCTTTGCCGTATTCACACAGGTAGAAGTCAGGTAGGGACATTTTGGACGACGTATGCAGGTTTGCCTACAGCGCAATAGTGGCCACTTGAGCATGTTATTTAAAGTGCCGTAACATTCAGTCTGATGGTCATGAAATATTAGAAATATAGTAGGCTAGTATGAAATTGAATGATGTACGAATGCCTAAAATATCAGTTATTTCCTGAAATGAAAAAGATATTAGGAAAATAGCGTAAGAGTTTCCGTTTTTTACCACCTTGTATTAATGAGACCTAAAGATATTGGGTCCTTTTATTTTCAATGTTAAATTTTCTTGTCCGCTCTGGGTACATATAACATCTATCTGTTTCAACAGAACATCCCAGGGCTGAGAAGAAGTGAGTTCCTATGGTTTATCAAGTAACAGGACAGACAAATAGGCATTTGCATGCAAGGTATGCTATAACCACATTGGAATTCGAAGATGTGACATAAAGTGTCACAAAGTCACAGTGGTTTATAACTAGCACATTAATTCCCAGAGATATGGTTTGCATATTTATTTGTTAAAATACGTGATAAGAAACACGACAGGGGCCTTAGTTTCAATGCGTCGTGTATATATTAATAAGTAACCATGTGCTTTTCTGCCCACGAGGATGGTGTTTTAGACAATCCAAAATCCCAAGCCACTCTTCTACCAAGTCAAATCAGTGTAGGTTGCCAGCTTTTATGTATTCCAGTCCGCGTTGCTCAGATTACGTTCAGGACAGGATCAGGATACACGAGACTCCTCGGTGATTATGTTTGATAAGATGATTAAATAATATGCTTGATAAATACTTTGACATTAATGTATTTAGATATAAAGCAAACATAAAACAGATTTGTCATTATGAGCAGAATGTCTACTGAGGTTGTTGTGATTATGAGTTCATGAATCACATCACAGGCTTCGTCCTAGTAGTGGCCAACGGATATTTAGTTTAATGAAGATGAGGTGTCAAATAAATGCTCGACAAAGCTGCTAATGAGTCATGTCATATATAAGGGTTATGTACTGGGAGGTTTTGGATATAGGGTATATCCTGGGGATATATTTATATCACCTCGAGGGACCCAAGGGACCAAGGTGAAATATAAATATTTCCCAAAGGCACATATATCCAGAACCGACCGTACATAACTGGTGTATCTCATACTTGAGTGGGTTTGGGGTTCCACCTTTTTCAAATGACAAAATAGGCCTATACTGTAAAAGCACAATTTATATTTAACATTTTCGTAATATTCCTTTACTTCAATACAATGAAATTGTAACATTTAAACTTTTAAACAAATTCTTAACTTTCAAATGTTGAAATTTTTAAAACTTTTGAAAAATTCCCGGAAGCGGGATGGATATTTTATATCTGCCCGCATTTTGCCTAGAGCGGGACATATACAATATATCCTGCACGCTCCTCAGATATGATATATGTCCCCGGTTGATATCTACCCCAAACCCACTCAAGTATGAGATATTATATACTGTTGTGATATTTTGCCACCTCGTACAGTTTTAGGTAGTAACTAACAGACGAATGTTTTTACTCCAAATCTCGAAAACTTGAAAATGACCGATCCAAATTGCTTGGGGTGATCTTGGTTTTTAGAAAAATGTTTTGGGCTGAGAAAGACTACCATGTATTTTCTGAAAGCACGATGATATTGAAAGTTTCGAAGTTTCATTGGAACCAATACTTCGCTAAAACTTGTTTAAACTAAACTAATCTTGGGGAGGGGAGCTATGTGGTCGTCAATGGTTATACAGAACAGTACACCCTGAAACGCAGCAAAACTTAACAATGCATTTACATGCAAAATGTCACCACCATTTGTTACAGACACCAACCGCCGATCGCCAACCGTAGTCACAAAAATGGAGACCATAAAAATATATCGCCACTATTTGGTGATGACATAATTATAAACTATAATACAAGACAAACCACCCATGCTTTTAAACGAAGATTCAAATATATACAGATGACAAATCGCCGCAACACTTTATACTAACAGTGATTCAATGAGGATTCCGTCATCACAAAAACTTAAAATCAGAGACATGTAAAACATATATTTATAACATATACATTTATATGTCTCTGTTAAAATGTTGTAGAAATGGCGGGAATTGATTTGCAAGAAGTAATGTTTGAATGTTTATAAGTTCAAAATTATTAAATACATACTCGGGTGTATGGGAATAAAATCACGTTTTAGATCACTCCCATATCCGGTTGTTCCATTTGGAACTATCAAATTAGTAAATTAACGACTTAATGTGGATGTAAGTTGCATCAAACCAATATTGTTATGAATCTCATTATAGTTGTTTACAAAAGATCTCACTCGACAAAAGGCGTGAGTTCAATAACAGGATTCTCAAACATAAAAGCATTAGTTTTTGAACTTATAACTATTATTACTCGCTAATTAATTGACCCGCCGTTATTTCAAATGGGGTAAGAGAGAAGTTCACCATGAATAAATCATAAAGTTGCAAATGAATTTCCCACTATTGGGACATAATCTCGGATTCAGAGGGCTCCAAGTGGTCCCATTGGTTTAGTGCTGAAACAATCAATATATCAAGCAGACTATATCATTGCGTATTGATAATAGTCCTTATGTCAAACTCTAATTTTTTTGAAGTTTCGAACCGAATTATGTAGCAATCTCTTTTTTCGTTCGTCGGATATTTTTCATGTATGTATATATTTATTGCCCTTTATAAAAAGGAGATACATTCATACAATTATAAAAATATCAAAATGTACAAACAATCAAACAAACAAGCACAAAACAAAGTCTAATCCATATAAATTGCCAACGTCAGGTTACCGCGTTGACGTTTGTACAAAATATATCAGATTAAAACAGTTACTATGAATACGAAGAATAAACATTGGTTGGTATATCAAAATAATTACTTAAAATGTCCAGTGAGTTTTAAATCATATAGAGTGTACCTTCCCCAAGGTTGGTACATCCAGTTATGATCATTTACGTATATCATACACATATAATGATATGAGCATCAGTCAATACAAAAGTACCATCAAATGACAATAATATAATATCGTTGCTTTTACGGAGTTGGGTTAGGGGTATTGCTATATCCTGCATTTCTGAATCTGTAGAGGATCCAAAATCGGGCTTTCATATTTCTACTATATCAGACGACTTCATACAATTCCAGAGAAATTAATCATTCTGCTTTATCAAGAGTACCTTCCCCAAGGTTGGCACTACCAGTTAGAACAAGAAAAAAAAAGTTACACATTACACTCTGTACCTTCCCCAAGGTTGGTACTGTTCATCCATAATAGTTAGATATTAATTATATTTCAGTGAGAGAGGATAGTCCCAAAAATTCATTCCAAATTCCCGCCAATTTATAGTTCCCTTGATCCCTGTTCATATTATTATCGTTTTTCTTTAAAAATAGATTCTTTAATCCATCTTTCAAGTCTCTTATTGTCATTGTCCAAAACCGTAGTATTGTTCCAGTCCATTACGCAATTATACTGAAGGACGTGGTCCGTAATGGCTGATTTATTCATCACCCCTCTCATATTTTCTTTTGCCTGGCGCGTGTAACTTGAATTGTCCCTCGAATCTGCTTCTATCTTACGATTTGTTAGGTACCTCATAAATAACTCCTGATTTATCATTAATGTCTATTTTGTCTTTAGGGTGGACTAACATATTTTTCAGAGTCATGTAGGATTTCACTGCTGCATTAATTTTATGTTTTCTAAAAATTCTCTGGAGCTTCTCCGTCGTACCTTTGATATACGGTAACACTACGGTTCCCAAAGGCTTTTCTTCTTCATCTTGATTGGCCTTACGTTTTACATTTTTCATTGTTGAGGAAACGGTCCATTAGGGTAGCCACAATTTCCCAACGCCTTTTTGATATGTTCAATTTCTATGGCTTTATCCACAATCTTCTGTTACAAGGTTTTTGCATCTATTAACCAAAAGGATCCAGAGAGGATCCGAAA